GGCAGAATGCCAGTGTTATTATTTCTTCTCACGTGTCTACATGCATGTTCAATGGCATTATTGATTAAATCAGTGAGGGTATCAACCGCATCATCTGTATCTTTCCACGAATTCAGAGTATCGAAGTTGGACGGATTCTTACTGAGAAACTTCTGGAACTTATTCCAGTCAGTCGTGCAGATCATTTCATTTTCGGCCTCTTTAGTAGTGCCTAGGTAAGCAATGACCAGTATATGGTCAGAGCTCAAATCGTGCTTTATTTACTTCAGTATAAATAGGGATTGAAGTATTTGTCAAAACAAGAAGGTCTTCATTTCTTGGGTTCTGGGGTCTGCATGTATACTCCTCAGTAACATGCAGGGCAACTGGGTGATTGTTTATAAATTCATAGAGCACCTTACCATTTTGGTTAGTTTTACGGTACCCTCACTCGGAGTGCTTTGCGTTAAAATCACCCGTTAGGATATACTTATTGGTGTCAGAGAGAACTTTGGAAAGAATACTTTCCGTCAGTAGCTTCCTGGGCGGATTATAAAATGAAATGAAATTCAAGTTACCATAATGCGGTAAGTGCACTGAGACTGTGACCATCTCATGTCAGTCGTTTCTATCCTGGCTAATCAAACAGGACTGGTGCGAGTTGCACACATAAATTGCAGCCCTCCACCCTGGTGACTCAAACGATCGCACCTATATGTGCAGTAATTAGACAAATTTATATGCATGCATGGCGTGGCAAAAGTCTCTGTAACAAGGTCAATGTCAATATTGTGATTGTTAAGAAGTTTAAAAAATCCGTCAACTTGTTCTGAATGGCATGAGCATTCCAGAATGCTAATTTTATAGGATCTCCTTGTTTGATGTACCTATCCATTAAGATCTTGATTTGTGGTAGTTTTGTCATTATGAGTAGGTACATTTTGTCCTATTTGATGTGTTAATAGAAAGCCAGAGCTCTTTATCACCAATACAAGCTCGGCCAGGTGTGCAAAAACAGTTTTTACTTCCTTGATCGTGTCTGCATACAAACCAGTAGGTAGGGCTTGTGCAAATGATTTATTTTCTATAACCCTACTAGTATAGACTTTTGGCTTATCCTGTTTCTTTTTAGGAACATCTCGCACCCGCTAAAGTTCGAGGTGTGAGATTGTTTATAGTTCGCACAACGTGGTGGGAAGTCAGAGTTTTTATTAGGGCATTCAAAGGTTAAATGTCTCTTTCCACATCTGACGCACTTGCACGCATAGTTACAGCCAGTTTGCGTATGATGAAATCCTTGGCACCTATAGCATTGTAGAGTGCCCGATCTACCTTTATAATTTTTTACTTTAATTCCTATTTCACATAGGTGAGTTTTGTTGTGTATATCTTTGGATTTGGGTTTCTTAAGCAGAGTAATTAAAAATAGCGGAAGTTTAATAACCTCCCCTTTTCTTCTGCACATAAGTTGCTTAACTGATTCAACTTTGTATCCTAATTCCTCTAGTATTTCTACCGTATCTGTATCTCTTAACATACCTCTTATCACTGCTTTTATGTCTTTATCCTCAGGAAGTGTAAAGAGTGTGGTGTTCCACTTTTGTGTCTTTTAAATAAGTAACAGTCCACCTGTAATGTTCAGTTTTCTGATGAAAATTTTAATCCCTTTATTATTCTGATTACTGTTAAACTCAATGTTTCTCTGTTTAAGTGCCATAGCTATGTTTTTCCATGTAGGGCAATCTATTTTAACAGTTATGGGTGGTATACGTGTCTTTTTCAAAAATCCGCTTCTATGTTTTCATCTGAGCTTGTATTTTGTTTAGACGTACTAGCGTACGTGTCCATAATATTGTTATCATTACCATTAGCGGCATTTTCACTAAGTCCCTCCTCCGTGGTATTCGTTTAAGTTGCACCAGCCTGAGCAATATGAGCGTCAGTTTGCCCAGTCGGGCACGCGACCTCATCTGGATAACTGATTGGTTGTGCTGCGTTTTCGGTCCTGAGACCTACTTGCTGAAGCCTGTTTCTCAGTTCCTTTACTAGATGGTGCCACATTATTGTGGCTGCTGATCGCAAACTCAGAACTCAATTTTGCTACCTAAGTCCTGACTAGGTGAGATTTTTAAACTTTTGGGAGCCTTCGGTTTGGGATTTCGTTTCAATCTAACATCACCTTCATATCTGGTACTGTGCGTGTGCTTGTTCAGCAGCGAGTGATGAGTCATCCTCAGTTATGTTCACAAAAACATCAAATTTGTTTTGCATCTCAGGACGGTCTGATTCAGTATCGCTCAGTGTACATTTCGTGCTTTTGGTAACAGCAGTCCAATGATCATGAGTCCAATCATGCTGATGTCTCATTGGACTGCTGATCATCAGCAGTCCAATGAGACATCAGCATGATGGGAATCAATTTCATTAGATGCTAACCGGTTAGATCTGACTTGACGCTAAGTCTAGTTCAGAGCCATGTGCAGAGTTCAGATTTGCTCGTACCTTATCCGATAGGTTAGGAAGAAGTTTTAGTAGAAAATCCAGATCATTTCTTTCATCCTCAGTCAACAGTAAATCCTTCTCTTTAGAAGTTAATTCCGTATATCGAGCGAAGATTAGTTTGACCAGTGATATGATGATCAGGTCCTTAAACCAGTTCAGTCGTCATGGAAAAATGGATGCAAGAATCTGTAAAATCGCATTAAGGCCTTTTTACTATTCTTTGGTTACTTAAGACCGGTGAGGAACTTTTTATGTGCTAGCAACTGTGATCGTAGAAGAAAAATCAAATCAACTTAATAAAACCAAGAGCCGTGCTAAGAGAACCTTCATGTGCGACTGCTCAAATCCGGATTTAAGAAGTCCCTTCTATTTTCAACCATAGGGAAATCCTTAACATATACAGTACAAAGTCTTTAATCCGAACTCGTCGGGACTTCGGCAGTTCCGAATTAGGGGTTTTTCCGGATTATAGATCATCAATTTAAATCTGATAAGATAGCATGCAGAAATTATAAAATTAAAAATATGAAACCGTAATTTATGAAATAAAGAGCAATTATGATTTAAAGGGTATCAAAATTTATAAAAAAAAAAAGCTTAATATTTATTTACTTTATTAAACATTTCTTTTAATATAAGTTGTTTAAGTTGCTTCATTTTACGTGCTAATACTTTCTCTTTAATTCTATAAACAGACATAATTTCTTGTTCAGTTACAAAGTGCCGCTGTTAAAGTCCTGTAATTGCTGTGCCGAGAATACCTACTAACTTGTCAATCGAAATTTTTCATTTTCACTAACCTCTCTGTCACTTCTTCTTGCCTTTATCCATTTTTTGTAGCAATTGCACGTTTTGTTTGATGGACATCGAAACATGCTTTCGCTTTGTAGATCCTTTAGCAGCTCCAAAATCGGAAACTCTTTTTGACATAATCGAAAGTTCAAGCTTACTTTTTATAAAATTGCTCTAATAGTCTGCAAAACATAATAAGCCGGATCCAATTAGAAGATTAAGGAACAACGCGATCTGCAACATTAACTGAAATAGATAATTTTAGCCTAGCTTATACCGTCCGTTGTACATTAAACGTGCATGCATAAACGTATCATGCGCAGAAAGTTTGTAGCTTTCAGTTCCGGATTAAAGGCTTTGTACTGTATAAGATAGAGAATAGGCCCAAGGATGCTACCCTGGGGGACGCCGGCTTTAATTAATATGCTTTCAGAATAAACATTGCCCTGCCTGACATAGAAGGGTCGATCATTTAGGAAGGAGTGAAGAATCAAAATCATTTCCCTGGGGAGATCGAGGGAAGCAAGCTCGTAGATAAGTCCGTTATGCCAGACACGGTCAAAGGCTTTTGCCACATCCAGCATAAGGAAAGCAGTTGTCTGGTGCTTATGAATAGCTGCGCTTAAAAATTCAATGATTTTGACAAACTGCATGGTAGTAGACAATCCTTTATCGAAACCAAACTGCTGGTTTGGAAGCGTGTTTAGGGCTGGTTGTAGTCTTCTGCAGATAATCCTCTCTGGGATCTTTCCCCGTGCCGGAAACAAGCTGATTGGGCTAACAAAATCTATAGCTATTACTTCCATATATACTTTTCACAGGAATGATGGGAAAAGCCACCACTAGCTTTTATAAATAGCATTCATTTTCAGCTGTGCGGCTAGAAATGAAAATGCTTATTATTTTAAAAACTGTTTCGTGGTTCTCATTCACCCAAAAAATCCTTGAAGTTAGGAAAATGCAATAAGTTTAATGATTTATAATTACAAAAATTGATTTATTACATTTCATGTCACATTGTTGGTATATCACATAGTTTTCATGTATTTAAAAGAAATTTAATATTTTTAACATAAGTTTAATATTTTAAAGAAAGATTTAAAATATAACTTTGTTTATTTGTACATAATGCAAAATGTAGGTTAAAAATCTACTTTTAAATTCTAACTTTTAAATTCTTTCTTTTCTCTTAACTTTTTAAATTCACGATTTACAATCAGTCTCCTAATAAATATAAAATATTCATTATGTGATATCAAAAATTTTTGGGAATAATTTAACATACTGTGTTAATACTTGATTCTGAGAACTGATAAAAGTTAGCAATAAACTAAGATATTTCAAGTTTTATAAATTGTGTAATGAATTTGTATTCACTGCCATAAAACTTTGTGCTTTAAGAAAGAACTGTCACGATCAAACATTTCTAAGTGTGATTGCAATGGCAAAGTAAATTATTGCAAAATTTGCTATTATATTGATTATAAAATTTAAAAATTATTTATTACAAGAAACATACAAATAAATGGAGCGTCTGTGTATCCACCTGGCATGCATCTTCATGGCAAGCTTCTATACAGTCTAACAATTTTTTTTATGCAAATTTTTATGGCAATGAATACTTGCACCCATTTCTAACATGCAAGAGTTCAGTTATGTTAATTTGTTCATCAAAGATTTATGTTGAAAGACTGTTCAATCATAATTTTTTTCCTACTCATTTTTAGCCTCGATATGGATTGAAAAGGAAATCTGATGAGCTTGATGGCGTCCCTATCATCCATCTGGTCGTTGATAATCAACGATCACAGCAGCAGCAACAGCATCGACATACAGATGTACAACAGCAGTTGCATTCACTGTCCCAAAAACGTGGTGGTGACCATAGCCACCATCATTCTTCACAAAGACATTATCACAAGCATAATTCAACTGCCAGTAACTTCAAAAATTCATCTAACAATGGGAACAATGCTTTAAACATCACTAAAAGTAGTAGTTCTGGCAGTGAAGGAGATTATCAATTGGTGCAGCATGAAGTTCTGTACTCTTCTGGTCACGAATATGAAGTTCTGGATTTTCTTGGACGGGGAACATTTGGACAGGTGATATTATGATCTTAATTTATTGTAACTTATAAGTTTTCAGGATAAGTGTAATCTTTAAAAAATTCGTATAAGGCTTATTAGGGTTGCTTTCTATTTCCTGTTAAAATTTCTAGCTTCTCTACTTAGCAGAAACAGTTAATCAATTAGTTGGTTTGTGGTAAGTGATTTTAAGTTATCAGAGTAAAAAGGTAGTTAAAATTCTAATCAATTTAAATTTTGGCAGAACAAAAATATAAGTTGTTAATTATTTCTATCTTTAATATGAACAATTTTTAGGTGGTTTATTTATACAGTAAAAGCTTGACTGCTTGGAAAGCTTGGGAAATTGGGAAATGTCGAATTCCAGATAGTTGAGCATGTAAAAAAACGGAATTCAAATGTTACAAAAGCCAAATTGATGGGGAAAATTTCTGCTTTAAAATAAAATAATCTCTGCATCTCTAAATTTGATGTCTTGTTAAAAATTTGGCAATTCTATGATAAAGTTGTTTGCAAAAATTTTGATTTGTGGTTTAAGAATATCATGATTATTCATTACCAAATATAATAATGTTGTGATAGCCATAAAATAAAGTAATATAATTTGATGAATGTTTTTGAAAGTAACATAAAACATTTTAGTTTCCTGTTGTTAAGTTTTGATGTGCCTTTAGCTTTCACACTTGAATATCTTGATTCTGAAATTTAAACAAGATAATAAATTAATTTAGAAGTCAAACAACATGAACCAGCAGTATATTTGCAAGTTTTCCAAGATTAGTTTTGAGGGTTTTACTGAACCATCTACCTCAGCTGCCAAAGTGCAAATGAACCAGATAACATATGGTTATAAGGAAAGAATGGCTGGACAGGAGTTAAGCTACTGGCACCATCTAGTGATCAACTTCAGTACTACTGTTTACCATAAACCTTTATTGGTTTGCTTTCCACCACACTTCAAATCATGTCATTCGACTAAACAGAAGCTAGCTTCATTTTATTCCTTTGTTTATCGTGCATTTCATGTGTGCTCCTCCAGATTGGCTCTTGATCAAAAACTAAATTATTTAATAGCAGTTGCTATTGGCAGGGGCTTTTCACCCAACATTATTAACTAAGTAGTTAAAAAATTCTCATCTCAGCACACCAAAATGCACACACTTGTTTTAAGAGATTGTAAGAATTGTGTTGTCATTCCTATTTTCCATCAGGTAGCTATAAGACTGAATGTATTTTACAGAAATTCAACTTTCAGGTCATTTATTCTCCTATAAATAAAATTCCCAGTTCCATATTTAAGGACCCCATTCCAGATATGAATTCCTGGAGTATTTGCAGGATTCCTTGCCAGTATAGTTTAATTTACTTTGGTCAAACAAAGGGCACCTTAAAATTTTGCGTTAAAGAACATGAGGCATATTTTAGGAACATGAAACACAGAAGTTCTCTGTTGCCCAGCACTGTTGGTCCGAAAATCACACTTTTCATTTCTCTACAGCCAAACATATACAAAAACATCTTCCATTGGGGAATTAGATTTTCTAGAGGCATTTCGCATTCAAAAAAATCTTTCTGTTCTAGTTAACGACCCTAATTCCAATTCATCTGTACCTTAAGCCTTTAAGGAATTGTTTCATCAATAGATAGCACCAGTAGCTTAACTCCTGACCAACCATTCTTATTTTATCACCATATTCTTATCTCCTTCATATGCACTTTGGAAATTAAAGAAGATGGTTCGGTAGTCAAACCATTTAAACTAGTCCTGGAAAATTTGCAGTTGTAACACTGATTTTTGTTGTTTCACTTCTAAATTAATCTTTGTTTGGTGTGATATTTTAACCTAAAAGATAATAATTATAAAACAAAGTTTCATAATTGCATTTGTGTTAAAAGCATAAAAAAGCTACTGCAGTTATTTTAAAATTACTTCTATTTCAATAATTTTCCATTTTTATGATAAAAGTTTTCCGTTGTGTAATTGTTTAAAATATTCAATTATGTGTCTTTTTTTCTGTAAAATTCACTTATTATTTTTTTTTCCTGCTTTATATCTCATGAAGTTGACAGATATAATAAACTCTTGCCAAACATGGGGATTATGCCATTAGTACATAGCACACATGGCGAAATCGAATTCTGTAATGTTAACTTTGCATGAAATACTCGTGTTAGGTATAGTTCGAATTAAGAATGTTTGTATAATTTAAAGAAACCTAAATACTGTAATTAAAAGGCAAGAATGAAACAAATAATTAATTGAAAGGTTTTTATTATTGCTTAAAAAGTAGGTATCTGGCATGTTTATATTTTAAAAAAGTGGTTATTTTTGCTTAGGGCTACACAATGCAACTTTTTAACAAACAAAGCAACAAAGTTTAGCAGTGAAGAATGCAGTTTTCCAATGCATTTCACAAAGTGTGTGTCCTCTTTTTTTCATTTGGGCCAATCTCCATTGCAAAATCAGGCAGTTTCTGTACCTTTTTTGAACAGTTCATTTATTTGTAAGTTATAGGCACTTTAACTTTTTTTTTTTTTAGTATCGTGGCTTTTATTGTCGGTTGGTGTTATAAAATCAATTCTTCATTCATCATTTCTTAACTATCATTCTTGATTAATTCTTTGACTTCTCCTCCTTCCATATCTGAAATCATTCTTCCAGATACCATGTATTGATGAAATACTAGCATTGAGCAAAAGGAAATAATTAAGATAATTCATATGGTGCAGAATCACATTCCTCAATTCTGAATTCAACAAGAGTTTGTTGTATGCATAATAAATCACCACTGCGGTGTGTCATTACGACGGAACTTAATTAAAATGAAGACTTGAATGAATTTTAAAGAGCTCTAAATCAGAGTTTTAAATTTTATCATATATATAAATTATTTTCAATTCTTTTAAGTTTCTTATGTACCATTTTATACTTTTTAGAAAGTGAGAGTATTCTGTAGTTTATAAGATCTTTTTCTGGAATTACAATGTCAGATTCATCACCAAAGCTTTCTTCTATACCAAAAATATTTACATATTCAGGAGGCTGTACTATGCATAATTATGTTAATATTTATTATTCTTACAAGTAGCCAGATATTGTCTTCATTCTATATTTTCATTTTATAAAATAATGTTAACCATTTCCACTTGGAAGGTATGGGGTCAAGGACATTTTATTGAAAGAAAGTTGGGAAACCCTTTTGGAAATCAAATAATTGAAGTTTTACTAGCATAATACAGTACATTACACCAAACAACTTACAACTTAATAGTGGCATGTCTAAGAATAAAGTTTGAGAGAGAGGCACTATGTATTTACTCTTCAAGCAAGGTGTGAAAAAAGTGTTGTGTCTTTGCAACTAATGTTTCCTGTTAGACACACATGATTTAGTGAATCCCCTTTCCTGATTTGTCATCACATATCTTTGTATCGCAGTTTTTAATGTTTAGTCTTTATATAAGAAAATATTTTCCGGAAATTAATGAAACTTAAATTGTGTAAATTTCATTCCTTTACCACTAGTGATTTTCAGCATAATGCTTCTTATTAAATTTTATTTGACCTGAAATGAATCTACTAGAGGCATATATAAAATTTTTAGGAAAACTCAAGCAATGTTTAATCAGTTAATATTTGCATATTTTGCAATACTTGAATATATGATGCATTGTGAAGTTTATCCACACAATAAACTCTACATTATTTACTAATTTTATTTTAATCACATTTAAAAGTACTTAAAAATGAAAGCTTTCTTATTTTTAAATTTCGCTACTGAAGATTTTCTCTGCATATTTTTGTAGCGAATGTCTGAACACTTTCAGCTTAATACATTTTGTCCAGAATGGCCAGTACTCACCTTTAAGAATATAGCCTAAGGTGCTGTAATGTCTTCAGCTATTTTCTAACAGCCATCCTGAAATTCTTGGAAAGGGTTATTTCTATATGACCATGTAGCAGTTCTTGAGAAAGCTGAATGTGACATGTAATCCAGATCCAGAAAGAGAGTTTATTAATGAGGGTTTAGTGTTTATAGAGAGCCCACAAACATTATCTTCTAAAATATTTACATACAGGGGGAGTGTAAATTAAATACACTACGTCTTTGTCCAGCTCGCCACAGTGCTCACAGGGGGCACCTAAATTTGCATCTGTGAGAAGGCAGTTCTGTCCTAATTTTAATGAAAAAAACCCAGAATATCCCACTCTTTTTTATCTATCGTCAAGCCACTTAAAAGGACTTTTGACTCACCATTATTTTAAATGCCCCTAACAGATTCATTATATGCATACAAACATTGAGGATTTCTCCTGAATTCGAACCCGGGCCCAGCAGTCTCCGTGTTCGAATTCAAGAGAAACCACTGTACTGATTAGAGCAGTTTTCCTCAGTATAAAAGTGTAACAAACTTAAAAAATGAAATGTAAAAGGTAAGGAATGTGAAATTTAGAATATCTAATTAAATCTTAATTTGTTTTACACCAAAATCATATAAATAGTTCAGTAACTTGAATCTTACATTATAAAACAGATTTATGTCAATTTGGAATTCTTTTTATGTACCCTCATTGAAATAGCAAAAACCCTGTTGAAACTCCTGGCTTTTGCACAAGAATCGCTTGATTATTCATATTTAAAAGTTGGCAGCTATCTATATATATTTAAAAGCGTAGAATCCAAATTAAAGTTGAATAGTTAATTAGAGATTGAATAATTAGAGGCTGAATGCAGCAATGATGGAGCTTCTAAAGGGAAAAAATGCAGTCAAGTTAGTTGACTGTATTAATCAGTCTCTGGTCTTTTCCCTTTTAACTATTATAAATAAATTTTATTTATTTATTTATTTTTTTTTTTTTTTTTTGTTAAGGGGCTAATTTAAAGTTAAAACTATGAATGCTGAAAATTTGTTAAGGGGCTAATTTAAAGTTAAAACTATGAATGCTGAAAATAATTATTGTAATACATGCATATTTATGCTTTAGGTTGTAAAATGCTGGAAGAAAGGGACCAACGAATTAGTTGCTATTAAGATATTAAAAAATCACCCATCTTATGCAAGACAAGGTCAGATTGAAGTGAGCATTTTACATAGGCTAAGCCAAGAAAATGCTGATGAGGTAAGCCAATTATGCTAGCATCTGTATATGCTATTATGTGTATAATTATGTAATTTATCATCTCATTTTTGTCTAATTATAAAAATATTAGTGTAACATTTTCGTATTTGCACTGAATAAAAAATATTTACATTATATAAATGATTCCTTCTTTTTAACCTTTTACATGCCAATGTTCATTTTTTAGAGCATCATGTTTAATGTTTTTTAAAAAATAAACTATCATATTTGTCATTTTGTAAAAATTAACTTTAATTATAAAAGGTATGATTGGTTTTTTGACATAAAATTTATTTTTCAAATGTGAAAATTTCTGAAAATCAGCTTTTTTTACTATTTTTGAAAACAAATTCTGCAAAATTTCTAAAAATTCAAACACACCGAAAAATTTCCCCATCGTACTTGTAAATAACAACTTTAATGAGTTAACCGCTTGCCTGATTATCCCGAGTTATCTCGGGTTCGTATATATTGCAGTTAATTATTATCCCGAGAAAACTCGTGCGAAGCAGAATACGAGATTAGTACAATTTCTTTTATCACGGTTTTACTCGGTCTGGAGGAAATGAAAGGAAATATTCAGCTTTGATTGGCAGTTTGCCAAATTTTGTTGGTTGCACGGTTTTTTTGGATGGTCTGATTGCGTGTTTCCCTATTGTATAGTATATGTTGGCTTGTGGATTAGTAATGTATAAAAAAGGATCCATGCGTTGTAAAAAAATAAAATAATGGCGATGATGGAAGGTAGCGAAAGCGATGATTTTTCAGATAGTGATTATGAAGAGGCAGGGGGAAAAAATCAAAAAAAAAAAAATCAAATCCAATGAGACAGTGCACTCTGTGCTCCCGTGAAAGAGATTCCAGCGGTAAGCCAGTAAGAAAAGAGACCAGATACCAGTGTAGAACATCAGGTATCACTCTGTGTTGTCCCTTGTTTCCAAAATTATCATACAAAGATTAATATTTAACTTTTTTTCGTTTGCCCGAGATAACTCGGGATAGTAAACTAATATTAAAAATAAATGCTTTTACACCTTCAAAAAATTAAAAATTCAACTTAAAACCTACATATTTTGATTTGTTTTGTTTTGTTGTATTTAATAATAAAATAAAAAAATGTGATGATTTTTTACAATTTTTTTCAAAAAAAAATATGTAAGGGAAGCGGTTAATAAAAGAAATTGAAATAATAATAAATAATATTTCCTTGCATAAAATTGCAATGTTCCAAAAAAGGAACATTGATATGTAACAATATAGAAAATCAGTGATATCACACGTATATTTTTCTTTAATAGATTTTAAATGCATTCAGTGCTCATATCTCGTAAATATGCCCTTATTCCCTATTTTAGAGTCATTAATGGTGTGTCGTTTATTTCTGTAGAAAGGAGGGGGCAGAGGACTGGAAGGGGGATATGACCTCTCTCACCAAGGAGTGGTGGTAATTGGTTTCAGCTGCATTTCCCAGTTTTCAGTTCCGATTTCTGCTTCTGTTAGAAATGACCACATGTGCTTCATTGTTTATATTAGGTCTTTCGAAAAGTTTTGAAAAATGAAAATTTGCGGCTTAGATGAAAAGTTGTCTCTGAACAATTATCTTTTTTCGAAAAGTTTGAAAAATGAAAATTTGCGGCTTAGATCAAAAGTTGTCTCTGAACAATTATCTTTTATTGACAATCCAGAGAAACACAAAGTATTTTTCTGGAACTTTTTTCATCGCACAGTGTGCTGACTGATTTTTTGTCTAGCAACCCATTACCGCCAAAATTACAAGGAATGTTTCTTTTCCTTGTAATTTTGTAAAATAATAACAAATATTAAATTAAGCATTTATAACATAAATTTACATTGAAAATTAAAAAAAAATGCTCTTACCTGTGGAAAAAGCGAGCGTTGCGTTCGCGCAACGTCAGCGGAATAAGACTACAGATGTTTAGTGAGTAGGATTGTATTCGTGTGATGTTTCTTGTGAGTGGAGCGCAGGATTACTTTTTAGCTGTATAACGTTTTATAAATCTACAAATCACTTTACTTGTAATTAATTTAATATTAAAATATACATTGCATTTCTTTTACAAATACAGATTATTTCAATTGAAGGATTCAAGCATGAACAGCTTGATTACAATCATGATGTAAAGCTACATTACATACTTTGCATCTATAAACAGTCTGGCTATGGTACTCTTTACAACAAAGTCTTTTGTTATCAACGGACTTTACGATAAAATGTCTACCATCTCCATGCAATGGTTTTTGAATGCTGAATTTACTTGTTCCTCCTGTTGCTGATCTATTTTTGGCTAATTCTACGCTCTCAATAGGAGTTTGCAAAAGGAATAATGCATTCTCGCGTCTGAAATCTAAGAGATACTTTATATTTCCAGTAGTAAAAAGTGGTGATATTTAGTAAGTTTAGATGCGGTCTCTCCTCATATAATTTATCAGTATTGTCAGTTTGACTATTGTCAAATGCAAAATTCAAATGCACTTCATATCCTGTACTGCAAACGTGATATCGATTCTCGTACAACAGGAACAGAAATGTCCTTATCAAAAGACCAATATATTTTTTTCTTGAGGTAAAGAATGATATCCTGAAACAATAATATTCCAATAAATCTTCTCATATAGGCTTCAGATGCAGTAAATTCTTTTTTTTTTTTTTTTTTTTTTCCTCAGCATATATATTTGTCTGTTCAACGAGAAGAAAGTAGATGTCTAAACCAAAAAGAAAATCGAAAATCTGTGCACTAGTTTTACCTTGTATTTTGTCTTTTATAATTTCTCTTCTATCTCTTTCTTCATGTTTTTCCTGAGACATATCTAACAGTTCCTTTTTTATCCACTTCAAGATTTCAGTCTTCTGCTTTTTAAACTTTTTACTATGACTATAACTGCTTTTAGAAGACTGAAACTTAATTCTTATGTGAATTTCAACTTCCCCAGCAGTATTATTTGGTAAAATATCATTATCATTATTTAAATCATTGCCATTCCTTTCTTCTTTGTCACTAGTTTCTGCAATTTCTGGGGGAACAACAACAATATCAGTTTCATTCTGGTCATTATTAACATTATCATCATCTGTTTCTTCATCAAAAAATATTTGAAGGGCTTCTTCTAATGTAAGTTACCTCATTCTAGGCATTTTTAAACAACCAGAACATCGAAAGGAATGAGTGGAAAAAGAGATTGACTACCCGTTTCCTGCTGGCTTTGCGTCAGCGCAACACCTGTTTTCCCTTCCTTCCCAACACAAATATAAACATCTGACTGATGTAATGTTCTAATAAATGGTGACCTTGACTAAAAATAGATCACTCATAAAGACGGCTATTCTTTCGTTAAGTATTTTCAGCAAAAATACCAGGTCGAAAATTTTGCTTAAATTGTGCTTAAAGTATGAGATTAATTATTATAAACAAAATGATTTTTGAAGGCAAATATTTTTTTACAGAAATAATCTTCATAATATTCCCTACACAAAATCATCTGGCTGGTATAAAATATCTTAGGTAATTATATTTATATATGCATTTATTTTGACCTTTGTGTCAACGCAACACCAGCGGCTAATGGGTTAAGACAGTTGGCACGGTACAAGCAAAACAGATGCATACAGCAGGACAGCAAAAGAGATGTTGAAATTTCAACAGGGAGAATTTGATTACTGATGAGATGGAGAAGTTTATGTGTGCTTTTGGGACGGCAATTCTGTTTTAACTATTGCATCAAATTTTATCACTCACAAACCATTAGGAAGAGCAAAAAGATGTGTCCGAACTTAAAAAAAAGAAAGTTGATGTTCTCCAAACTTACATTATAAAATTATATAATGAAGGAATGGGTGGAGTAGACCTGTTGGACCGACACCTTGGAGTTATTGACCAAAATTTCGCAGCAAAAAATTTTACTGGATATTATTTATCAACGCGCTGATTATAGTTGTGGCAGCTGGGTGGATCTCACATGTTGATTTACATGAAACATCACAATAGAAATGTGTCATGCAACTTTTAGAAAAGAAATTACTATGAATTTGCTTCGAGCGAAAGCTAAAATTCGTAAAATTCAAAACCTAAAATTCATCACAAGGGCGTTGTGTAGTGTGCCAAGAAAATGCTACAAACATGTATTTTGAATGCAAAAAAATGCTCTGTACATTGCTTCCCGCAATATCATGGACACTGAGAAACTGTTAAAAAGGATTACAAAAAATTAGTGTTTTAGAATGTTTTTCATTTTTTGTGCTACTGGTTGAAATCCCACGTCTTCTAAAAGATAAAATATTTTATTTTTTATTGGTAAGGTATTTTACATTTTTAAAGCAGCATTTATTCATATTATATATATATATATATATATATATTGTTAATCAAGCTTGTATAAGTTTTTATTGTTTCTTTACACTTTTTGCACTGCATTTCTTAAACAATAATATGCTAAGTAAAAATTGTGTAAACTTTTTAATGAGTTTTTACTTAAATTTTAGCAATTTCACATCAAATTGTTCTGTAAACCATTATTACAGCATAAAATTTTAAGATTCATCATACAATGCTTTGTTTTCATGAAGCAAAAAAAAAGAGAAAAGGCAGCTTACATGCCAATGTTCCAAAAATGGAACATCCGGGAAATCGTAGACAGAAATTTTTTTACGGCAGTTTTTTTGTTTTATAGTCTTTATGGGTGTATTCTAATGTGAATTTGATTAGTTGTGGCTTTTATATGTTACTTTTATTCGTTTGATTACTTAGTTGTGACTTTATTTCTGGATCATAGTGAGGCATGTAAAAGGTTAAAGTAATTCAATCTTTTCCATTGGGTAAATGTAAATTGTATGTATTTAAATTTGTGCATTTATGATAAGTATTTCTATGTATTTGGCAAGAAATGTTCTCAATTTTTTGTTAAAGCTTGGAGATTTACTTATGAGTTCAGATCATTTATAAACTATTTTATCATCAAAATTATAGTAGATTTTAAATAACTGAAAAAGTATTTTTATTTTATTTAACTCTAGTGTACTTTTCTTAATTTGCCAACAATTCTTGAAGATATTTCTCTTTGCTAGAGGCAAGTACAGGTGAATGCAGTTACCATCCATTTTACCATTAGCATTCTTAGATAATCATCTCTGCTGTCTGCAGTAGTGCTAAAAAAGTGACCAATTGTAGTTTAAAACTAGCAAAAGGAGCAGTCCTTTTTTATCTGGGCATCATTCACTCATATTAGAAATAAAGAATTGTATTTCATTTACAAAAGCGAGAGTAAACTGAAGGCCGGAAAAGTCTTCTGACTGCTTAAAAATAGTTGCTGCAACTGAGAACCAAAATAAAATATGCTTTGCCTAAAAATGAATAAAAAGATGCTGGCACCATAAGTGCTTCTTAATTCCAGTATTGTCGCCTCTTATTATCAAATAAGAGCAAATGAAGTAGTAGTCCCCTTCAGATCTATCTTATGTGAGCAAATATTTGCACTTTCAGCAGTGTATATATATATATTGATACAGGCTAGGATTTGTTGATATCTCTTTAAAATAGCCCCATGAAATAAGAACACACAGGTAGATTTTGGCAAGATATCTTGGTTGACTGGCGATTCAGTCTCGGGACTTGCTTTAACAAAGAAGTACCAGTTTGATTTATAAAACGTTCTTGAGCTTGGGTTCATATTTTTTAGCAAAATCTTGCCTCTTGTTCTTATATATTAATTGGCTTATATTCAGAATTACATGGTATTTACATAACAATTTTATTGCCAAAGGTGTAGATCAATAGTTTTAAATAGTAATATCAAATGTTCGGCAACTCTTAACAATAGATTCTTTTAAAATTGTATTTAATATTGCTACAATAAAAGTATTAATTTATCTTTACTCAGATATTTTAATGCCTATATTTAAGTTAAACTTTGGAGCTGTTTTCAGTTGGTTCTCTCTACTGAAATTTTTCATTATTATTATTTTTATAGCATTTATCTATTGCAGAATTTCTCTGCAACTTTATGTTTCTTTTAACAATGATTTAAATTTAAAATTATTCCCACTGTTTAAAAAAAGTCATTGGTATTGATTACACAAAATTAGTTTTCAATTTCTCTAAAATTCTTTGTGTGAGACTCTACCAAGCATTTTCATTTCAAGTGACACGTGATGGCAAGTTACAGTGAAGCATTTTGGCATGTGCAATCTGTGATCTAGTTACAGGTAGCTGAAAGGTTTTGCAAATATTTATTATTCTCTGCATTTTATTTAAGGTACCAATTTGGATGTTGAATCAAACTGAAAGTGGAACTGTGAATTGAGCTTGAGTTTTTTTTTTTTTTTTTTTTTTTTTTTTTTTTTTTATCTGCAATATACTAACAAAATACACATGTACTTCATAATAACTGTTACAAAATCTAGTAACTGTAATTATTTATGTACATATTGGTATTCTGAAAACTGTACTGCAAGAATGCAGGCCTAACATTTGGTGATTAAAAAATATATAATATTACTTTTAAAATAGTAAAGTTTTGTCATTAAAATTTCAACTAAATTTTTTTTCGTTTCTTTTTTTCAGTATAATTTTGTTCGGGCATATGAATGCTTCACTCACAAAAACCACACATGTTTGGTGTTCGAAATGTTGGAGCAAAATTTGTATGATTTCCTAAAACAAAATAAGTTTAGCCCTCTATCTTTAAAGTACATCCGTCCCATTCTGCAGCAGGTGCTGACTGCACTTTTAAAGTTGAAGGTATGTAAATAATTTTTTTAAAAATTTTATTAAGATATATATGTAATTATATTTTCATATTTATTATGTATACAGTAGCTTTGATTTACAATATATATATGCCATGTTGAGACAATTGTGTTCCAAAACATGTTTTAATATTTTATAAGGTTATTATGATTTCTGATTGATTTATCCATAGACTACAATCTTTATTTGACAATAATTTGTAAAAAGGAAAGCACTATTTCAAAAGTCTGTAGCAGAGGATCATATTGTTTAAGAGAAATATCAATCTGACCTTGCACACTAATTTGATCTACTAGATTTATGTGTTGCTTACCATTATTAAATAATGTTGCCTGGCATATATTGCATGAATTTGTTGAAAAAGAAAGGAAACTCATTAGTATTCAAAATATATTAAATTTTTCTCCTTCGCAAATTAAAGTGCTTAAATGCTGAGCTTTGCAAATTATTTAAACTCAAGTCATATGCATCTATTTAATTTGTTAATTCATTTGTAGTGTTAATCTTATCTTCATTTCTAATTGTTCTTGAATGATTCGAAATCCATGTGCACTTACGTGCTTTTGAATTATTTTATTTGCAATGAATTTCAGAAATTTTATTTTTCTTTGAAAAGACTGAAATTATATTTTTGTTCATTTTTGTTTATTGTAATATTTGTTTTTCGAAGAATAATTAGTGATTTAGAATTTGACAATTTCAATTTGATATTAGTTGTTCATTATTACTGGATGAAAATAAAAGATCTACCTGAAAGTTCTATCTGATAATGTTATTTCAAATTTCAGCATGCAAGCACGTGTTCATTTGAGACATGTATGGCTGTCTGTGTTTATCATTGCATTTATACACATGTACTCTTCTAAACAAAACAAACAAAAAACTGAAAGTGTCTCAGATCATTACTAAGATAAAAAAAAGTGTAAACATGGCTACTGATAAGTTCATTACCCCTCCCCAGACGGCTCAGTTTTTATATTTTCCGGTCCTGAAATACGGGGCGATTTTTTTATATTTTCCTTATCTACATATGTTACAATTCACATTTTTATCAGCTGTTTTAAAATAAAGAAGAATTTTAATAGCTTTTCGTTTTAAAAAAAATCTATACGTGGTTTATAAGTTAAAAAAATCGCACGATATTTTTATTTTCAGATAAATATAATTTTTAAACAATTTGTCTCTAAAAGTGTTACAGAAATTTTGTAATGAAACAGAAAAAATAAAAGAAAAAAATCAGTTTTACTTTGTTAAAATATATACATAAATATGAAAAAAAGTTTTCATTATTAGTAAATATTACAACTTACTTATATTGATCTTAGAAATAAAGATTGTATTATTTTTACTGACATCATTATTATGGAAAGTTTTTTTGAGTGTGATACACTTTGAAACATGGCTCTAAACATAGTCCAACTTGACACTCTTCGCACCAAATGCGAGTCTCTTTGCGTATCTTCTTCCCATTTTTGTCTTTTTTGGAGCAACATACAGCACAATGTCTCCTAGGTTCCTTTTTATTAGATTTGGTGGAATATGGCTAGCAAAATGACTTTCTATGAGCCGAATACAGCTAGTGCTAGCATCGCTGGTACATTTTGATGCATATATAGAAGAATATTTGTCAAAAATTGCTTCGATCACAGCTAATTTGAAATCAAGGAGAGATTTACTTGTTTTTGTAATTTTTCTGTATACTATATATGAATTCCACAATGACTTATCCAATAATAAGAAAAAAATTTTCTTATAATACTTTCATTGTTGTTTTCGGGTACTTGGGTAATATGACATCTCCTGATCGCATCTGTCGACGCCACTCATTGTAAAGTTGTAATCATAAATCACTTTCGGTTTTAGTGTTTCCTTTGTTGTCCCAGAATGGACTGAATCAGATAAAGTATCATGGAAAGTACTAAGCATATTTACTATTTTTTTATCTTTCCACTTCAGTACCATAACCTTTCCATGCTGATATGCAATGGATTGTCCTTTTTCTACTTTTTCTTTTGCAAAACCTGGAGGTAAATCTTTTCTATTACTGCGGAGTGTATCATATATGTCCGTTTTCTTTTGAACAAGAATATCTGCCAAGCTTGGCAACATATAGTAATTATCAACAGTTATGCAAAATCCTCTGTTTAGAAATGTGTAATAGGTTGATCCACAACAACAGCAGTTGATTGTGGATATGATGAGTATTCCTATAACAGAGACACACCTTTTCCCATATACAAAAAGTCGCATATGTAACCTGACGAAGCTTCATATAGCATGAAAAATTTTATCCCAAACCGTGAATGTTTCAAAGGAATATACTGTTTCCATGACAAACGACCTTTGTAAAGCATTAGTGATTCATCTACAGTGAGCTGTTCTTCGGGACTAACTATTTCACAAAACTTTTTTCTAATGTGCTCAATGACATCATAAATTTTCCATAACTTAGCGCAAGGGTGTGTAGACAAATCAAAATTTTCATTATTGACAAAATGGAGATTTCTCATCAACAAGTAAAAACGATCACGTTTCATAATTTTTGAAAATATTGGAGTGTTTATAGATTCTCTTTTCAACCAATACCAATGATAATCTGGCTTTTTTACTAAACCTTGCAAAAATAAAAGGGCAAAAAATAGCATATTTTTTAGCAATCAACTGCTGTTGTTGTGGATCAACCTATTACACATTTCGTCACCATTTGTTGGAATCCAGAGTTCACGCTTCCTTAGATTAGCAGAGGGATGTTGAGAGGCAAATCTATTTGCTTCATTTACTATTAAATCTTGTAAGTCTCTATCCATAAATAAGCTGAAAAATTCCAAAGGTCCGTCTTCTTCACTTACATTCGCGAGTACTTTTGGATCACCGGAAAACTGAAATCTAGCGTGAGCATGAGGTGGGTTATACTCATGTTTATTCTCATCCATGAATGAGCATTCTGAATTGTTCCATCATCATCGGAATCTTTGGATTCACTTCCAGATAACTGACTTTCCGATGAGTCTTCACTACCATCATCACTGCCCTGATTTATGGAATACTCCGAATCAGAATCACTATCTTCATAATCAAGATATTTTCGTTTGCTATTCCTACATATAACGCTGCTGACACTTGGCAAATCCATATCTTTCATAAATGTTTATTGGGCGAAAGACAAAAGAAAGCATGCAAACTCACAAATACGCGGGGAAAAAAATCAAGCCCCTCCCAAAAAAAAAAACCAAATTCCTGATTTTTCTAGTGCCACCTAGCAGTGAAAATAAGCATCAGATGATGGTTTTTTAAAGTACACAGGGAAATGGCGGGATCCACATTGAAATCAGGGCAAAAAATTCTTCGCCAGTGATTTTCACGTGACCCATAGTGGGGGGCGAAACAGATACCCCGCTCAAATCGCATGCACTGTACGCGGAGGGTTAACGACACCGTATTTTATATGAATTCCATAGTAAAAAGGCTACAAAAGCTGGCTGGAAAATTCTGCTGCATCCGTCATACTCCCCAGATATCACTTGATACTATACTTTCTTTGATTATCACTTGTTTCTCTTCTTGCAAAATTTTTTGAAGGGGAATACTAAGAGTTCTTTGCCTCTAATAATATTTTCCACATAGATGGAGTTTTCCTGAAAACCATATAAAATTATGCTTTATAAATTTTTGACATAATATTTTTTAGCTTTTAAACAGATATTATCAATTTGATTCATTTGTTTGTTTATGTTTTACTTTTCATTCCAGCAACTGGGTCTTATACATGCTGATTTAAAACCTGAAAACATAATGTTAGTTGATCCTTCTCGCCATCCTTATCGTGTGAAAGTGATTGACTTTGGATCTGCAAGTCATGTATCCAAAGCTGTGTGTTCAACATATCTTCAAAGTCGTTATTACAGGTATTTAATTAAGTCTACTTAAATTAGCATTGGATCCTTTGCTCTAGAAATTTTCAGTTCATATTTCATTATTGATCAAATGAAACTCTTTTTTTTTTTTTTAAGGAAGGATTTAGAAGAAGCAAAAAAGCTACCTGAAAATTGATTTATTTTAATTTTAGCAGTTGATTTTAACAGATTTGGATTTTTTATTTAGATTTAAAAAGCATTTGGGTTGCTATTGCTAGACTGTAGTGGTCTCAGACTCAGTTTAGATGCAGGTCAAATGCATGCTCTGAAAACAGCTGATGAACCAGAATTTTATTACTATTTTTTTTAAGTAAAATGAAAATTTTTATCAACAAAATAAAATGTAAATTTTAAATTTTGCTTACTAAATATTTAGTAACATATAAATAAACAATAACAGTAATAGCTCAATGGGGGAAAAAAAAAAAAGTTAATTTATATTTTCTGTCTGAAACGTTCTGTTTGGTACTCAAGAGACAATTTTGTTGGTTACGCTTTGGACTTTAAACATACTGACAGCTAAATATAAATATTTCAAACTGCCATTTATTTCTAATAATTCTAATATGCTTGATTATTCATAAAATAACTTACTTTAATTTAAATTAGAACTAAATAAATTCGAAAGCTTTCTAAGTTTTCAGAAAAAATATACCAAGTGGGGCCTTGAAAATAAATAATTCTAATCTTTCTCTAACTTGATAAGTTTTTCCTCAATATGTAACTAAAGATATATATGTAGGTAAGTAAGTAATTATAATTTTTTTATGTTAAATACAAAATTTGTTTATATAATATTCGCACACTTTAGAAAAATTAATAAAAAATATCTTCATCACAGGAGATTAAGGCTTTTTCATCAAATGGGTTCTTTTGTTATTGATTTTCAACTGTGGGAAGAAAAAAAGGTGTTTGCATTAAAATATATTCTCAAACAAAGCGATTATTTTTAGTACAAATATTCGTAACTGAGCTTATTTATTTTCTGGCACGAATAAAAGTTGACAAGATATGTATCTTCAACTCTTTGAGTAAGATTTATAGCACACTGTAAATTAGCTCTATTTATAAATTTTCTGGCGTGTTATTTATGATTGATTTAATAGTAATGAAAATAATCTAAACTTGGACTTTAACAAAACAAGTAACTAAAATCTTTAAACCTTTCCAACTCTATATGCAACAAATACGTAAATGAAATGTATTCTTGAACCACATAAAATTGTTCCTGGGCTGCCAGTTTGAGACTGTTTGGTTATGGTACAACGTAATATTTGACTAATATTATATGCTAATGCAAGTTTCTTTTTATGAAATATTGTTATTATTATTTCCCCCCCCCCAGAGCACCTGAAATTATCCTTGGTCTTCCATTCTGTGAGGCTATAGATATGTGGTCTTTGGGTTGTGTCATAGCAGAATTATTTCTTGGGTGGCCACTGTATCCCGGTTCTTCAGAGTTTGATCAGGTAATTTTTTTTAATGTATAATGTATATAGTTTGAGTTTAGTATTGATACTAATTAGTCTAATAAGTTTAATGCTAGGGCTTATATATCAATAAAGTGATCCTATGAGTTATAATGAAGATGCATTTGTCCTTTAAATTATTATTCTTACAAAAGTTCACCAACTTTAAAAAAATGCATGTGATTAAAATGCACAATCTGAAAGCAGCTGATGGGCAGAAAAATTTTTCTTATAATATTGAGGGTGGAATAAATTTTAAATTTTACTTTATACTAAATTACTGATGATAACTAAATATAACTAATGTACTAAATTACTAATGATAAATATTTGCTAAATATTTATCAAAATATACATTCGTAATAATAATAACTACAAAAAAAGGGGAAATGAAACTTATTTTCCATTTGAAGTCTAAAAGTTGGTACCTGTAATAAAAATGTCTGTTACTTTATAATTCAAGCATATTGACAATTAATGTTAAATTTTAGACTAAATATTTATTTCAAATAATTCAAATATGTTGAATTAATGTTGTTTACTAAATAATTTCCTTTTAATTTAAAACATAATACAGAAAACACTAAAATAATGAAGCAGCATGAATTGTCAGTTGGCAAACTAAATTTACTTAATGTGGTAAATACTCCCAACTTATTCTAGTCACGTGGCTTGATATACAAGCATATGATGACAGGGAACAAATTAATTCTACCTTTCTTCTTCAATAGCAGTTTTGCACATGATCTCAATCCATATCTCTATTACAAGATATAAATGCCACATTTACAATAAATACATAATTAAAATGCATTCACAGGCTGCGTAAAATTGATTTGGGAGCTAGATGTGAGCTGCAAATTTGTGGCTGCCTAAAAACTGTAAATATTATGTACTGAAACAGTTAGGCATTTTCATATGCATGTCAATAAGTTAAACGTTTTCATTAGTTATCATTTGATGTAATTAAAGCTGAAAGGACAAAATAATTGACTAGTTCAAATGTACATTATAAAAATATGTATTTCCTCTCTTTGAAAAAAAGACTTCAGTTTTGCTGAAATCTTGGGTATTTCTTCTTGTTTAGCTGATTATTTCTTTTGCATTTTGTCTTTCAAAATAATTTTAAGCATTATGAGATGGAGTTTGGAATCCTATTTAGTTTATAAGAAATCATTTATTGAATAGTGTGATAGCTAAAGGCGACTGTGATGTTATTAATTTTAATGCTTTTTTATACTATTAGCTCATTCTAAAGTTATAGTTTTAATTAAAACAGTAACTTGGAAATAAATCACAAACATAGGCCCTTGTTCATAGAGGCCAACTGAAGCAGCTGAATACTGTAACTTCCAAGCTGCTTGAGTGTTTAATTAATTTTCCCCATTCTATTTACGTAAAAATAGTTTTTCTGAGAAACTTATTAGTAAATAGTCTTTGTATGTATAGTTGATTTCAGTACTATGCAATATCAGCAATATTGCATAGTACTGAAATTTTTCACATTTCCAATGCAGCATTTTCAGTAAAAATAGATATTACTTCTGCATTATTAATGTGATTTTAAATTTTAACATGTGTTTAATTTAGTATAAAATTTTAATAATTATTATTCATAGATATTTTTTGTGGAAAATTTTATTTTAAATTATATATTTGGTTAAAAAATTAACTTATTGAAATACCTGTATATTTTTTTCTTTTTTGTATTCTTATTATTAGTTTTAACAGGTGTTTTCTCATGTTACCTTTCCTTTCTCTAGATAAGATACATAAGCCAGACTCAGGGACTACCTGCAGAGCACATGCTTAACAATGCAACTAAAACTACTCGCTTCTTCTACAGAGAAGAAGACAGTAATTACCCTTTCTGGAGATTAAAGGTAAATCCCTGGAAACTGAAGGTAAATTTGAAATGAGTGTTTAAAACTCGGAGCTTAAATTTGGTATTTAAAATTGCTTTTTATATTTGTGTTAAATGGAAACTTATAGTTTCTAGGTCACTCAGACGGTTTAGTGGTTAGGGGAGCCTACTACGGTACTAAAGGGCCCGGGTTCTAATCCCCAGTAAGACATGGATGTTTATAAATCTATAATATCGGTACAGCATGGCGGCACTCTAAATATGTGGCAAACCGAAAGTCCCGTGTGGATTGGTGGGTGAGGAAAGGGGTTGGAGACCTCCGGATTCCCCCCTCCCCCGGTGCTTTCCCTCAAAATTGGGAGTGGAAAATAGAATTCCAACCTCTCATCAGAGTAGGCTCTGGCAACCATTGATTCATGTAATATGTACAAGACAACAACAATAGTTCCTAGATTTGATATTTAAATGTAGAATTCATTAGGATACTTCATCTGATACAGACTGATAAAATTTTATCAGTTTTGCTGTTGAGCAAGGAATTTGGACATTTATTGGGTATGATACTGTTGTGTTCTACAAATTTGTGGATTTGGAGTGATTGATGGCAATGCATGATGAAGAATCAAAACATAATTTATTTGTCATTATTACACAGGAGAGTTCCAAAGACATGTTTACAGTTGTTGAAAAACTACAATAAACATGCTGAAACAATCAGCAACACGGACTTCAGGCTACTAAGCTATAATGGTGAAGACAACTTCATGGAAAAGCACTAAAGTGCTACCAACTCAGTCAATCTCTCTCAAGCTGATCTCAGAACTCAAAGCACTACTACTGAACTCAGTACAATCAAGATACGATATACTGCTACTCCGCATACAAGCAGGATTTATATAGCTTTTGACCTGCCTTTGAGAACATTCTGGGACAAATTGGTAAAAATTCATTCCTGAATGTTCTCACTCTGTCTATGGCATATTACCACTTTTGTCGCCAAATGTACAATTTTGTGCCAAATCTGGCAACCCTGCCTTCCCTTGCTATTGTCTGGCAACCCTAAACTGCTTTGTGGGGAAGCTATCTTACTGCAGTTGGGTTTTGCGTAACAGCATGTATAAAAATGTGTAATGTTATAGCATCGCAGTTTGTGTATAAAGAGGGCCAGTAGAAGTGGGTCCCACCCAAAAAGGGACACCAATCAATTAATTATACTAATATAAATTTTTATTAATAATTATGGTGTCGAAAGAAATAATTTAAAAATGCATTAAAATAGATGCAGTTATATAAATCAGATGTGATATAAATATTTTCACTGTGAAATTGAGCTTCACTGTACATCAAATGAAGTAGAAATCAAATCTATTCAGTATTAATTGTCTAGGAGAAACAAGAAATTGATCCGGAATCCTGGGTCGTTGGTTATCTTAGGCAGGGCCAGATTTATGAATAAGCTACACAAGCTATAGCTTAAGGCCCCACTTTCTTGGGGGACCCCAAAAAATTAAAATATAGTATAAATAATATTAAAATATATTATAACAAACTTATAAAGGGCCCCCATATTTCAAATAGCTTAGGGCCTTATCAAGTCTACATCTGAAGGGGTCAAAATAGTCTTCTAAAAAAATTTTCGATTGATGATTTTAATCCTTATTGAGTCTGAACTGAAAATACTTTTGACCATCATTCCTATATTAAGCTTTGTTTTAAATTTATAACACTTCCCCTCTGTTCGTTATGCCAAAATGATCATGCGATTTGCATTAGACTGTTTTTTTGCATTTGAGTTTTCCTAAAGACCAATTTCTAGTAGCAGCTCTATTTTTTGTTCTTTGCTGTTTGTTTGTTTGTCACTCTACACTGTACTGGTTACATCAGGATTATTTTAATAAGATGTTAGAAAAAGGAAATATGAAAGGTTAATCTTTGGATTATGGTAACTGGGCGATTTTTGGCGAAAATTTGGCAACCAACCCTGCTACAGCAACCTTCTACTTTTTTCTGTGCCATTTTGCCTTCACAAAGTAAAGACAGGCGTTCTTTTTTTTCTTTTCTTTTTTTTTTTTTTTTTTATACAGTATATTTATATATATTAACACATTTTTTCAACAATCTCCTAGCGAAATACGCTTATGTTAGAAATTTATGGAACAAAAGTGCTAATTGACGAATATTAAATGCCCAAATGGGAGAAAGGCAGAACGCAAACTCCTGCCGCTTTCAAAATGGTTATACACAGTAACCAAGTACATGTCGCCTATTTTTACTTAAAAAAAAAACCCAGAATTGCACAAAAAAATGGCATTCGCAACATTCTTGACTTATCATTACACTGCTTTTTCTCATAAATTAGAAAAACTTTACAAAAAATGCAGGAAATTTGCGAATCTTTAAAGTCGGTTAAAAAGGACATATATGAAATTACCTGACACGAAAAAGTATATACCCTTTCCAAGGAGAACATTTGCACGTTAAAATATCCAAAAACTTATCCCTCTAAATTATCTATTACAAATGTACCTGTGGAATTTATTATGCAAACATTTAAAAATTGTTAAATATTTAAATTATTTCCATGCACGTTTACTTCTATTGAAAGTATTCCAAAATGCTACAAATATAATTCACAAATATCTATCATTTAATTAAAATATATTAATTAAAAGAAAGTGCAGAATCGCAAACTATTGCCGTGTTTTAAGAATGGCACATACACGGTAACCATGTCACGTCGAACCTATTTCCTTTAAAAAAAATCCAGAATGCACAAAAATGGCATTGCGCATACTCTTGACTTATCCATGTACACTACTTTTTCTCAAAATTAGAAAATTTGCCACAAAAAATGCAGGGAAAATTTTGAATCTTTAAAGCGGTAAAAAGGAAATATGAATTACCTGATTGCAAAAAAGTTATACCCTTTCCAAGGATGAACATTTGCACGTATAAAATAAATAAAATATCCAAAAACTTATCCCTCTAAATTATCTATTACAAATGTCACCTGCGAATTTATAACGCAAACATTAAAAATTGTTGCAAATATTTAAATTATTTCCATGCACATTTACTTCTACTGAAACGTATTCCAAAATGCAACAAACATATAATTCACAAAATAACTATCATTTAATTAAAATATAATTAAATTAAAAGAAAGTGCAGAATCGCAAACTCATTGCCGCGTTTTTAAGAATGGCACATACACAGTAACCATGTCCACGTCGACCTATTTTCACTTTAAAAAACATCCCAGAATTGCACAAAAATTGCATTGCGCACACTCTTGACTTATCCATGTACACTACTTTTTTCTCATAAATTAGAAAAATTTGCACGAAAATGCCGGAAAGTTTTGTGAATCTTTAAAGTCGGTAAAAAGGACATATATGAAATTACTTGATCGCGAAAAAGTATATACCCTTTACAAGGATGAACATTTGCACGTATAAAATAAATAAAATATCCAAAAACTTATCCCTCTAAATTATCTATTACAAATGTCACCTGCGAATTTATAACGCAAACATTAAAAATTGTTGCAAATATTTAAATTATTTCCATGCACGTTTACTTCTACTGAAACGTATTCCAAAATGCAACAAACATATAATTCACAAAATCACTAAATTAAAATATAATTAAATTAAAAAACACTACTTAAAATATAAATAAACATGTACATTAAATTAATAAAAATTAGCTTAAAATCTTAATTAATTTAAAACTAATTCATTGCTAATAACAATTTTCCAATAATAGCATATTAATTTATTTATTCCTTATATTTAGAACAATGCATAAAAATAATATCCTCAAATGATTAAAAATACTAACTTACCTAATCTTCTTCAGAATCTCAATCGTATTCTTATGTGCGCCTGTTTCAGGATCTTTAAAATGATACTTATGGTTAACAGCAAGATGTTGAAAACCTTCATCCTCCAAACAGGCATGTGACTTCCAGCAATCAGATATTATTATTGTACCAGCTAGAATATACTGCTTAATAAAACTTAATAAGCAATCTTTACTTCTATCTCGCACAACCTTAAAAAAACACTTATTACTACCCCTTTCAATCTCACTAAATATCCGTTTCAAATTCACTTTAGATAGGGCCATGGGATCCAAAAATTAAGCAATACTGTTTCACACAACACAGTATGAAGCTAAATACAAAATGCTATAAAGTACTGCAGATATTTTTCCAGATTTCCCCCCTTTTCCGATTAAAGAACTGTGATTCGTCTGTATATGTCACATGACATATCTCATGATCTCTCATTTCTCTCTGTTAAAATAATCCGTAATTGAAATTGGGTACTTCTCACATTATTGCCAAAGTCCTAGGTAGTAACCTTTATCACCTGCCAAAATGTTACCAAACTGCCTGTTACCATATTCCAAAGATTAGCCATATAAAAATTCAGAAGGGCCAAAGGGCTTAATTATATTTAAAGATAAACAATTTTTATTGCATTTGAATTCATGATTTTATATGTAATTTCTTAAGAATACCAATTTATTCTGAGAAATAAATTTCATTGTGACTTATAAATAAATTCAGAATTAATATATTTTGTATGCTTCTGGATACTAAGTGTGCTTTGTAAAATTGAAAATTTTGGATAAAAAAAATTCACAATGATAATGTTTGCATTTTTGTTGGGAAATAAAAATGAAAATCTACTAAAAGATGGTAATTAAAGAGTTATACATAAGACTAAAAGTTTATCTACTAAGAGTTTTCTGGTTAAACAAAGATAAATTTAAAAAAAAAAAAAAAAAGACTCATTGTTAACTTTTCTAATAATTAATTTCTAATAATGTTAATTTTCTAATTTAGAAATTTAGTTTAAAACATTTTGGATTTTATAAGATAACCAGAGTTAATTTTGAAAACAAAAAAAATTAAACCATGTGTGAGATATTATAGAAAGAAAAGTCATGTATGTGCATTTTTTTAGTATTGTATGGCAAGCAAATAAAAATTTTATGTATCAATTGCATATTAAAACTGAATGTGACATGTAATTTTAATATGTAATTTTATCCTCCTCCCCCAAAAAAGTCTGTTATGATGTAATGTTCTTAATTGCATATTAATAGCATGTAGGAATAATTAATAGTTTTTGCCAAAATTTCATTTTCATATTCTTATTTTAAATATAGAATTATGGTATTATCTATTGCATGGCCAGTATTTCCAAAAATTCTTCCCCCTTCCCAAATGCATTTTCTAAATGAAATATTTTCATAGTACATCATTATTAAGAATGGAATGCATTATCACTGGAGATTAGTCTTGAGTTAGTTCTTTTTTTTTTTGCAATCAATTTCATATTCAAATTATTTTGATATACATTTTTACTACTATGTTCTTTTCAACAACACTTATCTTTTGCACCTTAAATTTTAAAATCTCTTTTTACTGTAACACTGAACCTCATCTAATAAGATACTGAAGAATAATTGTTTCATGTTTTTCATATAGCTTAGGTTGTGAGATTTTGTTTTGTAGCATGTAAATGATGATGATAATATCAGTTACGGTTTTTGGATAAAAACTGTGTTATCTCTTATTTATTTCTTAGTGCCGTTACCAGTTTAAATACTTATATTTTATTTTGCATAGACTCCAGAAGAACATGAAGCAGAAACAAATATAAAGTCAAAAGAAGCTAGGAAGTATATTTTTAACTGCCTTGATGACATGGCTCAGGTACTATTTATTTCTGATTAATTTCAGAATTATGTTAATAATGCAAGTACTTTTCACTTAAGTTCAAGTACTTTTTAGTATTGTATATAATTATATATTTCTTTTAAAGGTTAATGTGCCAGATGATTTAGGAGGAAGTGAACTATCAGCAGAAAAGGCTGACAGAAAAGATTTTATAGACCTCTTGAAAAGAATGCTAACTTTAGATCAGGACCGTCGCATTTCACCTTTAGAAGCTCTTAATCATCACTTCGTAACACTTAATCATCTTGTTGAATATGCACATTGTAACAAGTAAGTATGTTGCGAAGCAGAAAATTAGGGGTTTAACTTTTAAAAACCTTAAACTGACTGCCTTGGTGCTGGACAAAGCTACTCAAAAATAAAATAAATAATAGTAATAATACTGAATAAATTTAATTCTCTTAAAGGTTATTTTTATCGACGGACCAGCTTCACTGTTTTGTTTTTTAATTATTTTATTAAGAAAAACATCATATACAAATATTTACAGTGAAGCAAAATACAATTTAGTTGTGAGCTTCTGTTACAAGTAATTGCTCACGTCAGCCCGATTGGATTTATTTTTTAACTCTCCAGCCTCAATTGTAGGAGGCTATGATTTGGCGTAAATTCCAGCTTCCCAAAGTCCATCGAAGTGATGCGATTTGGGTGGAATAAAAGTCCAGTCTATATTTTCTTGCAAAAAATAATTAGCTAATTCTTTGTCTGGGAAACTAATGAGCTTATAAATTTTTTTCAGTTTTGAATTCGCTCCAACAAAGTTTGTAGCATTGTCTGTATAAATTTTGAAACCTTTGCCACATCTACTTGTAAAACATTTAAGTGTTGCAATTAAAGCATCGGAAGTCAAATCTGTTAATGTCTCAAGATGGATGGCTTTTGTTGCGAAACATATAAAAATACAAATATACAATTTATTCAGAATACCTTTACGTTGATTTTTAAATTTCACTAAATAAGGGCCACATAAATCAATACCTGTAATAGAAAATGGAGCTGAAACATTAACTCTTTCACTAGGCAAATTACCCATAATTTGTGAAGAAAGAGTGGGCTTACATTTAAAGCACGTTACACATTGATGTACTGTTTTACGTGCGAGAGACTACGGCCACCTAAAGGCCAAAATTTCAAGCGCACTGCATTTAGCAGACCTTGTGGTCCAACATGAAATAATTTCCTGTGTAAACTTTCAAAATAAATTTTACTTAATCTTGAACCCTTAGGTAAAATATGTCTTTGAGAATATGCCACTGAAGCATTCTTTAACCTTCCTCCTACACATACTATTCCTTTGCCATAAAAAAACAGAAATAAATTCGAAATATTACTTGACAGTTTTTTTTCCTTCAAGCCGAACTCGTTGTTCATGCTTATTCAACACTTCTTCGGCTTCTCTTACCTCCTCCACTGACAGTGGTCCTGTGTTTTTTACCTTATTCCTGCAATTGAAAATAAACCTGAAAATATAAGACAAAACATGGTTAATTTTATAATAATTGTTTGAAAGTTCTAAGAGGTCGTTCACAATAAAAAGTTGAGAACTGTCATTTAGCAGGACAATATCTTTACAAGTCTCATCTTTAGAAGGAAATTTCCTTTCTCGCAGCAAAGTTTCTTTTTCGACTTATTCGATGGTTTCAATCTCTTGGAATAAATGGTTGCAAGTTCTTGAAACTGCATCAAGAATTCTGGGCCTGTCCACCATCTAGAATCTGTCACCAAGGAATCAGCACTCATTCCACACAAAAGAAGATTAGCAGGATTTTCTTTACCTGCACTGTGATGCCAAGAGTTAGGATCTGTCAAGCTAATGAATTTGTTGACTCAGTTTGCCACAAACTGCTTCCATCCATTTTTTGCACCCATTATCTAAAAAGGTGCAATCTTGGAGTCTGTCCAATGGTATTCAGTAGAAGATTTTTTAAGATTCACGATTCTCTTTACCTTAGAACTAAGACGAGCTGCAACTAGAGCACCCAATAGTTCTAATCTTGGTAAGGTTACACCGTTTAATGGAGCCACACGACTTTTTGAAGTTAGGAGTTTCACCGATATTCCACTGAGTGTCTTCACCTTCAAATATATGGCAGCGCCATATGCCTTTTTACTTGCGTCGCAAAAACTGTGTATTTCAACAGTATCTTCCTTTGATGCAGAATCATTAACCAACCTAGGTATTTTCAAATTTTCTAAGTGATGAAGTTCAGCACACCACTTCTTCCATTCCTTTTCAATTTCCTTTGGTAAAGGTTCATCCCACTGAATTTTTTCATTCCAGAGATCTTGGATGAGGCATTTAACTCGAATGGTGAAAGGCGAAATTAATCCTAAAGGATCAAATATCTTCCCTATTGCTTGAAGTAAGAAGCGTTTCGTATTTTTGTCCATAGAAAGAAATTCCAAAAGATTTTTAGTATCCATAGTTAAATAATCTTCGTGCGTCTTCCAAGAAAGTCCCAAGATTTTAGTTTGGTGTGCGCCCAAGCTGAGAGTAGCGTCTGCAGGATAGGTATCAAATTCTTCATTCTTCCATTGCTCCATTAATTCAGCATTATTGCTAATCCAATTCCAGCCTCTTCCATAATTTTCTTGGCATTTTTAGATACTTCAAGTGCTTCTTCAAAATCCTCACTTCCAGAAATGAGATCATCTACATAAAAACACTGATCTAAAATTTCAACTGTTTCGGGAAAATCTTCCTTGTATTTTTTAATATGATGTCTAATAGTAGCTGCTAACAGGAATGGGCTCGAACTGACCCCGAAATTTACTCGATTGAAACGGTAAATCTGTAAATTGGGCCTTTTATCAACACTTGGATCATCATCACTACTCCAAAGAAAACGAACTGCATCCTTATGTTCATCAGAGAGGCATATCTGCAGAAAAGCTTGTTTAACATCTGAACAAAATGCAATTTTGTTCAATCTGAAATTAATTAGTAAATCCAAAAGATTTGGATTTAAGTTAACCCCTGGCCACAAGCAGTCATTTAAAGAAAGTTCATTATTTTGATGACTACCCGCATCAAAGACGATCCTAGTTTTCGACGTTAAACTACTTTCTTTCCGCACAGCCTGATGAGGCAAATAATATATAGGCCTATTTAAAGCATTTTCTTTTGTATCAGGATTTACGATGCTGATTATGCCTTCTTTTAAATAATCACAAATAATTTCACGGTATTGTTGATGTAACTCAGGATCATGACTAAATCTTCTCCACAAATTCTGAAAACGCTGCCGCGCCAAGGAATAATTATCAGATAATTCTTCATAATGTTTCCTAAAAGGTAGTTGTACTACATAACGTCCATTTTTAAATTCAACGGTGTCATTAAAAATTTCCATTGCCTGATCCTTTTCATGCAAAACTGGATCATCACGAATACCAAGTCCCTCTAAATCAAAGAAAAGTTTTAAAGTATTTTGAAGAGAGTCATTTTGCACAAGAAAACAATGTCCCTGATAAGAAAGGTTGTATTTCGTTAAGCTTCCCGCATGCGATCCATCCGAATTCAGACTCTTTAAACAATAATCATCATCATTATTTTATACGTATTATTTTTCAAAACCTTAAAAAATAAATCAGCACTTATAAGGGCATGTACCTCTGAAGCTTCATAAAATGATTTATCAGCTAAATTTAAAAATTGTGGAATTTCTACTTTCGAAATATCTAACGTAGTACACGGAGTTAGTCCTGTTATCTTATTTACAATCAAGAATTCAACTGGTTCATTAAAGGTACATTCTTCATTTGAAATAAATGTATTCACTTTCCATTTAATATTTTGAATTGATCCATTAAGACCTGTAACAGGCATTTTAATTTTCTCCCTTTTTATTCCTAAGCATTCACTTATTTTATCTGTAAGAACACATATATTAGATGCGCTGTCTAAAATCGCACGGATTTTTATTCTTCGATTATTGGCGTCACGGACATAAATCTCTGCAGTAGAAAAAAGTACACTTTTTCTTTTTTGTTTATTCTTGTTACTTAAAACACTCAACGCTTTCAATTCTGAGTCACCTTTTCCAGCGGCGGCATCGAGCTCACTTTTGTTTTGTCTAAGTGGCGTCACCGAGCGACAAGGAGTCTTCGAATGACCTTCATTATCCATGCATATTAATTTATTGTGTTTTTCCCCGCAAGCGCATTTAAATTTCGAGAGACACTGACTTTTCTTATGATTTTGCTTTAGACATAATTCGCAGAGTTTATGTGAACGAATTAATTTTAATCTTTCATGAACACTTAACTTTAAGAATGTATCGCAAAGGAAAATAGGATGAAAGCTCCTACACACAACACAGTTTTTATTTTAATTTCATTTGTCAAAAGAACCTTCGATTTATGGGAAGGAGGTAGCTTTTCAATTTCTATTTATAAAACTGATTTCAAAAATGTTGGAACTACTTTCGATTTGTGAGATAATTCAAAATTTTTTCTAGATTCTTTATCTAGTTTTTGAAGAAAGAATATTTATTAGAAAAACATCACATAACTTGTTCTGTTCATATTTAATTTTAATACTTTCAAAGCGCGTAAATTCTTTTGTATACAATCAATCATACTTCTAATATTTTTCGAATTGAATCTTTCGAGCGGTAAAGTTGCTGAAAATTCGGTCATTCGAATTTGCATGATGAACATTTTCAAAAGTCAAAGGCATTCCCCTTAGGCAATTCGATTTGCATACTTATTTTCAAAATTTGAAATATTCTGCTCGTGAATGTCAACAATCAGACATTCATTATCATAGCGATATTTCAAAGCATTTAACAAAGATTCAAAATTATTAAAGTTACTTGCTAAATGCTTAACATCATTAGTAAGACAAGATCTCAGGTAATACAATTTCTGCGAATGTCTCAACTGTTATTTGTAATTAAATCATCAAATTGAGTTTTAAATTAACTAAATTCTTCATATTTTCCTGAAAATTCAGGCAAAACTAACGCTGGGATTTTAGTTTTGATTTGAAAATTTTCATCTACATTACTTTCAGTAACATTTACTGCTTTTGCAGAATTTAACTTATTGTAAGAATTAATGAGAATTTCAATTCTTACCTCCAATTTTTCCAGACGATCATCACATTGGTTTAAGTCGTCATCAATTTTGGTCAGATCATCATCTTTCATTTCACTTTGTGCATAGCACGCACTTCATAGCTCATCAACTTTCTTTTGAAGAGCTTGAATGTTTTTCAGTTTAACGTTTAGTTCAACTAAGTCCACGTTATTACTTACATTTTCCACAAAGGTTTCAAAATCTAGTTGTTTTCCCCTTTAGGGATGCTTTGTTTTTCGTTAGTATATCCATATCGCTGAAGTAGGCTCCAAGCTTGACGTAGCCAGATGAATAAATTTAATTCTGTTTTAAAGGTTATTTTTATCGACAGACCAGCAATTATTTTATTAAGAAAAACATCATATACAAATATTTATGGTGAGGCAAAATGCAATTTAATTGTGAGCTTAGGTTACAAGTAATTGCTCACGTCAGCCCAGTTGGATTTCTTTTTAACTCTCCTGCGCCAATCGTAGGAGGCAATGATTTGGCAAGATTCGTTGCCGTAAAAAGGCTAACAAATACTCTTATTATATCTCTTCAGTTTCTTCTGCAAGCTTGACTTTCATCCATGTTGCTCTAGCACCTTTTCTTGGCCGGCTTTCATCTCTTCTCGTCCGGTCTTCGTCTCTTCTGGTCTGGCTTTCGTCTCAGCTGTGATCTCTTCATATCCAGCTTTTATCTCATCATATCCGGCTTTTATCTCAGCATATTTGGCCTTTATTTCCACACATCTGGCTTTCAACTCCTCCTGTCCAGCTTCCATCTTTTCTTGGAATTCAGCAAAAGCAGTCATGAGCTGTCTTAGTAGTTCTTCCATTGCTTCTGCCACTGGCATTTCCTTCACATTCGTACAGGGTTCATAGATTTGGAGTGAATAACGACAACACTCGATGAAAGTATCGAAACACTCTTTATTGGCCAATATTATTCAAAACAGCTCCAGTAACACATTGACACAATCATCAAAGAACTTCAATAAACATGCTGACACGATCAGCGACACGACCTTCTCACTATCAGGCTTATAATGGTGGAGACAGCTTCACGGCAAAGCACCAGAGTACAGCTCCTGACTCTGCTCAGTTGCTCTCGGAACTCTATGTCTCTCAAGACTCTCCATGCTACAACTCACAATGCACTACAATACACGAGAGTACAGTTCTCAACCCGGCACACTATTAAGACAAAACTCGACGATGCACTAACTCATATACGAAAGACTCTCGATGCACTCGACGATGAACTCAGCGCTAGACTTCAAGACACTTGCTCAATGATTGACTATCACCTTGCTAGACTGTCACTAACTGACTAACTCTCTGCGTACCAGCAGGGTTTATATAACTTCTGACTTGTGTTTGAGAACATTCTAAGCTAAACCAGTAAGAATTTGTTCCAAAAGGTTCTCCGTCCGTCTGTGGCATATCGCCAAATGTGGCAACCTTGCCTTCCCTTGCCATTTTATGGCAACTCTAAAACTGCTTTGTGGGTAAGTTATCTTACTGCGCCTTGACATTTCATAACAATGTTTTGAAATTCTATTCTATCATAATTTAACACTAGTATTTTACACATTTCACCTTCTAACATTAGGTATTTCTCCTAGTAATTCCCTTTAAGAACGCTGAAATTTACCAGATCAATTAATTAATTTTGACTAATTACACAAATTTCAACAACATTAAAATGACAACTCTTGCTTGAGTATTTAAAATAATCATTAAGGTAATTCAAATAAAAAGAGACCAATCACTCACGGGGGGGAGGGGTGAAGTCCATACTGCGCACTCCATTTCTTCAGGAATTTCATTGAAGGCAGATTAATAAGGCGATTTGACAGCTCCACGGATTGTCCAATGTTCCACAGTTTAATCTTGAGCACAACCATAATTCTGCAGGCTGTAAATCAGTGTTATGTGAGGGAGATAGTTCTTTGCATATTGAAGGATGACCTGGTCGAAACATCACTGTAGCTGTCCCTTATCCGGATCCTAAATGAGAATTTCATTTTCGAATGACTCATAACTAGCATAAAAATATTGACAGGAACACATCAGAACTCGCAAACGAGAACTGAATAATGGGCAAGAATAAAGGATAAACTCTGGCATCATTATCACCTTGAAAATAACATCACAATCTCCAAAGTTCTCGGAAAACTATGAAGCAACGTAGCAGCAAAGCAATAGTTTGGTCTTGAGCTCCACCCCTTTTGCTAATGCAAATTCTCATCAGCTAAACGGCAAAAGAAAATCATATCCACAGCTTGCTATTTCAGCAAGGGGTCAAGCCCTGCCAAACACACTGTCTCCTTTTTACTTTTCCATCACCAACTCAAATCTGACTCCGCTACAATCCGCAAGAGCAAGACCTGCAAGGGGTCAACCCCTCCCCACTCTTTTTCCTCTACCTTTTTTCTTTGCAAGCTCAAATCAGAATAAACTTCTCCTCATGTGCACACTCCGAAGAAAGTTCGGTCTCTCCGCCGCCATATGTTTATAAGCTTACAAAAAATCATATAAAATTAAATTTCACAACCCTAGACTTTCACTTATCAGTTAACTGAAAGCAACACCCCCACAACGAATCAAAAACAAGACAATTTGACAAAGAGACCAGTACTCGGGAGAAACGTGAGAAAATAGACTACTCACCCCCCAGCTGACAACGGAAACTAACAATAAGAAATAAATTGCCTAAACTTTACAGAACACCCGCTGTCCGGAGGAAACTGAAATAAAACCATTGCAATATACACAAAGCGAAAATGCGAGTCCAAACGAGAAGGCCGATTTACAACTTCCTCTAAGCTCTTCTCTTCCTCTTAAGTAAACGAGCCCACCAGTGAAGATATTCACACAGTTCTTCTGTTAGTAAAAAGCCATAGTATATAGGTAATATTAGTAAAAGTAATGATGTCTTCTGTTCAACGAAATGCTCAAAAGAAAGGTTTCCGGTCTTTGTTACAAAACCTACAGTTGCAAGAATAACAAGCTAAAGCTTTTAACATTTTATGAATACTCTTTTTATACGAGACGTATTGGGAAACTAAGTACTGTTTTGAAAGAAAAAAATAGTAAAACAATTTTTTTGATTCCAGTTTTATTTTTACATGAAAATACATGTCTTAAACTATTTTTCAACATAGTTTCCGCCAATGATCAAACACTTGCCATAGCGGGTGACCAGATTTTGTATACCATTGTCAAAGAAACTTCCCGCCAGTTTCGATAACCACGACTCCACAGCATTTTTCGTGTCATCGTCAGATCCAAAGCGCTTCCCACCAAGCTCGTGCTTCATGTGCAGGAACAAGTGATAGTCGGACTGTGCCAAGTCCAGGCTGTACGGCGGGTGATCGAACTGCTCCCAATGAAACTGTCGAATTAACGATTGAGTGACACCAGCAGTATAGGGCAGAGCATTGTCATGGAGCAACACAGTTCCTTTACTGAGCATTCCTCTTCGTTTGTTTTGAATGGCACGCCTTAGTTTTGTTAAAGTCTCACAATGTCGTGCCACATTAATGGTTTCACCTCTGGGAAGAAATTCAGTAAGCAGAACGCCTTTCCTATCCCAGAAGACAGTGCACATGATTTTTTGTGATGACATTGTCACTTTGAACTTTTGTTTTTTCGGTGAATGAGTGTGTCTCCAGTCCATCGGTTGTTGTTTCAATTCTGGTGTGAAATGACACACCCAAGTTTCATCACCTGTCACAATTTGGTTTAAAAAGTTTTTTCCCTCATCACTGTACCGCGTGAGAAATGTCAGGGCACTACCAAGTCGCTTTGTTTTGTGAACATCTGTGAGCATTTTTGGAACCCATTGGGAACACAGTTTGCGATAATTCAAGCGGTCAGACACAATTTCGAACAAAACAATACGTGAAATTTGTGGAAATGATTCTGAAAGAGTTGTCATTGTGAAGCGTCTGTTCTCATGAATTGCTTCATCAACTTTCCTTACCAAATCATCGATGACAACAGAAGGCCGACCACTCCGAGCCTCAGCGTTGACATTTGTTCGACCTGCATTAAACATTCTTACCCACTTTCTCACCATTCCATCACTTATCGCATATTCACCGTAAACTTCTCTCACTTGACGATAAATTTCAGCCGGTTTAACATTCCTCGCGTTCAAAAATTTAATCACGGCACGAATCTCACAGTCAGCAGGAGAACTAATTGTCTTAAACATTTTGAATGTGCACAGCAAACTGAAAACACAACATAGAGCAACCAAAATGGCGACAATTGAAAGTCAGTTAACAAGAAAGACTAGTGCACATGCGTGGGATGCCTACGACAGCGCTGCGACGGCGCTAGAATGAAACGGTACTTAGTTTCCAAATACGCTACGTAGTTTCAAATAAAATGAATTACAAATTTGCAACACAAATACAACCACAATTTCCTTAAAATTTCTCTGTGCTGTTTATAACTTTTATTTGTATTCTTTTGCGAATTCATTCTTATTGTTCAGTTTATAATATGATTTAATGCTTGTAGTTTCTTATATTTGAGTAATTTTTTAGTGTCAAAGCTTCTGTTCAAATGATGGAAGTCTGCAGACGAAATCGACAAAACTATGATCATGGTGGCAGTCAGCTTCCAATTGTAACTAGTTTCACTCCTTCTGGTAATGTGGCCTTGACATTTAATAACCAGCTTAATATTCAGAACCAGGTAAGTACATTTCCATAGTTACTGTAAAATACTACTGAAATATGTTATGAAAATATCTTATATATTATGGAATGGAAACATCTTATCAAATATTTAACTTGTTTTGAGGGGTCAATGAGCCCAAATTTATATTGTATCGTATTTTCATTATTGGATCATATTTGATCAAATTTTATACTCATATCATTTATTATGTTATGAAATTTGTGTTTTCTTAACATGCCTGTAAGCTGATGCTTTCCATATTTCTTTTAGAAAATGGGAATCATTTCGTTTTAAACTGATATCATATGCATGGAATATTTTTTAATCAAATTCATTCTTCGTAACTTTATTCCTTTTAACTACTAAATATGGTTTTAATTCTGAAAAAAAAATTTTAAATCTATAATTTTTAGTAGATTTAATCTTTTATATGGGAGAAGACACTATATATGAAAATGTAAATCCAATGAAAACAGCTGAAAGCAACTAGAAATAGTGATTTTATGCTTAATTTGAGCTCATTTTAGTATTATTATTGGTGCTGAAAAGTATTCTAATTTTATTGCATCTATGTAAAATTGCAAACATTATGATCACAGAAGTAATTAGTTGGACTTAAAATGTTTGTTGACTAATTTTCCGTAACCTTTTCAAACTTCATGACTCTATCAAATATTTTAAATTGTACAATGGGCTTTGCATTATATTTCTCATGACATATTTTAACTTTCTGAAACAGAAAGAAATATCAATTTTATTATTAATATTGTTTCTGTATGTACTACAAATTGCTGATTGCTTATTCATGACAACATCTTTCTACTCCAGAAACTGCTGCTGTTCTGTCTTTTGCATACCTGCCAAATTTTATGAGTTTTTGGTAATTTTTATTAAATTGCTCTAGTTTGATGTTGTCAGATGCAAAATATTTTTTTTTCCCTCACATTTAGCAATTTTTTGTTGGGGGACTAGAAATCGAGGCAATCTTTTGTTTTATCACCACATTTATTATCAAATAGACAAGTTCAAATGGTTTGATAAATTATTTGAACTTGAAACAAAACTTCTTTGAAACAAAAATGAGTTCTATTTTTTTAATATGAAATTTTTAGTTTTATGTTGCTAAATTTAGTAGCATATTGATATTTTGATGATTTAAAGATAATTTTGATTCACTAGTTTGTGAATTTTATGATGATTTTCTTCAAAAAATGTAACAAAAGTTTTCTTTTTTTGAAATTTTCCAAAGGTCATCTTATTTTTACTCTTATGATGTTGGCAAGTATGCTTTTATAAGTTATGAATTTTTTTACAGCGTACATTTTACTATGCATCTTGTTATTTAGGAATTGAGGAGAGCGATTTCATTCATGAAAGACTTTGTATTGATTATCATTTATTTGTATTCATTGTGTATTAATTAATTCAGATGTCTGGTTAGAAATGCATTTTATCTGAAACAGTGATTAAGGTGGGCAATGTAATAATTATTTCATGATGAAGTTGCCCTACTAGTTGCTGATTTATTTTGTAAAAACCACAATCTTTTGTCTACAGACTCATCATGTTTCCACTTCACAGAGAATAAGTCTGTCCCAGCACCAAGCTCCGGCAAGAGTGAATGCAGCACAGACTGTAAATAACAACATATATGCAGCCTCAACGTCACAAGCTCGAGCTGATCCATTCCAACATGTAGCTCCTTCGCTTTGTATGCCCTCTATACTGTGTCCTTCATATCATCAAGGTAAGATTATCATTAAAGTTTATCAGATTTGTATTTTTGAAACTGAAATCTAGTTTAAGTTACAAAAGATGTTCAAAACGTGCTACTGACTTTCTTTCCTTAAATATTCATAATGTGCTTCCAATTATTCAGTTTCTTAAAGTAAGGTAGAGAAATTTATGAAGACTGTTTTGACACTGTGCAGGAGACTTTGTAAAACTAAAATCTTATTTTAAAGTTTTATAATCCAGCAAGTTTGAGACTTGGAAATTGCTCAGCTAATCTCAAACTATCAGTTCTTATTTATGAAAGTTATGCTGTAAAAACTATCTTGTAAGTGTATTTTAACCTAGTGTAAAAATACAAAACTAGTTTCACGTATAGTAACTCTGCAAATGTATTTAATGGCTGAAAACATATTACAAGATAAACTACAAAATATGCTTACTTTATCATATTTAATCAATTTATATTTTGGAATATGTTTTACTGTTGCATGAAGACTTCAGAATTTGAGTATCCACTTAAACAAACTTATCTCAAAACAACATTCAAGAAAATATGAAGATTGGTTGCTATATTCTATAAATTTCTCAAATACCTCTTAACTCTTTTTGTCACGCTACTCTTTAAAGTTGGAATTTTACAAAAAAAAAAAAAAATTGTAGGCAGTCTATTTAGGCCTAGGAAAGTATGCAGGTATAATTTTACAAAGATTGCACAAACCTTTTCCATTTTGTGAGTGTGTCCGAAGCAAACACACTTAGCCTCACATGCTGCGATAGGTGAGCATTGCTGTGAAGCAAGTATTATAGTAAAATACTTTGTCTATGATTTAAAAACGGTAGAATCTGATCTCTGTAGCAGATTTAGCATAACCCAGGGTGCACCACGGGTAGGCCTGCTACTCTACACCCCCTCAAAAAAAGGGGGAAAATGAAAAAAATGGGGGGGCGGGGAAAGGAAACTGTCATTGCTTCGGCAATGGTGAGGCCTCTCCGAGCCTTTTACACATTTTAACAATTTATAAGAAAAATAATTAAAATACTATAAATACTATAATAAATACTATACTATAAATAAACTTAAAAATACTATAATATTTACAATTAAATTAATTATTGACTAGAAAAAATAATTATTAAATATATACAAATAAAAATCTACAGAGATCAAAACTGAGCAAACTACGCATGATGAAAGCAAGAGAAGAAAAGGGTCTGCTCTCGCTGAAAATCAAATAGCTAAGTAAAAACAAAGCACCAGGGTCTTCAAAACCAAAAACAGAAAAGAATAAAAACAAATATAAATAAATCTGCGCTCTCAGCCTCCCCTGTTTTTGAAGCACGAGACCAGATTCTGTGACTCACTCCCACGTGGCAGGCGCTACTAGTACAGTTTGTTCAGTTTGAATACACCATACACTGAAGCACTATACGCAATATTTCAAAGATAAAAATTAAAAATAACACAGAATAGGCAGATTAGCATACAAACAACAAAATTATATAAAGTTCTTTTTCATTGCTATTCTTTATATTTAAAAAAAAAAAAAAAATCTCAAACATTTCTTTGAAAAATCGGTGTCTTTAAAAACAGAATATATCTCAACGTTAATGATTTGCTTGTGTGATGCTGCCATCTATTATTCATAAAAGAGATTAAAAGTAACAGTTAGCGTAGTTTTTGTGATATTTATCGATTATTTTCAGTGTCTAAAGAGGGAATACTTTTTGGTGTGTTCACACCGAAAACACACTGCACCAGAAATGGTTAATTCTTCACATACAAGATGCCAAATACCCCTAAAGGCCCACATCAGGAAGGTGCCCATGTTAATACACGACTCATTGGTTTAGGAGATACTGAAGAGATGTCCATTAGTCTTACAATCGTTTGAAAAGTAATCTAACATAGATGGCCCTTTCTCTGACTTTTGTTCAATAGCAAATCTGCCAGTTTTGCTTTAACTTGCTGATACTTTTTATCTTTTACACTCTAAAAGTCTTGCTGTTTTTCTGCTCTATGTTTATGTGACTTAAGATTTTGATCAAAAACAAATAAGTACTATATTATTTGATAACACAGACAAATCTGATTATATTGAACTGATAAAGATAATGGAAATGAAAAATAAAAATTAATTAAATTGATGAAATGCAAACATTGAATGTACTTTAATCAAAATAAATGCAAATATAGTTATCCCTATTTAAAAAAAAAAAAAAAAAAATCTCCTTTAGAAAGCAAAGGAAATTTGGATTCTTTTTTAATGCTGATCCGTAGCTGTATAGCAGCATAGCTGATAATAGCAGTTATTTTCAATAGCACAGAAATCATATTGTATCACACCTTTGTCTTACATTTGTAACTATGGTAAATTTGTAATCCACCCCATCCTCTGAAACACCATTAGTTGCCAATTAGTTTTATCTTTGTGGTATTTATATTTGTGGTGGGGTTTTATTTCAATTTTATTAATAAATGTATTTATTTTGTTGTAGCCCTGAATTCTCCAGGGAAACATGTTGTTCCAGTTGTTGCTGCCCAAGCGGCACAGCCATCTACTCTTCAAATCCAGCAATCTTTGCTCACTCAAGTAAATTTCCTTCTCCCTATTTTCTAAATGTTAAATATTATTAATTCATATATGTGAAAACACAAGAAACCCTGTTGTTAAATATATAACAAATATTTCATTAATTTTTAATTTTAAAGCAGAAAATCTAAATACTAAATGCTGTAATGATAAATGTATTTTTATCTTTGAATTTTTATTCCAATGTTAATGATTATAAGTTATGGAGTGCCTATGGTTCAAAACCATGTACCTCCACATCAGAAAAATATCTAAGTAGTGAGCAGAAATAGGAAAATTGCATAATTGGTTATCATGATGCACACTAAAGGGAGCTACATTAGCTCAAGAAAGTTTAGGGAAAGGAAAAATCAAGTTTTGATTTTTTGGAAGTTTTATGATTTTAAACTTTTTTTGTGTTTTTTTAATTTTTTGTATTTCTTCTTTTTTTATATAGCACGTAAATACGACACTAAAGCTAAAAGTGGAAAGGAAAAATTTTACAGATTAATACGCTCATTGGCATATGGCTCTAATCATAGCGAAGTAAAGATTAAATTTTTGCGACGAAATATCCAGGGCAGCAGGCATGATGTGATTAAATAGTAAACAGATTGATAAGAATGCAGAGGTGGCCACTTTTCAGTAATACTGGAGTAGGAGAATGGTGGAGCAATTACATAGCTAAGTACGTCCTTCATGGGGCGGACGCTGGAACTGAGAACAGAGGGGTGTGTCTACACCTTTTAGCTGGAGGATAGATGCCATGTTTGCGTTCCATAATGGAGCAAGGTCTTTTCTGCGAGCTGCAAATAGCAGGATCATAGGCCGGTAACTGTTGAAGTGCATGGTTATCAATCTGTTCAATTTTGAGGAATAAATTTTAACTAAGTTTAATAACAACGTCTATGGGTTTAATGTTAAGATCCGAATGAATCACATCAGTACGGACATAATAGGCTGCATTAAGGACTAAACGCAGGGTCTTACTTTGGAAGCCTTGAAGTTTTTTTATCTATGTTTTTGCAGCTGTACCCCAGATGGTGCAAGCATACAAAAATATTTGGTCGAATGACGGAAGTATAGAGAAGAGCTTTGTTTTTGATTGACAGAGGGCTCTTTCGGCCTAGAAAGAAGTAAAATTGGGTTCTGATAGTCTTCGCTTTATTGAATGTATAATCAATATGAAGACACCAGATTAATTTGAAATCAGAAATCAAGTATCACTCGTAGATACTTATATGTTTGAATTTTTAGAATCCATATTGTGAGATAAACATTTTTTAATATAATGGATTCATATTAATGTTGCTCTCACCTGAAATGAATTTCTCATTAATGAGAAAATTGTTTTTTTCAAATCTAATGTACATAAAAATTAACTGTTAAAGACACCACTTAATGTTTATGAAATAATGCTCACTAAAGTTTTAAGGATTTCTTGCTAAAAATGCCCTTTTCAGAATACATCATTCTTCATCCCTCATCTTGTACTGAGGAGTGGTGTTCACCTGTTTTTTCAAAATAAATTTAAAGAAATTTATCTTACAAATGCTTTTTCAGTTTTCCTTTTGTCTCTTAATCAAGGACACAAACTTGATATTTGATTATATTGGTCAGTATGAGAGTGGAATGTTGCATAATTAAGTAAGCAGTTCATGTACACTGGAAAATCTAGAACATGTGGACTATCACTGTAAGCAGCAAGTTCATTTGAGCATTGATGTTCTTTTTCATTGTGTATTTAAATTTCCTTGTCTTAATATGAAAAATGTGAGATATAATCTGGAAGAATTTTACTAGCTGTAATCTGCTGAAAAGAAAAGCTCCACGTTTATTAAAAATGGAAGGAAGTAGGGATGATTACAATGCACATCAAAATTAATATGTGCATGTGAAAATAGATTATAATATTCAGCTTTGTAAAATAAATAAAACAAGAAATATTGAACTAATTATGGGGAAATTTCCAACACTTTCTGAATTTCGCATGGAGAAATTTTTGCTGTAATAGTTGATAACATTAGAATAAAACATGTTTGTTCTGTGAACAAGACATATGCATTAGTGCTGTTGTTTCTAACTGAAGTAGGATTTTTGAAATTAAATATTTTTTAATTTTATAAATTATAGGTAGGAGCTCATCAGTATGTGCCTGTATCTGTTGTTGAACAAAATGGTCGACAAATGTTGTTAACTGTAAGTTTTATCTTTTTATCATTTCTTTCCCTTGAGAATGAAAAAAATATTTAAACTAAAAATTCTAGATCTATTTTAATATATTTTGCTGTTTATTTAATTCAAAATATGCAAAAAAGTTAAGTGGGCAAAAATGTTTTTTAAATTATTTCTATAAAAACAGAGAATGCCAAGTGACAATTCACTGTTTTATAATAAGCAAACTGAAAGTTTGTATTAGTCCTATTGGTAAAGGATTCATTCTCACTTTATTGAGAGGAGGAGAAAACTAAAAATGAAAACAAAAGGAATGCATAATTTACTTCTAAACTAATAACTAAATTATTTATAAAGCTACAGTTATATAAAGTAGTTAATAAAGATTTAAATCTGCATATTTAAGCTAAAGGATGGCTAATTGATTAAGGCAAAGTAATTCAAAGGCTATCTACCTATGAATGTAGATGCCATTGTGGAGAACCTTTTAAGGAAAACCGGCTTTTATCCATGTACATAAAAACTCCCATACAGCCAGCCTGTTAACCTGTATTCAAACCCAGGTTGAATTACTAGTGATCAACAATATCACCGCTCAGCTGCTGGTAGGCTTAAGTGAAGGGAAGTTTTTCTTTTTGCTTAAATAAGCAAATTAAATGTGTGTGTGTACTTTCTAAAAATTAATGCAAAGAATTTCAATAATAGTGTTTTTAAATATTTAAAGTATTGTTAATATATATAATAAATAGTATTACAACTAAACATTTTAAACTTATAAACAAAAAAATTATATTGACTGAGGAATTACTCATTTCTACTTTTTTATCAAGCAGTAAATATAATAAAGAAAGATTTTTTTAAAAAAAAATAAGAGAATAAAACTTCAGTACGCTTTCTTAATTAAAACCGTCTATCAATGTATAATTCAAATTTTTGTTTCATAAGTAGCATTCTACTTTTAAACAATTTAGACTTATAACATGTCAATGAAAGATTAATAATAATGATAATAATATAATTGCTTGTTAAAACAGTAATGCTTAAAATTTTGATTACCTTGTGTAAAATGTCAAACCACTCGATTTATAATACCTTTTAATATTTCAGGGAATAGTATAAACTTCATCATTTCAGATTTTCAACCAAATGAAAACATTAATTTATAAATTTTATTCAGAGGAAAGTAAAAAATGATTTACTTGTTAATAATAATATACTATTTAATTGCATAATTGATAGTTATTAAATGCCCCCTAATATACTAATTAATACCCTCATTAATTAATAATATACTAATAATAATATTGCATGGAAAAAGGAAGCAGTACATTTTGTTCAGGATAAGAGAAAAAAAAAAAGTTGCACTTCTTGAAAAATTCATGCATAAAAATGTAGGATCAAAAGTGCATCTTCAAGTTCTTTATCATTGTGTTCGTGTTAAATATTGCTATCAAGGGATTTTTTTAAAAAATGTATGATTTGATTTCAGATTTTCAAAAGAAATTTAAAAAAATTATTATTTTCAATCACCTTATATTTACTGACTCTAGAAAGGGAAAGACTTTTTTAAAAAAATACTATGAATCTTGGAATTCTTTAATTGTGCAACTTTATTAGTATTCCAGATTTGAGGGAGCTTGCTCTTAAACAAAATTATGAAGGAGTGTAGGTGGATGGCACGTTATGTGCTTTGTCTAAAAAGAATAATCGTTGTTAAATTTGTTTCATAACTAAATGTATGTTACTGAGGCTTCAGCCCCCCCCCCCACACACACACAACAAAAAAATTAAGATTTTCTGGCTTGACAGTAATTTTTTATTATTATTTTCCTTTTTATTTAAAAATAGAGATAAATAAAAAATAATTCAACTTATCTATATTTAATCCGCATTTTGATTTTACATTTTTTATGCCATCTTTATTTTGCAATCTCTTGCAAAAATAATTTACTTACTAGTAGCCAAGTAAAATAATTTACTTACTAGTAGCCAAGTAGTTTAGAGCTATGAAACATAAGCTGTTCATTCTACATTCCTTTCCTAGTGGCTAAATATTTGGCTGGAACGTATAGTGATTTTCTTCTTGAATAATATGGCCTTAGAAAGTTCTTGTGAAGGCATCCTTGTTGTTGGGGAGATAGTATACTTTGCTGTAATCAAATAATCCAATCCAGTCCTATGTATGCATATGTAATGAATAGTTAATAAAAAGGAAATGATGGACTTTAAAAAGTTCATAATTACTTGCCAGTTAACTCAGTTTATCTGTTTAAAATCTGTAGAATGCTACTGTACAGCCTGGCTGGCACAGCAGTCGGCAGATGTTTGTCCCATCTTGGCAGCAACTTCCAACTCAGAGGACATTTCAACAACCAGTTATTTCTGAAACTGAGTCATGGGCCCGGCCACTTGTGTTGGAAAGAGCAACTTTATTGCCAGAACAGCCAACTGTTATCCCTGTTGTAAGTGTATCTAAAGTTTTACTTAGAAATGCTGAAATTCAAAACTAGCAATTATGGCCTCAGGTAATGTATGTTCGTGTAAAGTAAGTAAAGCTTACAGGCAATGATGCTGTACTGGCTGATTAGCTAAAACAGAAGAGTTAAAAACCAAATTGCTACATAAAATATTAGTTTTGCACCACATCAAAATCTTACCACGAGTCAAGCATACAACCAACAGTAGACAATGTAATTAAAGAATAGGATTGGTGATGAGTCCAAGAAAATTCAGCTAAATTTTGATAGCTCAGTTGCTAATATCTGATATTATCTGAAGGTGCAAAATTTTAAATTTAAATATTAGCAGTTTTATTTTTTTAAAGTACATTTATTGAATATTCACCGAAAACTACTTGGAATTTGCTTTGTGTGCGACTCCAAACTTTTATTCCAAATTATGGAAAATGCTGCTTCAAATTACTGTAATTTTTTAAAGTGTGCTACTTCAAACAGCTAATTTTTATATATGCTGCAGAATCTTGCAGGATTTTTTTTTAAATATACAGTTTTTTGTAGTTGAGTAAAAAATATATTTTGCAAATACAGCATTGCATAAATCATTTGTATGCATTATAAATATCTCATTTTCCCACTATTTCTAATCAATATTTCCTCATGTGACAATAACCATTCATAGTTTAAAATGGGATGAATTATATTTTTCACTAGGTCAGCAGGATAGGAGCTAAAAGCTTTTTATTTTTCCATTTTTCCCTATCACTTTTTGCTATAATTAAGGGTAAAATATTCAGAGTAAAAGTGATTCCTAAAATTAATTTTTTTTAAAAATTAATTCAAAAATTATTGCATCTAAAGATTTTATGCTATCATTATTAATGCATTAATGCTTCATGTGATATAAAATTTATACCAACTTTCTCTTACTTTTTTTTCCTCTTTGTATCACATTAATATACCATTAACTGAGAATTAAAATTTTCATCATTAAAGTGCTTTTTTTTTAAACATAAAAATTAGTTTGTATTATGTATGTTTAACCTGCATTTAATATTCACTCTTGTTAATTTTTCATGCCTTCAATTTTATTGATTTTACAGAATAACCTGTAATTTCTTATAAAAATAATTTATTTACCTGTGATCCAAGTGATAGGATTGTGAAACAATGGTAATCATTCTGAAGAGCTGAAATTTTGCTCTTAAATTTTAGCTCTTCAGAACATTAATCCATGTGTGCATCATGGGCACACATATGCATTGGGTTCACATTATCATTAGCACTGCAAAGCACATATATATAAGAAAAATTTTAAAAATATGTAAAAGATGAATTATAATTTTAATTAGCAATGTAAATTAATTTCCCCTCTGTATACTAAAAATAATTTGCTTTGCGTAACAGCCGAAAGGAAAAGCACAGGGATGACAGACTATACAAATGACTGTCCTTGACCCGTTTTACATTAAGCGATGAAAATTAGAAGCACGACTGTAGAAATAAACCCAGAAGAGTGTTTTCCCATGCAGAATAGATCCTGCCAGGCTATTTTAAATGTGATATTTGCAGTAGATCAGCATTGGAAATGATGAAGTTTGGCATCAAAATCCAGACATGGCTGAGTGAATTAAAGCAGAATTGATGACACCGAAAGATTTCATTTTTTAAAACTCCATATCTTTATTCACTTAAAATGGCAGGTCATTATTCCTTCAGATTCTTCAAGATTATATATGCGATAGTAACTTAGACTGAATACGATTAACTTTAAATTTACTACGTTATAATATTCAAACAAAAAAAGAAAGACTGGAAGAGCGACAGCAAAGGGTATTACATCGGCAGGTGGAGAAAAGCAATCTGATGAAAATTGGCACAAACTCTTCATTTATAGCAGTGATTACGTAACATGCCAGATTGTTCTCAAAAGCACTGGTTTAGGGAGAAGATCCTGCTATTGCGGAAAGTTAATTAGAGGTTGCCTGTTCACATAGAGCTAAGCCATCATATTTTTTATATTTTACATATATCTATACGGACTCTTAAGTCGACAAATAATATGATATGCACAGATACATTCTGACAAAGTATGGAACATATTCTTGCGAACAAAACTAAACTTACAAGTTAACATCCTAATCTAAGTGAGCAATAAAATAACACTGATTTTAATAAAATTCGGAGTAATATGTCTTCAGTATGATAAAAATTCAAGAAGTTCAAGCAATAATTATGCTGAATTTTTATCATGATTTAATGAGATTCAGTATTGTACTTGGTAATCATTTTTCTTATTTAAATAAAAATGTTTGATATATTTTCAAATATCTGTATTTAGTCTTCTCTACAAAAAATGGTAAATATGATGTTTTTGTATTCTTTATAATGCAAGTAATTTAATAAATTAAACAAAATTTCTTGACATTTTCACATTTTTTTAAAGCCTATTCCAAGCTGTTTCACCTAAACTGTTTTCAGAATGAATTATCTTTACATTGCCTTAATGTAGTATAAATCATTGCATATTTTATCATTACAGGAAGTTCATGAAACTGCTGTGTATGATCCTTTAAGAGATGGTGCCCAACTGAATTCATTGTTACCACAACAAGCAACTGCTCTTGGTGCACCCAATCTTCCTCAGCCATGGGCAATTATGACGGCTGAATCTGCTCATTGTACTGCACCTACATCAAGTCAGCAACATAGACATATTCAGCAAGCTGCAACATCTCATCGCTTGTTAAACAAAGCTGTTGAATCTTCTGTCGCTATGCTGCTTCCAACATCTTCTAAAAGACAAAGCAAAGCAAAGTAAACCTTCCTTTAATTTTTATGAATACTGTATAAATTATTATTTGTCTAAAAAAAGGTGTTCAAATTGAAAGGTGGTATTAAGGAATGTATGGCCTAAATCTTCTTTTGTGTTTGAGATGCCTAATTGTGAAGCTGGTTGAGCAGTAATATTGACCAGAAATAATAATTGATGATAGAATAATACATGGATAGGGAGTAATGCAGTGTTGTTAGAACATATATTTTTTGAGCAGCCCGACTCTTGACTATGGAAGCCCATTTGATAAATATTCAAACTAAAAAAAAGTGAGATGACATATATTTTGTATAATATATGTGTTATATACTATATTCTAACAAAGTGTCAGAAATTTTACATTGAAATGAATGTTGTTTTGAAAATGTTGCTTTGAAAATCAATGAAGAAAAGAAAATATATTTTACAGTATTGGAGTGTTTATGGCTACGTTTATGTCATTTATTTCTGAGATGAATAATTTGCCTTTTTATTCTGATACAGTCAAAAGTCATTAATTCGGACACCCATAATCCGGACCTCAAAGCTACAAACTTTCTGCGCATGCATCGCGTTGACGCGTTGTCATTTACGCATGAGCAGGGGTGTTTGTGCTCCGAGGAAACCCCGGAATTCCGGGGATTTTGAACTTCGATACCCAGAAATTCCGGGGATCGTCATTCAAAAGGAAGTAGGAATAATAATGAATTATTTATTTTGATTTGGGTGATTTTGTTTGCTTTGAAAGCAGAAAACGCAAGGTCAGTGTGTGTGGTGAAAACTTTTCCTTTCTTTCTCCAAAGGCAGTGATAATGCGTGAAAAGGGGGAAGAAACTTCTTCTTTGTTCTTTCCTTATTGTGAGTTATGATTCATTCCCCCGGTTCTCGGACATTCTCTTCTAGATTCTTTTCGGTAAGTAGGCGCGGCAGAAAAAAAAAGGGAGAGACTTCGTTCGACCAGATGTGCGATCACGTGACTCTGAGTTCAAAGGTCTTATCTCTCCTGGCGTGGCGCCAATAAGTAGAGAAGGGGGATTTTTCGCGGTATTAGCTATTTGTCATTGATCGCTTCTCAACTTTTTTTTCTCCGCTGTGTAAAATTTTCGTTTCATTTATTGATGCACGTGTAAATTTTTCGTTTCGTTTATTGAAATATTTTTTTATTTATGTACGCAAGAGAATTTCACTATTAAATTTCTCGATATAAATAGTGATACTATACAATTAGAAGAAGGTGTCCGGAATGCATTTAGGTGGAATTGGATTGAATGGAGAGATGGTAATGGGGATACCATCGGCACATGGTACAAGAAAATAAATGTTGTTGGACAAGCATATTGTGTTTTTTGTAACTCACTGCTGAAGTATGGTGGGGAAGGATTCAAGTCTTTCACAAATCATTCTAAAACTGTGACGCACATAAAATATTCAAAGTGCATTAGACATTCAATGACTTTAAGTAATTATGCTAATTCAAAAAATACTGATGACTTACTGGAGACTGATGCTCGGCCATTGGATATAGTGACAAGAAAAGCACGCCAAGAGGTATTAATAACTTCGTTTATCGCCGAGAATTATCTTTCTTTCAATGTAGCTCCCAATTTAATCGAACTCTGCAAACAGTTGAGCCGCGATCAGACGGCACTAAACTCGTTGGAAATGTCCAGGACTATTGCATGTTATAAGATGAAATATGGGCTCGCAAAAGCTATTAAGGAAAATATCATTAAAACTTTAAATTTTCTCTAAATTTGGATGAAAGTACTAGCAATGCTCAAGAAATTATACTGGCAATATTGGTGCAGTTTTATGACAATAATCAAAATGAAGTTGTAGTTCATCATTTTGCATCTCTAAAGATGGAATCTTGCAATTCAGAAGCTGTTTTTAAAGCAGTTGTTAATACTATTGAAGATAATAATATTCCATTGGCAAACTTAATTAGTGTATTAATGGACTCGTGTAACACCATGCGTGGAAAAAAAAAGGGTGTTGAAACCAGACTACGATCAAACAAAGCACCCCACTTATTAGATATTGATGGTGACACATGTCACACAGCTAATAACTGTACAAAAAAATTTGCTTCATGTTTTGATAGATATTTAGAAGATTTGTTTGATGACATCTATTTTGATATGAAAAGCTGCAGTAAAAGAGAAAATTTTTTCAAAATCTGTGAATCCCTTGCCATTAAAAAACTTAAGCCCTTGAAGAGACCAGACCATAGGTGGGTGTACATTTTATGTGTTTTAGAAAGAATCAAAGATCTGTGGTCTCTTATCGCATTTTATTTTCACTACTTGGATAAAACTGATAAAGGGGATTATTTTTCTTATGTTGAAACTGTATACAATAAAAGAAATATTTCTGCAGCTCAGAAAAAAATTGTTGAAGGGGTGTATTCTTGCTTGCATTCCCAACAACTCGCAAAGGATGCTTTAGCTCGGAAAAAAAGAATACTAAATGGATTATTTGTTATGCAAAACAAAACTTTATTGCATATGGCATTATATTCAGCAGTACTACCAGAGTTCAACACATATATTAAATTATTTGAAACAAAAAAAACCAATGCTTCATTTAATACATTCCAGTATTTATAAATTGATGGCAAAATTTTTCTCTTTTTTTGAAAGCCAGAAAATATAGAGTGCACATCTTATAATGATTTATTAAAGGTTGATGTCACAAATCCAGAATTCCATCTACCTAGCAAAGTAATATTTACTGGTGCAGATGCTTCCACTCTCCTGAAGAAATTATCAAAAAATCATCCAATAGCAAAAGAATTCCAAATTTCTCTGATGAAAGCTTATACTAATACAGCACAGCATATGAAGCAGAAATTACCCCTTAAAAATTCATATCTAATTAGTTTTACAGCATTAGATCCAGAGCTAAGAGGTAAAACCAGTACAATATTAGCTTTTGAAAAATTATCATCTTTTATGTCCCATATTTTTAGTGATAATGAAAAGTTAAAAGTAGAAGCTGAAATAAGGTTGTACCAGAGTGATATTGATATCACCAAAGAAATGCTCTACACATCTGATGAAAGTGGAAATCAAGTCAAGTGTACAATTGATAAATATTGGTCTAAAGTTTTTAATTTAAAAGATGAATGATTCATTATAAGTAACCTACATTGGCTAATTTGGTCAAAGCCTGCCTTAGCTGCTTCCATGGCCCATTAGTGGAAAGTGCATTCAACTTAATGGATACACTTGTCACTGACTATAGAACCTCTCTTAAGATTGATTCCCTAGATGCAGTGCAGACTATTAAATATGATTTAATGGCTTCTAAAGAAACCTCATGTAAAAAATATGGCTAAAAAAATCCAATGACTGATCCAATTCACAAAGATCTCTTACTGAATATGAACAGAAGTTGGAAAACATATGAAGAGCACTTAAAAACATGTATTTCAGATGAGTCACCTATAAAAGTCTCTGAAAAACCTTCTACATTAGCAGAAAAGCAAGCTGCTTCTACCTCTGCATGTGCAGTTCTCGAGGAAATTTCTTCAACTGTAAATGAGGAAAATAAAAGTCAACCTTCCTGCAATTATGAAGTTCACCACAAAAGAAAGACAAGCCCACAAATATCAGAAAATAAAAAAAAGCAGCAGAAATTAGATAATTTTTTTTAAAGAATTAATTCAGGTAATTTAAAATATTTACATAAAATGTAGTAGTTTATATGTTTGAAAATTTATGGTTATTAATTTTGCAAAAAAAGTAATTCATTGAACTTTTATAATTAGGTCATTCAATGCTTCATAATTGTAATTTTTCATTTCTCTCCTCCCACCTTCTCGAAACTCCAAAATGTCGGTAGTAAGTCCGTAAAAGTTTCAGGGGATTTTTTGGGTGTCCCACAAACATCCCCTGCATGACCTTTACGGCTGCGAACATGCATGTGCGCATGCGCGTAATACGTTTACGCATGCGCGGCATTGTTCCTTAATCTTCGAATTGGATTCGGCTTATTATTTTTTGCAGACTGTTAGAGCAATTTTATTAAAGTAAGCTTGAACTTTCGATTATGTCAAATAGAATTTACGATATATATTTACTAATATGTAAAGAATCTACAAAGCGAAAGTATGTTTCAAAGTCCATTAAACAAAAAGTGGAATTGTTGCAAAAATTGGATAAAGGCATATCCTTTGTTTCTCTAACCATTCCGAAATCTGTTTATCAATTTCACGCTGCTCTGCGGCCGGGGGGGGGGGGTAAACGCCCCGGGGCACAATGAATTGGAAGTTGATCTGTCAGCACCGTCCTTATCTTCAGAGCAGATGTTTTTATTTTATTTGGCTTATAATTCCTTACTAAATGTAGTATTTCATCTCAATGTACTCCGTCTTTGATATGATTTAAATCAAATTCCTCGTCATTATAATTTGCTTCCGATAGTGAAGAAAGTGACACAGAGGTTATTGAAAACAAAAAAATTTCCATTGACAAATTAGTCGGTATTCTAGATACAGCAATTATAGGACTTGAACAGCGGAACTTTGTAACAGAACAAGAAATTATGTCTGTTTATAGAATTAAAGAGAAAGTATTATTACATAAAACGAAGCAACTTAAACAACTTACATTGAAAGAAATGTTTATAAAGTAAACAAATAAATATTAAGCTTTTTTTTGTAAATTTTGATACCCTTTAGATCATAATTGTTCTCTATTTCATAAATTACGGTTTCATATTTTTAATTTTATAATTTCTGCATGCCATCTTACCAGATTTAAACTGATGATCTATAATCCGGAAAAATCGATAATCCAGAATTGCCGAAGTCCCAACGAGTCTGGTTTAACTACTTTTGACTGTATCAGAACACTTTTTTCACATCATCTGTTATAAATGAATTTTTTTTTTTAAACTTTTAAATGCCTGATAAAAACCTATTCTTTGACTTATTGTATATCTTTGAATGACAGACAAAATTGATATTTTACAACTAAAGAGGTATACTATACACGTCAGGCTTGTAATTTGTATTTTATTTTTATGCCTTAATGTGTGATAAATATGGGCAAGGGAACAAATATTTAGACAGTATGTTTTGACTCTCTTTGTATGACTGGTATCTTTTGGTATTAGTATTTTATATTTGAAATAAATGATTAGAAATTGTGGTGTGGAAGTTCAGGATTACCTTTTATCTGGAAAATCCTGAAAAGTCGAGGAAACCAAAAAAATGGGAAGGTAAAATACGAATAAGCGGGACAGTCTCTGATGTCTTTTTTCTTTGATGACGTCCAACACCTTGGCATCTACTACTGGTTTCACTGCATTTATATACTTTGCATAAGTACTAACAACAGGAGGTCAGAGGCAACTTACCAATCATGCAGTTTGGAGATACTCATTCCTAGTCTTAGGGCCATTACGAAATTGCCCTCTATGAAATTCTCTTAGATCAGCAGCCTTTCCCATCACTCACAAAAATAAGTGCAAGAATGATTCCGTACCTTCTCTAGCAACAGTTAAATACCATTCGCACTTAATTGCATGCCTTTTTCATCATCCAGATGAGTTCATTGAAAATTGTGGCGATGGTCATAATGTTTTGGCTCGTCAGTGTAGTGTTATAAATTCCTTTTATAAAAATACTTTTTCTAAATTTGATATTTCTTTTTATTATTTTTTAAATAAAGTTTTAGATATATATTTTCCATGAACATATTTCATTACTTGAAAATTAGTGAAACCACTTGGTGCAATATGGCAGTTTGTTCAGGGAAAAAAATTATGAATGATGGTTTATAATTCAAAAAACTCTTTATTACTACATACATATTTTACATTTTGATTAGGTTTTTTTTAATTCCCAAAATTAATCAATAAGCCTACTAGCAAATGCTGTTTGCTTCTTTTGGTATAGTGAAAATTTTGTGTGTTGCAGCTAACTACTATATTCTTGAAGAAATTTTACCTCAGTTTCTCCCGTTTCAAGAAAATATTGGGAATCGCATATTTTTTAATTGGGTTTAAAACAATATAACGATTTGGCTATGAAAGCTATTGGAGCTTGATCTGCCAGTTAGTTCATTGTGTTTTATCTGGGAAAATATTCAATTTTGTTATGGAAAATCAGAAAAGGTAAAGAAAATTAGTGGTTGAATTTCGCTGGCATGTAAAGTGATTGCTCTTGGTTGATGCTTTAAATTTTTAAACATTTAGGATGTGATGAGAAATATGTAGAATATTTTTCTAAATGATTGCTCATTATATGTTAAGGTAGTTTTGCTAATTTAATAATGCACATTTTTATCCCTAAAGCTGAATTATTTTTCTCATTTCATGGTGTAAAAAAGTTGTGTATATTAGTTTAAATCAAAATAATTTATTTTCCTTTAATTTGAAATAATTTTATTACAATGTTTGGTTAACTATTGTAATGTTATTTCCCAATGTGTTTAAATCTCTAGTGACATTGTTTAGCTTTAGCTTCAGACTTTTTAAAACATTGTTTTAATCTTTAACATCAAGGTTTTTTCTTTAATTAATCAGTTTAACTTTTGATGGTATCTGAAAACTTAAGTGTTTTAGTATACCTACTGAAGTACTTAAGGAATTTAAAGCAAACTGATATTTAGAAATTTATTATTTTAAAAATTTATTTAATGTGCTTTCACATCAAACTGTATACTTTAACAGAAAAGTTTCACAAAATCAGTGGTTAATCATTCACATGTAATCAAAAATAAGTATATACATATATATGTGTGTATTATTTTTATTCCTATTTTAGTAAAGAACGGGAAGTGAGTCACCATCTATCTCCTGCCCGAAAAAGAATGAAAGAAAGTTACACTCCAAAATGTTTATCATACCATTCAACTTTAAACTCCATGGATGATATATTCACAAGTGTCACACATCCAACAAGAACACTTCCAAATGAAACAATTCATTGGACTTCTCCGTATTCAAAACCTATGTTTAAAATTGGGTATGTAACATAACCAATGTGCATGCGGTATGGTGTTTATATTGTTTCACTTTATGTATTGTATGAATTATTGTAACTATGCTTTACTGAAAAGCCTAGAAATATGAATCCAGGCATTTTTTTATGTAAACACTTGTTTTTGAAATCCTTCAGTATAAATTCACATTTTAGGTACTTTTTGATGTAAATTCAGCTTAATCTTATTTTTTAAAATAGTCGTCAAAGTCTCAGTTGCCTGTGAACGTGTGTGGGTAAATTGATGAATTCCCAGCCGATAATTTTTGAAACAGAAATCTGGTTAACAGTTTTCTATTTCACGGTTCTGAACAAATCTTAAATAGTTAGTTACCTTCATTCATTGTATAATTTTAGTGAGTAATTTTCTATAATTTTAATAATTTGAGAGGGAAAATGTTTATTACTCCAATCAATAAAACTAAAATTATATCTCAGATTGATCAAGCAAATCCACATTATAATTCTTGCGTTCTCAGCGTCATTTGAAATCTCAGCATTATGATTTAGCAAATTGAGAATAAATAATCATAACGATTTAGCATTTCTTATGCATTTATTAACTTAACAATGCTGTTAAATTTTAATCTAATGCATATAATTTTTATTTAAAAAGAAGACTACTTTTGTAAAAATGTTGAACACAATAGTCATTTTTAACAGTATTCTCAAATTTCTCTCTGTAGAGAGTAAAAAAGAATTACTTGGTGGAATTTTTAAACTCTGATTCTATTGTTTAATAATAAAATTTATGTTAGTGTACTAGCATAAAAGAAAAATCTGTCATGCATTTGGTGTTGATTGATTGGATGTCATGGAACTGTTGTTTAAAACTTATAAAAGTCAATATTTAAAAAAAAAAAAATCATCAAAATATGTTATGCTTCATAAAGTAGAAAAAGACTTTTGCATTGTTCATCAAAATGGAAAAGGAACAATTTACTCAACATTTGTATACTGAATTTCTAGTTGCTAGAATTAGAAAACAATGCCAATACTAATTTCCCTTAAAATCAGTAGTTAAAATAAATAAACAAACAAGTAAAAATTACAGGAAAAAAGTGCCTGACTGTCTCTCAAATTATGAAAATTAGATATGATCATCATCATCCTTCATAATAAACTTCAGTGGTATTCATGCATCATTCTCACCATTTGTTTGGTTGGAATGCTGCATAAGTCATTTTATTGAAATGTGTCTAGTATTTAGTATCCTGAGACTTTTGAAAGCTGAAATTCAAATTGGAGGGTTATAAATTTGACTCTGCAGGAGACATCAAGACATATTTAGAAGGTGCTAGATGCATTTCATTTAAAAGATATCTAGCGAAAATTCCAGTCAGTGAAAGTGCACATCAGCAGATGGCTATTTTGGAAGATTTGGATAGTTTTCAAAAGTTTATTGGCCTTGTTCACTATCTTTTTGATCAATTATTATTGATGCGTCATTATTGATGAAAACATTCAAATTCAATTTATGATAAAAATTATCATTAAAATCATAATAGAATATTAATTTTCACATAATTTACATTTGATGTTGAGGTTGTCAATTTTTATTCCACAAGCGAAGCAATGTACATGTATGACTAAATTAATCTTACAGAATATTATTTTTGTATTTAGGAGTAAACATTGTTCTTTGGTATTACTCCTACTCTCTTTAATCATAAAATTTGAAAAAAAAAAAAAAAAAAAAAAAAAAAACTGTAATTCTGGTAGTAATGTATGAAATAAGCCTACTGATAACATTTTTCTTTGCATTGCAGTGTCTACTTTGTATATATGTATTTAACTTAGTCTGGCTGTTGATAATATGAGTGCTATATTTACTTGAGATTAAGCTTATAAAGGAATAGATTAGATTCATTTATGTATGTAACTCTTATATTTTTAAAATTTATGTAGAAATCCTAAATATAAATAAGTCAAAGCAGGAGATTAATTTATTCATAAATTTATGTAGATATTTATTTAAGGTGAATGAGATAAATCCATGATATAAAACTTTATAAAATACGAAATGTATTAATTTCAAAGGCTAGTCCTTTTAAAGTGGATTGTGTAATCAAATTTCATTGTATTTACATAGAATCTTATTAAATAGTGTGCATACTATATTTGTTGTACTAAGCATTTGAGAACCACTAAAATGTTGTTTTAAAGTGGAGTTTTGATTCTTATAAAGTGATTTTGGGTCTCAAATGATTAAGAGGAACGAAACATGTATTTGGTACTAATTAATAAACTAAGTTTAAGGCTTCGAAACGCTTTTCCCTTGAAGTGTTAAACAGAAGTGTCTGGTGTAAGAGGTAGAAATAACATTTTTTCATTTTCGTTCTGACATTTCTTTTTTAATTTTTATAATTTTGGTCTAGCAGCATATGTGCAGATTTGTCTCTTAGTTTTTTTAAAACTTTATTAAAAAATTTGTTTGGACTTTTAAAGAGGTGTGCGTGTGTGTTCATTCTGGATTTGTTCTGGAATTTTAATGAATGTTATAAAATTGTTGTATTGTTATTTTAGATCCAAGCCAGCAAATGCAGAAAAGGAAGCTTCAAAGCCAACCATTGTTATTTGTGATACACCAAGTCCTGCTGTCAGTGTAATTACCATTAGTTCCGATTCGGATGATGAATTTGATCCTGTTGTCGTGTAAGTTTTAAAATTTTTATTCAAGCAAATTTCTTTTTTTTTTTAACTAATTGTTGAGAATCAAGCATTTGATTGATGTCATGTGCAGTTTTAGTGGTATCATTGTTTTGTTGTATTATTATGTTTTATGCATCTGGCATCACTGTTATTTCTGTCATTCTAAAGTTTTTATGTAAACAATAAGACATACATAAAGTTTCTTTACTTTTTTTATTAGAAATTCATTTAGCCATCACTCTGTTTCGTTACTTTTATAGTACTAATGTCTAATTGTGTATTTTGTTATTCTTTTATATTAAATGATGTGAAATATTCTAATAATTTTAAATAATTTATGCAACTGTTTTTTAATTAGTAGTAAAAACAACAAGGTGGTGCCTGAAAAGAAGGTTGCTAAAACAGTTTCTGGGCATATTATGGCCAGTACCATCACAGCAACTACTTGTGCTAGTGTTCTACCTCTTACACCAAACAATCAAGGTTAGTCGCGATAGTTTATGCAGTTAATTCCTTTTTCTAATTGCATTGTATGAAATGTAAAATAAAGTTATATGTTACTGTTGTAGTTGCTTAGAAATCATTATTGAAATAAGTTTTAATGTTGTAAACAAATTAATATAAATGTTATAAAATTAAATTAATGTTTAACAACAATATGTTAATTGTTTGATTTTTTAAAGTTAAAGGCAATCACATATGTAATAAAGAGATCAGCTAGGGCAATGGTATTTAAACTTTATGGTAGTATGACCTCATAAAAGTGCAAATGATTCCCAAAAACAATTTTGTGTCCCCAGTCAGAGCAGCAACCTCCAGTTATATGCACACTGCACAAAAAAAAGGGGGGTACAGTTTTATATCTCGCGTTCTAGTGGGCCGATTGATTAAATTCAGTTTGCGTTTTTCATGTCTCGAAAGCGGGACTTAGGATATGTATTATATTTATATATAGCATTGTCTAATACAGGTATTTTGACACAAAATCGGACATTTTCTGAAATGACATGCCTATTGTTTACCATATTTCATTTCTACAACTCAAATTATGCCAAACTTCCAAGTTTTGTAAAAATCACACGAGTAGTTTTTAAAAAATTAGCTCTTAAAGTTTTAGCTCCTCAGTGTTAATTGAATTTGATATACAATAAAATTCCGGAAATCCACAAAGCTTGAGACCAGAGGTTATACGGATTTTAGGATTTTGCGGATTTCGGGATAGAAAAGATAAATCGTAATATTCAGGCTAAAAGTGCAAAATAAGTAAGGTATTTAGTAACAATATTACACATTTACAATTAATTACACAACAAGTAATTTAATTAAATGTATCTAAGGTGTATTAGATACGTTTAATTAAATTATTATATACATTATTACAGTAATTTATTATATGCATTAAATTATTATTACATATATAAATTGATTATATTATATTATTCATTTACATTAGGCTCCTCTATTTTTAAATCAGCATGAATCTGCTTCCCCTTTTCTCTCAGGAGGAGTCCTGAAATCGGTACTCCATCACTTGAGCCGCTGCTGGAACCACTCGTACGAGACGGCATCGAGGTTTGCCGATTTCACCTCATGTAAAGATTTCCGGTGTTAGAATCACTGTTGCTGTAAAATTTTAACAGCTTTTCTTTATTTTTCCATATATCATACATGATCCGTGTTGTAATTCCATACGATTCTGCTATAAACCGAGGAGTAGCACCTGCCTTTCATCTTTTGCAGAATTTCCACTTTTTGTATTAATGTCAATGCAACGTGTTTATGTTTTCAACTTTGCAAGCAGTAAAATCATGAGTGCATTTCTTATCTGTCATGGTATTAAAAAGGGCTGAAATTTAAACTATTCTTAATTTATTTGCAAAATATCCGGATAATAAAAAAAGAAGGCAGCACTAAACAATCTCGTGAAATAACAGCTCAGTAAGTACAACGTGAATTGTGTACTTGAAAGAAGGGTTAAGTGAATCATCTGCTTTTTTACCTCTATGCAGACTGGAGGGAAAAAAAAACTTTTAGCATGATGTAAATAATTTGGTATTTCCGTCATGACTCATTTTATTTGGTAATTATGATGTCATTATTTGGTAAGTATTTTTCTTCGATATTTCGTGCTCCATGTTGCGGTCTCCAAAATCTATAAACTGAATGTTTATATTTTGAGAGGCAATGCGGATTTCAGGATTTGGCAGATTTTCGGTATTTATTAATCTCATTTTTATTAAACTAATTTGATTCTTCCCTTCATATATCGAAATTTAGGTTCATTCCAAATAAAATTCACCAGTAAATAATTTTATAAATTTTTCGAAATTTTTTTTAAAATTATATCCTATAAAATGTTTGCCATAATCTTAAAGTAGGTGTATTTCTAAGCATACCTAAAAAAAATTCGCCAAGATAAATTTATAAATTTATCACCAAAAATTACAAAATTTAATATGTAGGCATAATTTGAGTCGTAGAATCTAAATATGAAAAAAAATTGGTATGTTATTTCAGAAAAAATCCGATTTTGTGTCAAAATACCTATGTTAGAACAAAGCTATATCTAACTGTAATATGTATCCTAAGTCACGCTTTCAAGGCATGGAAAACACAGTTTGAATTTCGTGAATCAGCCCAGTAGAATGGGAGCTATAAAACTTCCACCCCGGTTTTTTTTTTTTTTTTTTGCAGTAAAATCATGAGTGCGTTTCTTATCTGTCATTGTATTACAAAGGGCTGAAATTTAAAATATTCTTAATTTATTATGCCAAACTTCCAAGTTTAACCTTCCTGTATGGGGTCGCGACACTGCGAACACCCTATATATCAGTTTGAATACCACTGAGCTAGGATATATTTGACAATTTTTTAAATTAGTCCACCCCCCAGGAAATTAAATTTATAATTTTATTGCATAATTTGCAAAAGAACTACATTAATATCTGGGTTCAGAGCTGTTCCAGAAATCCATAATACTATTAGAACAAACTGAGTGTGAATCAGTGAAGCACTTTCTTTGGGTATATAAAATTTCTTAGTAATTTACATTCTTTTTTATCACGGTTATTCATTTAATGTGAACAAGACCTTCCTGCTTAGGAAGCAATAATAATTCCCTATAATATCATTATCTTTGTGGTAAGTCTATGTGTATAGGGAGGGTAATGTTGGTGAAAAAAAGAACTATTTTAAGTTTTACTATTCTGACTTTTTTTTTAGAACACTTAATTTTTAATTTTTCATATTTGATCATAGAATGCATATTGACTTTCAGTTGAAGAAATTTTTCCAAATTCAGTAAAATGCAGTTTTAACACATTGACTGCCGAGCACGAGTTAACGTATTTTAGCGCTTTTCTTCAGGACGACCAATACGAGTTATCTCGTAGTTTCTTGACTTTCCACTTTTGCGCTACTACGAGTTACTTACTCGCTTAGCGCTTGTTCTAGCTGTACCAAGGCAACAAGTCAAAAGCATGTCTGTACATAGTGGGCTTCTGCGAAGAGCTTTGTCCAACAAAAGCCGACTACGAAATAATTCATAGGACCCTTTTTTCTACGATATATATCCTATAAACTTTTTAATGATTGTTACGAAATGAATCATAATTAGTATTTTTAATAATATAATATGATTAAATCGATTTGGCTTCTTGGAGCAGAATCCGAAAAGTGCTGTGGCAGTCAACGTGTTAAGGAAATACTATTTTGCCTTTGTTCTTAAGTTGAACATTTATTTAAAATTTATTGGCAAAATTTTGCTGCTTTCTATAATGATTAGTTCTACTTTTTTGTCATATCAGCTCGGTTATTCAGCTTACCTTTTCTTGTTTTGAATAATAGTTGTTACTGTATAAATATTTCTGTATATTTCATGTTTAGATGTTAAATTTATGTGTCATATTTAATGTTGTGTATTTTTAAATGCCAGTTATATAGCAAAGAATTATTTTAAACAAGATATATTTAATTAACCTCTTCATCGTCCGTAATGCGTCTAGCGCGTTCAAGTGAAACTTCTGCAGCAGGGCAGCCGTAACGCGCCTCAAGCGTTCTTCTACATTTTAAAACTTTTAAACACTTTCTAAATGTTTACTTGTTTGGGTTTTTATTTTTGTTTGTTCTAATACCTCCTAGAGGGTAGCACTAATCCGGGATTCTATTTCTAATTGAATTTGCCCGTGTTTTTATGAATATTCGCACCATTTTACATAAGATACAAAGCAGTGAGAGATAGCTTCAACGTCTACTCAGCAGAAAAGAGAAAAAATGAGGTTGTGAATTGAAAAGACAAGAAGGATATACGTTTGATGAGTGCAGTCCATAATAACTCGATGATTGATGTTGGAACATGGAAAAGAACTGTAAAAAAACCAATAATTTTAAAAGATTACCGCAACAAAATTGGAGGAATGGACTGCCTGGATCAGATGTTATCAAATTATCCTGCTGTTAGAAATAAGCAGAGATATTATTTTTCCATTACGCTTTATTTCCTTATAATTTTACTTAATATTCATTGACATTGATCCACTACAGTCATGTATGGAAAGTTATGATGTACAGAGAAAACATTACACGCTACGAAAAACAGGCGGCCGCTGGGGGAAAATTTTCGTGGACAGGAGAAGACGGCAGAAGGATTAAATATGAAATCCAGAGGAAATGAATGTTATGCTGATTTTGCATTCTAAGCAAGAAATTTAGTTTTTAATGTAACTTTAAGAATTATGTGCCTATTGAAATCGGGGAGGGAGGAGTTATTTAATAGGTTAATAAGTTGCAAATAATTTTTGTGTTATATGAAATAGTAAACTTAAATATATGTAAGGAAAGTAACATAATAAAAAACATATGTAAAATTTGTCTGATTAAAATATTTTAGGACTTTAGCATAGTAAAAATACATCAGTTTACATTGTAGAGCCCACTCTTCAAATATATGCATATTCTTGATCTTAAAATATGTTAAATTACTTTATATGTTTGCCAGTTTTTTCTTGTAAAAGGTAATCACCTTATTCCAATTTATTAATGTGAAGAAATACTACTATGAAATTCTTTCGTAGCTTGGTGTCACCTTAATACATCACTGAATTAGTACTGAGTGCATTAGAAAAGCTACTTAAATTTCATAATATTTTCTGTTTGTTCTTTGATGAAATCAGAATGCTGTATAAGGACTTGTTTTGATATGGAACAAGTGAATGAAATAAAGTTTTCCTTTATTTGTAAATTCACGTAGTGTCATAATTAGATAAATGCCGCTGAGATCAGATTTGAAAATAATGATAATATAGGGTGTTCTGCTTCGATATATAATAAAACAATTAATAGCAGCTGTAACATGTAAAGGAGTAGTCTGATGTACTGATTGTACTGACAGATTATATGGGCTAAAGTAGAGAAAACAAGTACAGATACTCAATTGTTTCTTTTATTTTCTGGAAGGTCACGATAACTTTGAGCTGGATTGGTGCATCTTATTGAATCCAGGATAATTTCTTTATTAAACGTCTAATTGTATTTATGAAATAAGATATAATGGAAAATGTATCACTATGCATAAAACAATATGATAACAATATAGAATATATGTCTTAATTTAATTTGTGCTATTCTAAAGCATGCTTTAAAGTAAATATGTAAAAGAATTAATATATATATAAGATATAAAATATGAAAACAAACTTCTAACTTTAATTTAGCAATAGTCACTTTTATTCCTCATTTTAATTTGGCTACTTCTACTTCCTGTCACAAAACTACTAAACTGTTTATAATATATAAATTTAAAATGTATCATTTCGAATTTAATCCACATCATGACATCTTACATAACACATAGTAATGCAGATATCTTTTACTCAATCGCAGATCAAAGTGTAAATGAAGAACCACTCTGTCTCTCTTGCTTCTGCTGAATTTGTTCTCACTTTCCAGATTTGCCTCACAATATGCATCACTTGTTGCTCTTTGTTGTCCATTGTCTAAATATTTACTAAGCTGCACAAAATTGAGAAGTGTCCCACCCATAATAATGTGTGAAGGAGAATATGTATCTCAAGAATTAGCTGTCCAGCAATAAATTGTGTGATATGTCTACTTCCACATCTGTCTACAGTGCCATCTTTATATTTATACAATGAACATCTCCAAATCCATTACAGCTATACCTCTCTACCAAATTTATTGCAACTATCACCCAGTCTTAAGATGCTACAGACTATATATACATTAGTGTGCAAAGCTTAAGCAACTTTTTTCATTTTTGCCATAATTCTGCAAAAAATCAAATGAGAGACATGAATCTCATACTAGAACTATGTAAGAGATGAGAAAATATATAGTAGCAAAACAATGAATAGGACGCATAGAGTAGGGGAAAGGAACGCATATAGTATGGTATAGAAAAAAGCTTTATTGACAGAATGGCACTGGTACAAAAAAACTTTCTGGCTAAGAGGCATGACAATAAGCCAAAAAGCCTTAGTAAAGGATATGACCTCCTGCCCAAACTGCAGTGGTTGCAATTACAGATACTCATCACCAGATTATTTAAAAGTTCTCGGGGAAGTAAGAATTCCCCTTCAAGGATCATCTGTTTCAGTTGTCTGGTGTTCTCCGGAAGGTAAGATCGTACCTTCAGGCTTCTTCCTTTAAGTATCCCGTGCATGTTTCATGGGATTTAAATCAGGGGAGCATGTTAGCCAATGTATTCTGTGGATTACTTCATTTTCCAGGAGCTCCTTAACAAAGTCCTGTGTGGTCATACCTTGTTATCCATGAAAACAAAATGGGAACCAGTGCCACCCCAGGAAAGATGTACACGGAGAAGGATATCTTAATCACACTAACAATCTCCAGTAAGTGAACATCTGTCGAAAATGTGGAGCTCTATCTGCCCATCATAACACCTTCCCATACAAGTATGCCAGGTCCACCCCAGTAATCCCTTTCCCTGATGTTAGTAGAATGAAAGCATGTCCCTACCTCTCTGCATATGAACTAGCACTAAGAATTGTTTGTGAGACTGAAGTGACTCTAATCAGTAAAGAGAATGTGACTCTGTTGATGAAGTTTCCAATCTTTGTGTTCTCTACACCACTGTAAATGGTGTCACCAACGGGCTACTGTTAATGGTGTGCAGCGTTCAGGATGGTAGGTGAATAGACCAACTTTATGAAGTCATCTGGCCGCTGTAAACTGGGACACCTGTTGTCCATTTGCCATGTGCAATTGCTGAGAAATGTTACCCACTGTGTGGTTTCAATCTCTTTTAACCCGTCAGGGCAATATGTCATCATTCACCATTGTTTTCCTTGGCCAACCACCATCAATCTTTCTTATTGTATCAATCATTTAGAAGGCTTTCCAAGCTCACAAAACACATTTATCCTGCTGGGTGACAGATGTCAAACTACGACCTCCTCAAGCCACCTCCAATCATTCTGCCACTTGTAAAACATCCTGATGTTTCCTTGTAGCCATACTGCACATACAATCTCACTTTCACTTGCAGAATAATGCTTTGAAATAATGCACCTTCCTTCCTTTTTTTAAGTTTCCTTGCACTGCATTTGCTGACTCATCACATTTTGTGTGCCTTGACATACAATCTGACGTAGTGGTGCTGATATTTACATATGTATCACCTTTCTACGGAGATGGCTTTTTCATTGTACTGATTGCAAAATTCTCTTTTCTACAATTTCGTGGTTAAATGTTGAAAAACTAATTTGTTGCTCAAGTTTTGCACTCTTAATATGTATGTCTGTACATGATTGCAGTATTTATTCTTGAATAAACTCATAGTTTTGTACAGTCAAAAGTCGTTAATTCGGACACCCATAATCCGGACCTCAAAGCTACAAACTTTCTGCGCATGCGTCGCGTTGACCTTTACGGCTGCGAATACGGGTGTGCGCGTGCGCATAAAACGTTTACACATGCGCGTTTAATATATAACGGACGGTATAAGAGAAGCTAAAATTATCTAATTCAGTTAATGTTGCAGATTGCGTTGTTCCTTAATCTTCGAATTGGATCCGGCTTATTATTTTTTGCAGACTGTTAGAGCAATTTTATAAAAGTAAGCTTGAACTTTCGATTATGTCAAATAGAATTTCTGATATAGTATATTTATTAATATGTAAAGGATCTACAAAGCGAAAGTATATTTCAAAGTTCATTAATCAAAAGTGGAATTGCTGCAAAAAGTGGATAAAGGCATATCCTTTGTTTATCTAAACTTTAACGTTTGTTTATCTTTAACGCCAAGGCGCACAATGAATTGGAAGTTGATCTGTCAGCACTATCCTTATCTTCAGGGCAGATGTTTTTATTTTATTTGGCTTATAATTCCTTACTAAATGTAGTATTTCATCTCGATGTACTCCGTCTTTGATATGATTTAAATCAAATTCCTCGTCATTATAATTCGCTTCTGATAGCGAAGAAGTGATAGAGGTTATTGAAAGCGAAAAAATTTCAATTGACAAATTAGTCAGTAGGCACAGCAATTATAGGACTTGAACAGCGGAACTTTGTAACTGAACAAGAAATTATGTCTGTTTATAGAATTAAAGAGAATGTATTATCACATAAAAAACGAAGCAACTTAAACGACTTACATTGAAAGAAATGTTTAATAAAGTAAACAAATAAATATTAAGCTCTTTTTTTTTTTTTTTTTTTTTTTTTTTTTGTAAATTTTGATACCCTTTAGACCATAATTGTTCTTTATTTAATAAATTACGGTTTCATATTTTTAATTTTATAATTTCTGCATGCCATCTTACCAGATTTAAACTGATGATCTATAATCCGGAAAAATCGATAATCCAGAATCGCCGAAGTCCCGACGAGTCTGGATTAACGACTTTTGACTGTAGCAGTAATATTTAATAATTTATATTCTAATTTCTTTTATAATGCAAGTTAAGATGAAAAGTGTAAAACTGCAGTGCTGTCATTTATACATTTGTGATTTCAAATAATAGTTTAATCATTTAAAATACAGTATATTTCTGTGTACTAGCCAATAATTTTTGGAACCTTTTCTAAAGCTAAATTATGGCCTCCAGCTTATATACAGATCTACTAATCTCACAAAAACATAGGTATTTTCATTAGTTGGGCGCAAGCAATAAATCACTAAGTATTGCTCTTTTTTATTTCTTAAGTTTATGATAAGAATTAATTTTAAATGTGAGGAGTTATTTTAAGATAATAGTTCTTTTATTTTCAAAATTATTTTTAATGCTGGTTTGTTGCATCTAATGCCAAAATAAAAGATCTGTTGGTGAAAGTTGTATCCAGCTTTCTCCTTTCTTAATTTTCTATTCAGAGAAATGCCGAGCACCCATGCTGTTAGAATTTTCAGCAAAAATGGTCAATTGTAGTTTGAAATTTTCCATTTAAGAATTACTATTCTTGCTCATCTTTCAGACAAAAAATAAAATGGAACTGAAAATAATACCAGCACAGTTACCACAGATTATATTCAACACAAAAAATGATGGGAATAAATGTGCTTAATTCGGATAGGACTACCAGAATTAAAACAATCATTTTTGGCAGCTGGCATTTTTAAGCAATATGATTGGGTAAAATTCTATCCATTTTACTAGCTTGGCAACATTTTCGTCCTCATGATGATATGTTTGAACATAACAGAAAACTTTTTTTCATTTTAGCTTTTGTGCAGGTTTTGAATTTTGGGTAAATTATGTATGGTAGTTAAAATGTATAACATCTTAATTCTCAATTTTTTTAGCTTCTGAAAGTGTTTAAATTTTTATATAAATAGTTGGAAAACGTAATTTGGAACATTCAAGCATCTGATTGTTCACTTTCTTATTTAGGATACCAGAATATAAATGGTGGGACCTCTACGAACTCTGGAGCCAGTAGCAGTTTCAAAGTGCAACCGAAAGTTAGTTATGTTACTGTATTTGATTCCGACTCTGATGATAAGTACAGTCCTGTAAAAAACCAGGTCACTTGTGGGACCAAAGTTATAAAACCTGAACCTCAAAAAGAGGCACACAGGTAAAATACTGTTTTTAAAGGTTTATATTTGTTTAAAGGTATTTAATTTGTGATTATAAATTTGTAATTCTGTCTCTTTTAATTTTTATAATGCATGCTGTGCCAATTTTTCTGTAATTGCAAATATAAAGCTGTAATTTCATCAATATATGTGCATTTTATTAGAGATTGAAAGTGGATAAAAAAATTCTGAATTTAAAATAATAATGAAATAAAAGAAACTGGAGAAGGAGAGTGAAAAAACTAAAGTAGTTTCATGTTTATCTTCATATTTTTTCATCGGTGTCAGTGATTTAAAGCAAAATGCTATGTGTAGATTTACTGAGAAACGAATTATTTAATAATCACTAAAAAAATTTTCCTCTTACCATACTAATACAGAAAGAGATTTATTTCTTTTCATATATAGTGGTTAATCAGTTAAAAAAAACCAACAAAAAAAAACAAAAAAAAAACCCTGCAGTTTAATTGTATTAAACTTTGTTTCTTTTTGTTGCATTTTCTTTCTGTTTGCAGGTTACTGAAAGGAAGCTGCTAGTAGTGTTTCTTCTGTAAAATAAAAGTTGAAAAATGTTTTTTTAGTGGTCGATAGAAGGCAGGCAGAAAACATTTTTTCAGGGTAGGGTATGCTTGTCATGAAAGCTTTTTTTTTTTTTTTTTTTTTTTCCAGAAATTAAAATAATGCTTCTTCTTTAGTTCCTACAATTAGTTCATTCACTTAAATGTGTGGCACAAAAATTGATCATTTCCAGTGTTCATGCAATTGATAAAGCTTTCAGAGTGTGAATTGCAAGGCATTATTTACAATTATATCAATAAAAGAGCCTTTTATATTATTTACGGATTTTCAGTATTAAAAAATTAATAAAACTAAATGAAGAAATGTATCCACTTGATTAATGGAGTTAGTTGAAATTCAAGAAGTATATAGTAAAAATGTAACAATGTTCAATTATTAAATATCATGAATGAATCATGTATGAACAAGTTGTATTTTATGTCTAGTTTTTAATCTGCTTTTAGGAAATCAAATTAAAATCAAGTATCAGAATTTAGAAAGGAATATATTTGAACAGTTGATGCTGTTGACAGAGGCTTTTATGACATTTTAATTTCAGCTTTTCATCTGTAAATTATTTTTAAACTGTGATTATTTTTTATCCTTCTGTTTTATTTAGTAGTTGGATTATAGCTATTCCAGTCTATTAAGCTAATACATTTCTGGCAAAATGGTACAGATTATTTTTGTTTCTTAAAGAAGAATATACTATATTGGATTCTATTGGAACATAATATAGTGGTCATTTTTGTAAAATGTCTGTCTGGAATGGAATTTGTTCAGTTTTAAAATGATCCAATATAGCAACCAGGAAACTTTCCTACTCTGGGGTATGTATAGTAATTAAAGTAGCTATACTAATTCAGATTAAAATGCAATTTTAAAGCATATAATCCCCACTTTCAATAACAATTTATATAAATATGGTATTTATATATTTTCCCATTGACCATAAAAGTTGACAGAAATCCTTCCAAACTTGCAGTAGCACTTCTTTGGAATTCTGAAGGAACAGATTGCTCTTTATTTAGTTACATAATCACAGTAAAGATATCTTTATGTAATTAAGTAACCAACAAATACAAGTTACAGATGTACCATTTAAAAAACCTTGAATAAATACGAGCTCAAATTTCAGATTATCTAAAAAATAGGTTCATTAATAATACCAGTCATTCCAGTAGCCAAAAATAGCAATAAAATTGTCACCTTCTATGTAAACTTGCCATTATATAAGTTCTCAAAATGATGTCATGTTGCTCTGTAGTATTTTTTATTATGCCATTTTGCCAAACCCCAGCATCTTTCAAAGTTTTGAGTATGCACACTAGTAAAACCAATCCCGGGACTTTGAAAACTCCACTGCTTGTTCTTTTGTTGAAGATAGGTCCCAAGTTTCAATTATTTTTTCAAAATACATGAAAAAAAAAGGAGAAGTACAGTTAATTTATATCCTTTTTTACAAAAGCTAAATGGGCTTACAGAACATGACTTCTCTACCAGGATTATGTAAAGCAAAAGCAAAGATCTTATGAGTGCATTGTGGCTTCATGCTTATCCTCTGCTGGCACTAAATTGCACTGTTTGGCAGCAATTTTATTTGTTAAAAATGGTTGACAGGAAAAAAAAAAAAGTATTATTATTTTTTTTTTTCTTACCTTCATGTAGATGAAAATCCAAAAGTGCTAAAATTCGTAGGTGATACATCAGGAGATTTAATAAGGATATTAGTGAAAGCTATGGCCTTTATACACGTTTCTTGGTCCATTTTTTCTAGAAAATTAGCAGTAGATTTTGACGTGCAGCTGCTTGCTTTGTCTTCATGCCTACTGATTGATGGCACTGTGGGTAAAGAGAATGTATTTTATATTTGAAAATTGGGTATAAAGAAAATTGGTATGTTTTTGATAATACATAGAGTTGATCTTGACATTTTTCTGTACTCTCTTTATTTTTAATTTGTTGTTATATGAAAAACCAGCAACAATGATTAATCCATTAGAAATACTTTCTTTAGATTCCTTGAACTATGTTTTAAGATTTTTTTCTCCTCTTTGATGATAATAAAGGGAAAACTTTGATACTTTTTTTTTCTTTTCTTATTGACACTAATATCAATCATTCCTTTAGATGGTGAAAAATTATGGCTTTCACAGCTGAATTGACTTATTCTATTTCCCATCGATAGCTATATATCACAATAAAATAACACCACACAGGTTACAGAAAATAACACACTCAAATTTTCAATACATTTATTTTCCATAGCGACACTCTGGCACTAGGTTTCTTTGTTACAGCGTAACATATGAATCGCAACTTCGAACGTACCACAAAAAATCAAGTTTCTCACAGAATATATTTCAGTGCCAATTCTGGTGGTGCATGCACTAAATTTTGCTCTGTTTCCAAGTATTTCTCAGCTTATACAAAACACTCCCGGCATTGAAATTAACAATTTCAAAACTATTATTACAATAAATGTAAATATATAGGCACTACAATAAATTACTTCACAATATTAAAAAATATACATTCAAATCATTACAACAAATACCTGTTTATAATAGAAATAAACCATCATTCTACAAGAAGTATATATATATATCTCGAACATTTCGTTTTAGCAAATGTTGATTAAGCAATATTACAGTTACTACTCTTATTTTGTTATCCCTACCATGAAAAACCTCAGCTGTTCTCCCCACTAACCATTTAGTTGAAGGCAAATTTTCATCTTTTAGTAATACAAGAGTTCCCAACTGAACGTCTTCCTTTAAAAATTTCCACTTGTGACGTTCTTGTAAATTATTAAGATAATCACATTTCCATAATTTCCAAATTTTTTGTGTATACTTAATGATTCTTTGCCATTTAGAAAGTCTGTTTTCATTTATGTTTGATAAATCTGGCTCAGCAAGAGTTGTGATAGGTCTACCAACAAAAAGTGACCTGGGGTCAAAGTTTCAAAATTACTGTAATCAGCTGAAATTGGAGTCAATACTCCTTCAATTTCAGTTAAAACAGTTAAAAATTTTTCTAAAGTTAAGCACTGATTACCAATAACTCTCTTCAAATGATTCTTAAATGATTTAACCCCGGCCTCCCAAATTCCTCTGAAATTTGGCGACTTTGGAGGAATGAATTTCCACTCTATACCTTCAGTGGTATAAAAACTCGCTGAATCCTCATCTGGACACTCAACCAATTTTTGCAATTTTTTTAGTTCTACACTGGTACCAATAAAGATTTTAGAATTATCACTTATTATTCCAGTACATTTTCTCCTTCTAGAGAAAAAACGTTTTAAGCTTGAAGTAAAAAATTGGCTAGTTGGTCTGTCACAAAGTTTAAGTGTATGGCTTTTGTGCTCATACCTACATACATATACTACGACATAGATTTTGTTCAAAACTCCCTTACATTGATTCTTAAACTTTATTGCAAATGGGCTGCAGAAATCAACAGCAGTTATGTTAAATGGGTATGATGGTGTGACACGCTCTTTGGACAACTCAGCCATTATTTGTTGAACTGTGATGGGTTTGTTCTTAAAGCATGTCACACATCTGTAGATGATCTTTCTACACTTATTTCTGCCATTGAGTGGCCAGAACCTTTCTTTGCCTTACCTGATGTAACAGTGATTGTGATCCTAAAATAAAGTACTTCAAATGAAAATGATCTAAAATAATAGCAGTTAAATGATGTTTACTAGGTAAAACTATAGGGTGTTTACTATTAGCGGGTAGGTCCGAATAGGACAATCGTCTGCCCACTCTAATCAGACCCATGTTATCAAGAAACACATTCAGTGATGCTAATTTACTTTTAAGGTTTACACACTTACCTCTTTTCAATTGATTTATTTCTTTTCGAAACTCACTTTTTTGGGCCTCTAATAAAATATATACCTCAGCATCCTTTATCTCTTCTAAATCAAGTACTCCATACCTCCTTACCTGGGGGTTCTTAAGATTATGGATAAACCTGAAAACGAAACTTACAATACGAATAAGTTTAGTATAGTTAGAAGACAAATTAAGAATATCATTAAAGAGGTTTAGTTCATTACATGCAATTAAAACTAAGTTAGAATCGTTATGCAGTTCATTGTCCTTTTTAAGTTCATTTGGACACACTTCTATAGCAACTTCAAGTGGTAAGTCCTGATGAGGAATCTCTGAGCATGTTAGAAAGTCACAGCATGACCACCATTTGGAACAGTTCACAAGAAAGTCAGTTTGAACACCACATGTCATAACATCTGCTGGGTTCTCTTTTGTTGAACAATAGAACCACTCTATCGGCTGTGTTAACTTCCTAATCTCGTTAACTCTGTTGGTGATGAAAGATTTCCATTTGGTACTGGTACCTTTAATCCAGCATAGCACTATTTTGGCATCAGTCCAATAAAATATTCTCGAGGATTTCTTTTGATCGAGCAATTTTTTTTTTTCACTTCAGAACCTAAACGCACTGCTAGTAATGCACCAAGTAATTCAAGACGAGGTAACGTAATTCTTTTCACAGGTGCAACATGACATTTTGATGCAACGAAACTTGCAGAAATTTCTTCTTGCTTACGCAGTTTTACGTAGACAACTGTTGAATATGCCTTCTGACTAGCATCTGAAAAGCAGTGGATCTCTATGGAATCTGCTTTGGGTTTCAAAATGAATCTTGGAACTGCAATTTTACTTAGATGATGACACTCACAGCACCACTGTGCCCACTCTTGACAGATATCTGTAGATAGTTCATCATCCCATGTCAATTTTCGAACCCAAAGTTCTTGTAGCAAGAATTTAAGTCTAACAGTAAATGAAGTTATTAACCCAAAAGGATCAAAATTCTTCCCTGCAGTGTTCAAGAGGAATCGTTTCGTATTACGCTTATTCTTAAAAAATTCCATCAAACTGTCTGTCTCTATACTCAGACCGTCTTCATTTGTATCCCAAAACATTCCCAAGATCTTAAGTGTCTTGTTTGAGTCATTGATTTTATGTGGATGGATCTCGAACTCTTCTTCTTCCCATTTCCTCATTAGCTCAGGATCATTGGATACCCATTTCCGCAAGTTCATATTTGCTTCACTCATAATTTGTTTAGCGTTGCGCGATAAGCTTAGAGCCTCATCTATACTGTCCTGTCCAGTAATAAAATCGTCAACATAAACACAAGAATTCAATATTTCAAATACATCTGGCTGCTCATCTCGATATTTTCTAATGTGTTCTTTAATTGTTGCAGCCAACAAAAATGGACTTAATGCCAAAATTTACGTGCTTGAATCTATATGTCACTATTTTTAGATCATTTAATTGTGTGTTTTCCACAAACAGGAATCGCACTGCGTCTTGATTCTTTTCTGCCAAAGCAATCTGCAAAAATGCTTTTTCCACATCTGCTGAAATTGCAACTTTATTTAATCGAAAATTAATTAGCAGAAGGACTATGTTAGGATTCAAATTTGTCCCTGTCCATAGACAATCGTTCAGTGATAACTGCCCGAACTCATGTGAGCTGCCATCAAACACTATTCTAATCTTTATTGAAGCACTGGTTTTTCTAAATACCGGTTGATGTGGTAAGTAAAAGACTGGTTTACCGATAGGTATATTTCCATCTGACACTTTCTCAATAATACCTTGCTTGAGATAATCATCTAATACTTCACTATGTGTAGACAACAGTGTTTTGTCATAATTTATTCGCTTTTCGAAAGTTTTTAATCTATTTTCCGCTACTCGATAATTATCAGCTAATCACTCCAGTCCCTTTTCCAAGGTAAAGTAACCTCATAGCGACCAGCTTTGAAACAAACTGTCTTATTAAATATTTCCAATGCTTTGTCTTCGTCATGACAATAAGGATCATCTTTAATTTTTGATAATTCTAGTTCGGAAAACATTTTCAATTCACTCTCTGAATTATCATTTATTAACCCACAATATGACAAATTATTTCATCGTGAATCATTTATATATCAAAACACACTATTTTGTAATATCAAGCCTGTGTGAGGAACATAGATTTTACCAGCTCGTAACATATCATAAAATACTTCCGCGCCAAGCAACAGGTTTACTTTCTATGGTTTATAAAATTCCAAATCTGCTAAATTCACCTTCTCAGGAATCACAAGGTTACTAAGATAAACTTTGCGAGAGTTAAACCTGCTATTTCTGGAATTACCAAAACCTCTAGTTTCCTTTTATACGTTTGTTCCTGATTACAGATAAGGGCAACTGCTTTTCTTTTTATCGTAGTTGAAATACCTGATATACTGCAAACCAAAATATTTGTCTTTTCCCTTTTTAAATTAAGTATATTCACTAATTCAGTGGTACAAAAACAAGAAACACTTCCACTATCACATAACGCTTTCACCTTAATTAAAGTTCCATCATTAGTCTCAATGAATACAAAGGCAGTAGATAAAATCACGTTTTTCCCACTGTTAGTACCTGTAGCGGCTGTAAAGGTTTCGTTTTCAGTTTTACCTTGAACTGCAGGGGCATGTACATTTAGCGCATTGCTGTTTTGATCACCCAACTCCTGATCTGAAGTGTCTGCTCTTTCTACTGTGATACCAACGGAATTATTTTCGTTTTGATAACATGAAAGAAAGCTATGTTTTTTCTTACACTTTTTGCACAAGTAATTAGAACGGCAATTTCTTACACTGTGCAAATTAAAACAACAAAAACATAAATTCTGTTTTTTCACAAATTCTACCCTTTCTTTTACACTTAATTTCTGAAATTTAGGACAATTAAAAAACCTGTCATTGCTCAAATTACATAATCTACACGAATTCTATGTATGTTTTTCATTTGCATTAGAACAATAGCAGTAACTCTGTGTGTAACTTTTTGGTGTTAGGATCTAATTTTTGCCCCAAAATGTATGCAAATACATTGGAAAAAAACCCTTTAACACTGATTTAAAACTTCTAATGATCTCATGCATTCATTTGTAAGGTCAATTAAGTTTAATATTGCTGACGCAGACTCATTTTGCATAGGATGCATATTCATAAATCGTTTTAGATGAGGATACACTTGTTCGCGGTGATTAGAGAACTTTTCTTCTAGTAATGAAAAGGCTAATTTATAATTAGAGTCAACTATGGATATTGATTGCACAATACGATAAGTATTTCCTCTTGTCGCAGATTTTAAATACTGTAATTTGACTGCATCTATTAAAATAGAATTTGAATCAACACTTGCTAAAAAGATATCTTTAAATGAAAGCCACTCATGTAAGTTCATGCAAACCGAAGGCTCTGATTTAATTTCTTTGGAAAGTTTAATTAAATTACAATTTAATTCAACATCTACATTTAAGAGAATATCGTTAATCTCTTCTTTCTCTTTTACATAATCATCAATACTTTCTTCCGTACATAACCTGAACAAAGAATCGAAATTGAAATTTATCTCTGTCTCAAGCACTTTAAACTTATTCTTCAGTACTTCTAAGTCACTTCTTTGGACATTTTTGCTCGCAACCTTTTGTTTTAACTTTGTTAACTGTGTTTTTAATGTACGTTTTTTTTTCGCTAATATTTCCTTTAGTGACAAATTAATTAGTAAAAGTCAATAAACAAATAAAGAGCTTCAAAAAAGGGGAGGGTACTTACTCTTTTGTTTCTACAGAACTTCAATCTTGAAATATCCAAACTAATCCTACGTTTCACAAACCCGAAAGTAATATCACAGTCTCATAAACCTCATTAGCTGTTCCGGCTCTGACCGGCCAAAAACATGAATTGACTTATTCTATTTCCCATCGATAGCTATATATCACAATAAAATAACACCAGATTACAGAAAATAACATGCTCAAACTTTCAATACATTTATTTTTCATAGCGACACTCTAGCGCTAGGTTTCTTTCTTACAGCGCAACATATGAATCGCAACTTCGAATGTACCACAAAAAACCAAGTTTCTCACAGAATACTTCAGCGCCAATTCTGGTGGCGCATGCGCTATTAGTTAAGATTTTGCTCTGTCACCAAGTATTTCTCAGCTAATACAAAACAACAATATTTTTCAATAATATATCCGAATAATTTTGTTCAGAAAGAGCACAAACATAGCTTTCTGTCCATTGCTCCTTTAAAAATCCCATTTTGCATGAAATGAAAATTGTCAAATAGCAGGCGATAGCTTACACTTTCAAAAATATAGTTGCAATTAAAAAAAAAAAATTCCCAAGCAGGCAAATTTATATATATATATATAGCAAAGCAAAGTTGTTTAACCATATAATACTAACCCTTTACATTTAGTAAAGATTTATTTGCTGAAAGACAGAAAATATTCCACATTCAGTTACAACTGTATCTTAAATACAAAAGAATGTAGGTATTATAACTGAGTGATATTGGAGCCAGTGGTGCCAGGTTTAGAAGTTACGCGTGCATTTCATTGTTGTGTGAGTAAAGTTTAAGCAGATTAGCATTCTAGGGTTAAAAAATGTGCGAACAGCCTCTGTATATCAATCACTGACTTTAGTAAATGCATATTGTATTCTTTGTTGTAAGTCAAATAGTTCTTGCTGCATATGATGTTTTTGTAAGAAAGGAAGGAATGAGTACTCAACTGAATTACGTGCTAGACCATCTCATATGTAAGGCAGTTACTGCCTTCTGTTTAAGTACCAGGTATGGCTGCCTGTCAGCCCATCATTTATTATTTAGAATAGCCTCTCGCCCACTCATACCTTTTGTATGGAGATGCATGGTAGGTCTTCCATATTGCCTGTCCAGGCATTACTCTTTACTTGTGTTTGTCTCCCCCCTCTCTTTTTTTTTAATTTAAATTTTTATTTGTATTTTTTATGTTTCATATTTTTTACTTTTAAGTCTTCCTCTTTATCTCTCCCTAGGGACTTTTGTTTACATTTTAAATAAAAGTAAAATAGTAAATGCTCTTTTACAAAGTCAGTAATTTGAATTTTGTTTGTATTTTAAATTTATTGATCATGCATTCTGAAGAAATAGTGTAATGCTGATATAACTACTATGCATAAAAAATCCTGCACATAATGCTATGTATAAAATATCCTGTTATACATGTTGTGCGTGTAATAGTTTGCTCTTCTGTTTTATTTCAGTAATGTATGTTCAAACCATATATATACATATAGCTAATAACATGTATAGATAAATAATAGCCAAGCTAAAATAGTATGCAAAATACTGTAATGAATGTGAAGTGATGTCAGAGCTTTTGAATGAATACAAAACTTCAAGAGAATAAGTAATTACATATTTGAACTCTTCTTTATGTGATTGTTTTGCTTAATTTTATGACTTAAAATTTATTTATTGTAGTTCTCGTTTGAATGCATGCCAGAAGAAGCGGATTTTATCCCAAGCAAATTTATATCATACCCACTGTCAAATGAGTAATGGACCAATAGTTCAAACAAAGCAAGAAATTATTTCAGATGATGACCAAAGCGCTGCATTTCTGCGAACTCTTCAAGCTTCCTTGCCTTGTGGTCAGCAGCAAGCGACTCCAGTAGCTCTCACATCTGTTGCAGTGCCGACTTTGTTGTCTAGTCAGTATACTGGCTGTTATTTGAAGAACAATGAACGATCTGTGAAAAGCCCTTTCTGTGAACAAGAACAGGTAAGCATATGATGAATCTCATAAATTGATAAGTTATACATTAAATCTTACTAAACAGGCAATTCATGTCAATAGTAATCTCTGCTACTGTCAAAAGTCGTTAATTCGGACACCCATAATCCGGAATGATCTATAATCCGGACCTCAAAGCTAAAAACTTTCTGTGCATGCGCATAGGCGTTTACGCGTAAGACTTTTACAACTGCGCATATGCGTGTGAACAAGCGCAGAATACGTTTTCGCGTGTGCGTTTAATGTATAACGGACGGTATAAGCTAAAATTATCTAATTATCTATTTCAGTTAATGTTGATGATTGCGTTGTTCCTTAATCTTCGAATTGGATCCGGCTTATTATTTTTTGCAGACTGTAAGAGCAATTTTATAAAAGTTTTTATAAAAGTAACCTTGAACTTTTGATTATGTCAAATAGAATTTGACCATCAAATGATTCTATTTCAATGTCCATCAAACAAAAAGTGGAATTGCTCAAAAAAAATGGATAAAGGCATATCCTTTGTTTATCTAACCGTTCCAAGATCTGTTTATCAATTTCACGCTGCTCTGCGTGGGGGGAGGGGGAACGTGGCGCACAATGAACTGGAATTTGATCTGTCAGCACTATCGTTATCTTCAGGGCAGATGTTTTTATTTTATTTGGCTTATAATTCCTTATTAAATGTAGTATTTCATCTCAATGTACTCCGTCTTTGATATGATTTAAATCAAATTCCTCATCATTATAAATATCAGGAATACAAATCAAATAGTTTTCTGGTTGCAATTTTCTAATTTCGGCTATGCATAATGTATGCTTTACGCATGCGCGCGTTGAAAGAAATGTTTAATAAAGTAAACAAATAAATATTAAGCTTTTTTTTTTGTAAATTTTGATACCCTTTAGATCATAATTGCTCATTATTTTATAAATTATGGTTTCATATTTTTAATTTTATAATTTCTGCATGCTATCTTACCAGATTTAAACTGATGATCTATAATCCGGAAAAATCGATAATCTGGAATCACCGAAGTCCCAACGAGTCCGGATTAAAGACTTTTGACTGTATTATACAATGCACTCTTTATTTTGGTGAAAATGATGGAATATTCATAGAACAAATCACTGTTTTATTTATATTATATATATACAGGATGTCTCCACAGTTCTAAAAATTTAGCTCTGGTTGAGTTTCCTAGTAACTAAGCATTAGTTCAATTCCTAGAACTTATAGGAAAGGTTTTTCAGCCAGGGACAACTCTTGGCATGTTTATGCAGCCGTGCTATGGAATATTGTTTAATCCAATTCAGTTGTTTAACTGATGCAGGTACGCTTTTTTTAGTACTGTTTTTGTAACCATAGAAGATGTGAAGAACAGCCATTTTCTTTTTGTGGAAAAAAGGTAGCAAAACTTCAGAAATTGATCAGCATTTGCGAGGAGTGTTCTATTCCTACATTTCTGTTCCCACATTCGAAAAAAAATCCTTATGGAGTGTTGGATTTAAGAGTTTAATCATAAATAGTCTTAAAATAGGTAGATGGACAAAGCACCAAAAAGATTTTTTGATAATGGCTTGATTAGTTTCCACTGAGATTAGTATTTTCAACTAAATGGGGATAATACTAAAAAAACAACTGAAAAATGCAATGCATTTCATTTTTCATGAGCCAAATGGTCAGAGCAGAAGGTAATAGAAGCTGATGAGACACTCACAGTTTTGGATTTGAATCCTGGGTAATCATTTGTAACTTGAGAATGTACCATAGAACATTTATAATGTAGAATATTTTCATAAATATGCATCCAAAAGTTTTCTCCTGAGATTAGTGGTTGAGGTTCTTTGATTTAATTCTTCCAATGTTATCCTGGCCTGAATCATTATGGCAGACAACCCTTATGTGCTTTCCCTTAATCAATAAATAATCCAATTCATCATTAAAGCATTAATACTCCAGATAATTGTATTATTATATATTAAATTATTTCACAATCTTATTCAGATTCTAAAATTTTTTAGACATGCAGTAATTTTTAACTTTGTGGTTTTCATAAAAAAAGGTCTGAAGTTCAGAAATATTTTTAGGTCATTTACTTCATTGATAGGCAGTTTATTGTATGAGATATTACAAGCTAAACAAAGAAAAAATTGTCAGTTAAAAATTAAAAAGATTCTAAAGATGTTAAATGGTTTTAAAAAGTATTAAAAGGTTTAAAAGTATTAATTTTAATTATTAATGATTATGATTTTTTTAACCCTAAAAATTATGGTTTGTATGTGCAGTTTTTTTATTGAAATTTATTCCTTAAAATCACCATGGCTTGTGGAAAAAATCAAAAAAAAAAAAAAAAAAAGTTTATATTGGTTTTTGAGAATTTTGGAAAGTTGGAGGCATTTCAAAATTAGTTGAATGCTGATTTCAGATTTTAATGATGTCTTCAGTTTGTGTTTATTTTGATTAATTATTATTCTAGCAATTTTTTTTCTACAACCAAAAAGAATCCCTTCCACTTCCCTTTGGCTATAGAAATTTTTAGGAATATCCATATTGTCAAATCTGAATAAAGTAATGAGTGTCTCAGAATTTTAAATTTCTAAAAAAAATATGTTAAATTGTATTTGTCTAATTTTGCTTCATTTAGGTGTGCCTAAGTGATTCCCTCCCTGTTTAAAAATGTTGTCAACTTTTTTAGTAAGTTTTCAGTATTTCACATGTTAGTCTGATTACTTTTTTGCCCAAAATCTTCAGGTGTTTGCTCTTTATAGGTATGCATAGAAAAATGTATGGTTTATAATTTTAATACTGAATTAATCAAGAACTTCTCAAGCAAATGAAGAACTGTGTTCAACTACATGCTTTGAAACAGTTTGTGTATATATATATATATATATATATATATATATATATATTGTACTACCTTAAAAGGGAAAGTGCAATGCTTGTCATCCAATAGTATTAGAATAAATTTTTATTTTAGATAAAATTGTGCAGTCTTTATAGTTTATAACTCTCTTCCTGTAGTGCATCTTTATTTGAATATGTAATTTTTTTGCTGAGTAAGTGTCAAATTTAGAAAAACGCTAGCCTTCTTTCTCAGAAAAGTATATTTATCTGATATTAAAAGGTAATTTGTTTTTAATTTTGTGAATTCTTTTCATTATTGGAGTTGTAATTTTGTAAATTTAATCACTAAAAATTTAGTGAAGTAATTTATTTTTCTCTAAAAGTATCAAATGAGCTTATTATATTTATTGCTGTGGGTATTTTCATGGTTATCTTCTCCTGTGTAATGTATATGTGAGCCTCCTCTTTTTTTTGGGGGGGAGCAGAATCTTCAACTAAGAATCTTCAAACAACCCTTCCCTTAAGCAGCTTGCCCTTTTGTGCTTTGCCATATTCAACTAACTATTGTATATGTTGCTATTTCAGAAATCAAATGTTATAATTGGAAACAGTGAACAGTTGTCTGTTCATGAGGATTTAACTAGAACATCTCAACTGGCTACATCTCTTCATGTTTCTCCTGTACCTCATATCTCTCAATCTCTTTATTTGCCTACTAGTCAGACTGATATTTACAGGTAAGTACTTTAGCTAATTATTTCGACTTATAAAAGTGTGTGTGCTGGTAATATAACTATACATAAAAGAATTATACAACTCTTCATTTTATAAAAAGAATTTATGTGACTCAAAATCCTTTATCGGGCACCTTTTCTCTCTGTTCGTCTCGGTATATACACACATGTATTTAAAAACAGTGTCTAGTTCTCATGGAGCCAGAAACTATTTTTAATAATGTTGACTCATGCACACACTGAGATATAAGGTGTAAAAAGAAGGTCCAGTTAACTTGAAGTTTAAAAGTACTGTAATAATATTGATATACACATGCACATATATGTAGAATCATACCTGCCAACTTGTACGAATTTTTCGTAATTTTTACGAAAATGCGTTTATCTTTACGATTTTACAATCGTAATCCATTTTTTTACGATTTTTTTTCCTTTTTCAAGTGTTTTTAGTGATTTTTGTCGAAATTTTAGAATTTTTCGCCAATTGCATCGTGTTTTACCACCAACTACCGACTACTTCGAATCCAGTAACCTGCGGTTTCTCCCATGGAGGTAGGAAGTAAGAAGGAGTCGCCCTAAACAAGTTTCTCCGTACCCTGAAGCACCGGCGATCCCTACGTGGTGATCATTGGGTCATTTACCATTACCAAAACATTGGGTCATTTACCATTGAGTTCTATGGGATTTGACGCGTTCGAAGTGTAAATATTTTGTAATTACATCGCAAATATACATATAAATGTATATATTTTCTTTTTCTACAACACTTCAGTGTCCTAAGTATGTGAAAACAACATATTTTTAAACAACATTTCATTCTGAACGGAATTAAATGCTATACTTTTCACAGGACAGTTTTCTCAGAATGGTTTAATTTGAATGAAATATTTTCACAAGTTTTCGTTAATTACATTAGAAAAAAAAATTAAGGTAATTCGATTTTATTCGGTTAAGGTACAAAAATTAAGATCAAAGTTTATTGTATTATTAATATTAAAATTATGCATTATTTCTTTTCTATTTATAGAGCTTCTTCCTAAAATACTTTCTTAAATATGACATGATTTTTTGGCTTCTTTTAAATCGAAAAATGTAAGTCAATTTATAATTAATGCTCTATTCGGTTCATTTTAAATTAGAGAATTATTAGGAAAAATAGTATTTGACTTTCTCTGAACATTTCTGAAAGGGAATAAAATTAATTTTTTTTTTTTTTTTTAAGTATTATTTAAAACTTGTAACTGAGTTATTATAAAATGTAAAGGGAATAATTCTTTTAATTATACTTATCAGATTTTTTTTTTTTTTACCCTTCATTTCAACAATACATATTCCAAAACTCTTTATTACGTTCTTAAGTGCGCATCTCATAGCATTTGCTTTACAATACCTTTTAACAGATTGCTTTCCAATACGAACAATTCTTGCTTAAATAGTTTTATAACGTATTTGTCAACAGGATTTCAATTTATGTTTACAATTCAATATTAAGGTTATTATATATTTAGATAACATTTATAATCATTATAAATTAGATACATTTAATCATTAGATTTCTTCACAGTACTATCACAGTTGTTTATAAGTGAATAAATTCTTCATTTCAAATACATTTATAAATAATTTAATGAATATTTAAGTATTTTGTCAAAGGCAGATACATGCTTTTTGCAAGCACATGCATAAATACCCATACATATTTCCTATTTATCATTTCCGGCATGTGCAAATCTTTAATTTCTGTGCATTCACTATATTTTTCGTGTAAAGTAATTTACACTAATTTAGCATACACCCGAAAGTTTTACATAAAAAATATATATGAATATAATTTGAATGAAAATTATAAGTATTATTTTTAATACCCACTCAAAGGTCAGTTTTTCTTCAAAATTCCCCCACGATGGCATCTCTCTCTTTAGGCAGATAGCCCTTGCATGCGTTACTCTATTTAATAAAAACTTAATCTGACCTATGTGCCTAATTACAAATATTTTAACATACATAATTTTATATTTACATTTAGCCATCAAGTTTCAAACTTTTCAAATCTTCTAGAAAATAAATTTTGGCAGATCTCTTTTAGCAATTTTCTTAAAATCTATATTTTTGTAGTGCAACAGCTTAGAATTTTATAAAACAAATTCATAATCAAAATCGCTGTTGTTAGTTATCGAAAAATAACCAAGATGTGATTTTTGCGTAAATGTCAGTAAACTATACAAATTGCTATTATCCATCACACTATGAATGTTTCTTTCATGCGAGAGTGTCCCTTTTTCGATTTCTATGGAACTGTCGTGTGTCGAAATACTATCAGAATTTTGTCAAGCGAGCTTCTGAATGTAAACAAAAACACCCCGTCTGGTGACCCAAGCTTCAAAGCAGTGCTTCACTTCTAGCGCGGAATGGCCCCTCCTCCCTTTCCTACCTCCATGGTTTCTCCCAACTCGCCGCTAAACCAGCCAATCCAATGCGCTGAACTTGTGGAATTACTCAGCTCGGAGCGTGGATGTCGCCTGTTTTTTTTTTTGCACGTGCTACAAATTTTCTTAATACATCGTTGTTACGAAATGAGTTTAAAAAAAAAAACGTATTTTCAATATTTTCGGCTGCCTACAAAGCCGAATTTCCAACAATTAAAGAATCCTTCAAAGGAAATAACTGCATTTTGCAACGTGTGCGTGTGTGACTTCATAATAAGTCACGGTGGAAGAAGCGACATTGTGAAGCATGTTAAGTGTAAAAAGCATGAAGTTAATGCTTCGGCTTCGACTTCGACAACGTCAAAGAAAGTGGATGATTTTTTTTTCAAATTTGGCTACAAATTCGGATGCCGATGTCATTTTGGCAGAGTATTTGTTTACTGCATTCCTCATCGAACACAACGTGCCACTAAGCGCTGCGCTGGTCAACTTTTCAGATGGATGTTTCCCGACTCCAAGATTGTTCAGAAATATCAAACCAGGGAACTTGTAAATTCTTTGAAAGATCATGAGAAAAAATAATTTTTTCAATGTGTCAGAAAGTACTTTTCCTCAGCCTGTGATTACATTGTAAGGAAGTTTCCTTAGCAAAATGAAGTTCTTAAATGCTGAAGTGGCAAATTTGAAACAAATTGAAAATTCATCGTTTGAAAAGATTCGTTTTTTTATTGATAAATTTCCATTTTTGTTAACAATTAAAGAAAATGAATGCCATAATGATGCTTTAGATGAACTACAGAACCAATTTTCTGCTGCACAGTTTGAAGACTTTGCCAGTTCTGGAGAATATAGACTTGATGTCCTCGTTGGTACCTTAAAAAGAATAAAAAGAGCTGATGGAACACCAAAATATGATACACTAGCAAGAGCTTTATGTGCTATTCTCGTAATTCCACACAGTAATGCTGAGTGCGAGAGAGTCTTCAGTGTTGTGAAGGAAAGCAAAACTATGTTTCGTTCTTCAGTTTCACCAAAAACTCTAGAAAACATTTTAATTGCTAAATGTTATGAGGAAACTAATTGTTTCCAAAGAATTTTTGGCTAAAGCCAAAAAATGCTCTCTAAATTCATTGCAATAATTTTTTTGTGTAACATTAAGTTCTTGTTTTATGTTTCCTAATAAATTTTTTAGTTACTACTTAATTACTTAATTGAGATTTACTAATGTAAGTACAATTTTCTTTTTTCTATTCGTATAAATTTTTTTTTTTTTTTTTTTTTTTAATATCAAAGCATGATATTAATTCTTCGTGTTCTTCTGAATTTGGGGGAGAAATCTTCTGAATTTTTATCTTTAGAGGTTGGCAGGTATGGTAGAATCTAAAAGCAATATATAATATGCATGGAGTCCAGAACCATCTTTAGGTTATATCCAAGGGAAAATAATCTGCCTTCAGTTTTAAATAATTCTAAATAGCTAGAATTTTAAGATCTAAGAAAATTGTTTTTAATTTTATACCTCAATTTGCTTCCTTTATATTTTTCTTTAAATACATGTGTAAATGTAACTATTTTAACAGACAGACAAACATTTTTTTAAAAATCAGATTTTATATTAAGCCCAAAAGAGCTTTTTTTAACGTTTGTGTGTTACCTTTATTTATTAAATATCATGTTCTTCACACTTAAACCATAAAATTCATTTCAACAGCAATATTACAAAATAATTTTTATTTTAAAGAGCACATCTTCAGCAAATCCGACTCACAGTCTTACTTGCCGGAGAAAAAATCCCCACCCCCGATATATTATCGGTAATAAAAGAAATTTCAAATTTGGGCTTCCAGATGGCCATGTTCGCAGGATGATTACATTATTCAAAATTTGATGGCTCTAGATACCGTTGTTTTATCACAGTGCGAGAAACATATACATACATACGTTTGTGCAGAATCTTCATTTTAAATTCCTTTAAATATAATACAATGTGATAATTTTTGGTGGCAACAATTGGAAAAGTGATACAGCCTTTTAAAGTTTTCAATGCAAAATGCCAAAATGAAATTAATAGCCCTTCTGGACTAATAAATATTTAAATTTATCAAAATCATGAGAAATGTATATCAAGCACTTGCAGCTTAGTATATGAAATATGTGCAATATCAAATTTAACTTTCAAAAGTTTTCAGACAAAACTATAAGTAAAGAGAATGGGGTATTGAAAAATGTTACTCTGGCAAGAGCCCAAAATGTAATTTAAAAATAAAAAAATTAATTAGTTTGATCATGAATAGTATAATGAAAGATAAATTTTTTGATTTGATAGTTCTGATCTAAAACTGGACAAAAGGTACTATATATATGGTAACTAATTTGAAGATCATATCTGTTTACATTATGTATTTGTCTTATATAAGAAGGAAAGACTTAAAAACTTGCTGTTACATAATATAGCTGTAATTTTGCCATTTTAGATTTTAATTTTGAATCATATAAAAATTCCATCTTAATCTTCTTAAATTTTTTTATCTTTTTGATTTTCTACAGGGATTACTGTAAGCAGACTGTTCATGTTTCCTCAAATCTTCTGAAACCAGTTTATGACTCAAGCCAGTCCCATAAGTACATCTTGAGTAGTGTAGAACCTTCAAGTTCTACTTCCTTTGCATCGACTCAGTTACCTGTACCACCTCCTGCCCATCACCATACAAGCCGCACGGCCATAACAACGTCAATACCTTACTCTGGATCCAGCAGTCATCCTCTGCCTGCCCATATGCAGCCTGCCACAGTCGGAGCTTCCACAACTATACTTCCTACGACAGCTGTTCCTCTTGTTTCTTTTCCATCTAGTTCAGCTCCAGCTTCTGCCTCAGCCTTGTATACTTATAATGTGAACTCTATAAAGTCCAAGTACCAGCAGTTTTGCCAAATGTTTAATGAGGAACCTCGCAGAAATTATCCAGAATAATGTTTTGATATTTTGGCCTTGCATGCTGTGAAGCAAAATCCAGAGAAAAGTGTGTGAAACTAGCAGTTGTTAAACTTCAGGACTAAAGTTTGGGAGTTTTTTTCATTTATTATCAGTGAACATTTTTAAAAAGTGAGACTGTTATATGATTTATATATTATAGACTGCAAAACAAATAATTTTATATCTTGAAATGACAATTTTTTAAACTGTTTGGATGCAGCTTAAAATATTCGCAAAGGAGATGCTAGTCGTAATCTCAGGAAGACCTTCCTATGACTAATTTCGCTAAAAAGTGGGCTAAAATAAAAACGAGTCCGTATTGCATATTCTGAAATGTTAAGTGAGCAGATTTTTGGCACATATTATTTATTAGATATGTCACCTGAGCTGCAGTAATTTTTTCCTCTCCCCCATGTTTTAAAATGAGGAGTATGCAATATAGAATATATTATTTTTAATAATATGTTGTTTATTTCATGTTTCGATTATTGCATTGCAAGTAGAAAATATGTATAGTACAATATGTGTGTTTTGGAATAGTCAACTTGTATGTAAGATTAATGCAAACATAAAAGAATAGTCTTGTAAGTATTAACTGTGGTCTGAAATCGTGAATTTTAATCTATTAACAATTAGAATAAGCTTCATGTATGAATAAGTCCTTTTTAAAAGCAAATAATAATACAAGCTTGAAGTTTACTTGTCTTAGGAAATTGATATAAAATTACACTATAAATCAAAATGTGAAGCAAGTAAATTTTTTAACTATCATAAAGAAATCATTATTTATTCGGTGCTCATTCCAGATTATGATAAAAGTAATTTCAAATTTTGAATTTATATTTCTTGCTGATAAAAAGTTATGGTGATTACACTTCATGTATACTATGCATAAATTTAAATTTATGGTATTTCTTCAGATGCTTAAAAAAAGAAAGATAACTGTGGAGCATCAAAAATTGCCATATTATCTGATGCTAATATTCCACATATATTTTCAGATGCAGTTAGCTTTATTGTAAATCAGGTATACTAAGTTAACAGAATTTAATAGAGGTGTATGTTAATTGAGGAGCACTGTTGTAATATATGTAATTGTTTTTTTTCTTTTAATCAGCAATAATATTTTCCTCTCATATACTCATATATAATGGGCATAAATATGCAACTATAATATTTTATGAGAAATTATCCAATATATATAGAGAGAGTGAGACTGATTACTATGTTAAGTTATTGGATATGTTAAAACATACAATGATACATTTTCAGATGAAAATGATGTATTATGCAATCTTTTTTAGCTAATTAGTACTGCAAAAAAAGTCGATTCCATTTAAGTTATATTGAATGGAGTTTAATTTTAATGTTTCTGAATGGCATGTATTTTCATGTATTTATTTCCCGCATTAAAAACCTTAGTGAATCATTTTAATATATTTAAGAGCATTTATATGTTTATGAATATAAAGTGCATGTTAAGCATTAAAATTATTAGTAGTATAAATAATTAAGTTTTAATAACTTCAGAAATATTGGTATAATATAAATATATAAATTTGTGGTGTATGCTTTAAAGAGGAGAACTATATTATGATATTAACTTTATAACTATGCATATCCAATATATAGTATTACAAAACAAAAATAGTGAGTGTTATATATTTATGCATTACTGTTTTGATGTTTATGAATTACTGTCCTAGAAGTTTTCTAAAAAGTGTATTTTTTACTGAAATACTTACAAGTACACTGGAAGAATATGTAATGAATTTTTTTATTATTATTGTATGTCATTGTCTGACAGCTTGTACCATTGGATTTATTTTTAAAAAATTGTAAATTATATGACTGGAATATTTTTATCTAAAGAATAGCTTCTAATGTAAAACTAAAAAAATTAATTTATTTCATATTTAATTTATAATGCTACCTTAAGGTAAAATTTTTCTTGAACTACATTAAAATTGTTTTCTACATTTGTTATTTTTAAAGCAATATTAATTTATGCACTGTAAATTTAATAGATGATGTTGCTAATGCTCAGATCAAGCTACAATTTGTAGGTGTAGTGTAAATTTATTGCCACTGTATGATAAATTCATAAAACATAGCAAAATACAATATCTTGTATGCACTAACCTCTTAACTTATGCCTGGTTTATGATGATACAATTATGAACCACTATTTCAAACATAGTATTTTGGTCAATTACCATGATCTAGAGAGCTAATAATTGAACAAAATAAGGTTTTTGAATAAATACCGAAAAATCAAATGTTTTAAATTTTTTTAAAATTATTATTATTATTTTATTTTAAAGAATTTTCTAGTAAGATGTGTACAAGATGTTCCAATAAGTGTAGCTTTGCCTATATTATATATTTATCTATGCAAAAAAGATATGCAGTGTTTGCATTGTCACAATTTATCAAACAAGTGTCCTATGGTTTTCTTACGGTTTGTTCATCAGAGTGATAGGTATTACAATTATTTTTGCATGAATTGTGTTTGATAGTTTTGTTTTTAGAAGAACCTATTCGCATATAGCGTGCCAATGTAAAAAATCATACTATGCAAATATGGATGAGCTTAATATTGTAAGCTAAAGTATTTCGTTGCAATTTAAAAGCAATAAACCAATTTTAATTTTCCCTAATAAGAAAAAAGGAATTCTAAAACTATTTGATGTTTCTGAATTCTATGTTAGATACTGTGATATATATTAGTATGCTAACTAATTTAAATTTCATGATGTGATTTTCAGTGACATTTCCTACTATAAATGAGATGTCATAGTGACTGAGAATAATTGTGCTATTGATGGTGTGTTAGCATGATTGGGCTTCTATGATTTGATTTCAATTAAACTTCATTTTTCCTTTATAATAAAATTCAGTAAAATTCTTCCTCATTAAAATTCTTTTGTTAATTTAAATAAACAAAAATGAGGATTTAACAGATTGAATTTCCCCACAATCATATATTTTAAATTCCATGTTGGGTAGTCAGTTTACTTCAGTATGTTATAAATTTTGCTGTGCTACCTAATCTTTTTTTTTTTTTTTTTTTTTTTTTTTTTTAAGTGTGTGTGTGTCTACTGGCTTTCCTTTGATTGAAATACTTACTAGGCCTGGAGAATTTACTTCTGTGTAATTTAATTTTCATTAATATTACAATATGTAAATCCAACTTTTATTTTGTAGTGACATAAAAATATCCAATTTTTATAGCTGCATATTGTAATATATTTTGTTTTGAAACCACAGTTGTTATTAGAATAAAATTTTGTAAAGGATTTTTTTTTCATAAATATAAAATGCATATGCCCATTTTTTATATGGTGACTAAAAAGTTAAGATATACATAAAATGCAGAAAAAAATTAATATTATTCCTAATATATATACATATATGTATGTATGTTGCATTTCTCTGAGAGTGATTTGAAGATTTCAAAGATACATGACACTGCACTGTATTTCCCCAGGTCAGTAAGTAATTTTTGCCGTACGAAATTTGATGTACTATCTGCCCGTACAGGTGAAATTCACTGTTTACTAATTAATATAATTTGAATTATACATTATAGTGAGACTATATTAATATATCATAATTCATAAGATTGCATTATATTTTCCTTCATGTTATAAGCATTTAAAAATGACTGCATTGTTTTCACCAGATTGTTTTTTTGTAATTATAATACATTGTAGAAGAGTTATAAGTGTAATTTTATTTATGGGAAGTTTATTATTTTATTTATATATAGTGATTTTGCCATTGCACTATTTTGGAAAATATGGCAATTGCACGGCACTAGAAAATATGTATGCAGGTACTCACTATTTAGCTTGGTGATGCAACTAATGATGTATCCACAACTGTTTGCTAATTTTTATCTATTAAATTATAATTGTGTGTTTGTTTTTAACTGCTATGAACAGAATGTGTTGTAAAGTGTCCCAAGATAATTTTGTGATTGTTTTTCATTGTCGCTGTTAATTTAATTCTGTGGCTTTATTTAATTTAAATTGTAAATTATATGACCAGAATGTTTTTATTTTCAAGTTAAGAAATACCTTAGCAACAAATTGTAATTAAGCTAGTCTCAACATAATGATAAACCTCCTGTTTGCTAAGTATTTTAACATACCTCTAAGTCTTTTTATTGTTATTACACATATTAATGTGTATGTCTGTATCAAGTGTTTTATAAATGCCAAAATGTATATGGAGAGAATACAATTTTAATGCTCATTAATTACAAGTCTTCAGCTGTCAGATGTGTGCATTTTAAAACATGGTTTTTTCAGAAAAATTTCTTCCTGAATTTAAGTGTCACAAATATACTTTGGAAAAATTAGGTGTTTAAATTTGAAAGTAATTGTTTATTTATGTGAAACCTGCTATAAATAGTTATTCTAGTATTAGGTTTTATGTGAAACCTGCTATAAATAGTTATTCTAGTTTAGATGTAAAGCCTACCTGTTAACAAATGAATCTGTTCATAAATATGAAAAAATTAATGTGTATCTAGGAATGCTTTATTTTATTGTTATATTAAGTGTGTTCAACTAGTGTTAAAATTTCAAAAGCGAGTTGAAACTTAATGTGTGTTACTTAACTATATTAACATATATACTAAAACTATTATGCATAATCCAAAGCATAAAAGTAAGGAATAGAATTTAATTAATAGTTTTATTGGGTTTCAAGAATATAAAATTAAGGAATTAATTTTATTTGCTTAAATTTCAAAGTAGCTTGTACATGAATAAAGTTAACCATTGTTATGCTTAATAGATACATATACTTTTCATATTTATATTTCTTATTAAAACATAGAAAACAAATCCTAATAGGATTTCCAATAAAAATTCTTCTAGTGTATGCCATCAAATAGTTTTCTTATTAGACCTTCTTTGTTTATTACAGTTTTAAGAGAAGCAGCTCTACATTTAATAATGTTAATGCAACTGCAGAAAATATTTAATCTTGTCCCGCGTGGAAACAGATAATGCTGCAACCTTTTTAATTTATTTTTGCATTAAACTTAAGTTTAATTATCCTTTAATGTTTATTCATTTATTCCTGATTTTTATTTAAGGCTAAGACATATATGAGAATCTGTGGATAATAAATTATGAAAATGTTTCAGTTTTTGCTTTCTAGCAGATATAATAGTGATTAAAGTGATTGGTTTTGAACATTGAGAACTTTTTAGGTATAATTTATTTCTCTATTGATAAATATAATTATTTACAATGTGGAATAAATATTAATAGAATTATAAGACAGAATAATAATATGTAATTTATATTCTACACTGTGACATACTTTACTTTTTATGAAAAAAAATCAAGTTTACTCACACACATTGAGCTAATTATAAGCCTGTAAAATTTAATGGTTAGTTCATTAATTGATTATAGGAAGATTGATATTTAATTGATTGATTATGAAGAGGACTATTTTTATAGTCCTCCCCATAATCAATCAATTATTATCAAACACTATAGGGAGGATACATTTGTAGAGGAATGTCCAAGGGAAAATTATTCATTTTCACATATGGGAAAGAACAAGAACTCCATCTAGTAAACTTGTTTGCCAGGAATTGAACACAGGACACACTACAAATGTTCAATAGTTTTATCCTCTCAGCTATTGGTGGATACTTATATTAATTGAAATATTGAGCAAGAGGAAATGTGTTTTTAATTTATCGATTAATAAATTGATATCAATAATTGTGTCGTAGCTGCCAGCTTTCCTGGTTTCATCAAATCTCCTGGTCTCCTAGTAGATCACTGAATCTTCCACTTTTTAATTTTTAATAGATTGTGCAAATTCCATTCTCTCTCCCCCTTTGGGATTTTCAAAGTAAGTTTTATTAAATTTTAGTTCCTCTGAATTGTGTTTTTTATTACATTTTATTATGTTTTTGTTAAATTTTATTTAATTTGAGCTGTCTTTAAATTCTGTAGAATTTTTAGATTTTTATATGAAGATTCAAGCAATGTTTAATCTATAATATATATATTAAATTTACTTCAGTATAATATATGTTACTAGGTGTAGCCACACAGGTACTATATACATTAATAATTCATTTTATTCTCATTATATGTAAAAGCACTCTAAAAGAAATTAAGTTATAGTATATACTTTAGAGTATTAAAATTTAATTAGAATAATTAAAATTTAATTTAGAGTATTAAAATTTTAATTAATCTAAATTAAATTTAAAAAATGTAACTACCCAAAGAACGTTAAGAAAAATGCTAATATATTCCCTCAAAATAGTTTATTAACCTGAATCGTGCATTATAAAGTAATTTTAAATCACTTTGGAGTTCCTTTGAAATGGCGTTGAAATTCATAAAAACCTGCAAAAATTTCATGGTTTTTCAAATTTCAGTGTTGGCAGCTATGTATTGTATGAATGACTGTGAAGCATTATTCTGGAAAAAATTTCAAGTTAATATTTCAATAAGATAAGTTAATGATAAATTATCCTAGCATTTGGCAAGTGCATGCAATTTAATCTTGTAAACAGACCTCTTTACAAAAAATTTGCAAAAAAAAAAAAAAAATTGTCTCCCACTGAACAGCTTTTGAAATGTGTTAAACTGGTAATCCTTGAAATTTATCATGTATACATATTAAAAGTGATGATATTTTTATTAGTTTTAGTATAATTAATTACTGAAATGTTGAAGACTTGTAATATGAGAAAAATTATATTTTTTCTGAAATGTGATTTTTTTTAAATTTAAAATTTTAGGCCTTGATTTAATTTTTTTTATTACTTTTCATGGATTATTTTATTTTACTAATGGGGAGATTGAAGTGAATTGAAAACTCTGTCACAGGAACATTATTTCTGTTCTTTGCTTTAGTTATAGTGTATTTAAATGTAAACAAATATCATTCCATTGTGTGTTTCCTATTAAATAAATTATTGTGCTATCTTTTTAGTGTGCCAAAAATTATATATAGTATAGGAGTATAGCATGTGACATGCTTTTTTGTACCTTTGAAATATCACATGCCTTATGAAATGAGTGTATTTCCAAAGTAGTTATGCAAATGGAACATATGTGCCTGTTTGTATTATAGCTGCTGTAATTATTTGTGTTCCTTCTTTATAGCTTTAAACAGTACTAAATAAAATTGGGAAAAGTTTTTTGCATTTGTGGTTTTTCCAGTATTAAAGTATGAGTATTTGATTGAAGTAACCATTTCCGCAATGCCCTCATAAATGTTGAATATGTATACTTATTTTTGTGCTATTGCAGGAATGTATTTTATGCAAATACTGTATCTTAACTAATTTTTAATTGTTATGGGTTACAGTTAAGGATTATTGGAATATTTGTAAGAAAATGTAAAAGAGAAAATAACTAAAAAAATTGTTGCTTTATTATATAACTTTTTTAAAACTCTTGCTGTTGTATTTAACTGATGCTGTAAACATCTTTCGTGGTGGTGGAAATGTGAAAATGTTAGGATTCTAATGTACTTTCTCACACATTTTTCTCTGCTTATTGATAATTTGCAGATATATGCTTCAAATGTTGTGCACTTTTTATAGTTAATAGTGATATGCGAATTACAGAAGAAATTAACAAATTGAACTGTGTACCTAATCCTATACTGTTCTTAATTAGTGTAAATTTTGTAAAACAACAATGGAAAAAAATTTAGGCAAAATTGTTAAATAAATTCATAAAAACATCTGTACTGTTTTTGTCCTAATTTTAGCACATTACTATTGTCTTGCATATTATAGCACACATCTACTATCCACATTATTATGACACATGTAGGTAAATTCAAAAGTTCCTGGCCTCACCGATAAAATTTTGTTAAGCAACAAATTCTCATGCAAACATGCAGTGTCAATACTAAATGAACAATCTGGAACCTTCATTAAAGATAATGTATACATTCATTTTTGCCTGTTTACTGAATAAAGCAAAGTGCTACTTTGTTCTGAAATATGTAAAATGGTATATAGTTCTGTAATTCAAAGTGACTAAAGGCAATCTTAGTTCCAGAAAAATAAATTGTGTATGCTAGTTTGTCTCCTTTCTATTCTGCAGGAAAGAATGTGCTAAACAGTTTTGCACATGGACCAAGAATCTGCAAATGATGATTCTTGTGAAGGTCAACTATTGGAGACATTGGCATTAAAATACTGCTCATGTTCAAGAGGGACTATTGAGTGATAGGAGATAAAAATTATAGCTGCAAGATTGGGTCTATATTATATAGCTGTTTTACACATTCTACATGAACAAAGTCACTTCAAAATGGATACCCCTATTTCTGTTTAAAAATAATAATATATCTGCAATTCAAGAACAGTGCTGTGGGTTTAAGGAGCTTAACCACCCTCATAAAGACCATATTTAACTCCAAGTGATTATTATGTGTTCTTCAAACTGAAATTTACTTGTGTGGAACGAGATTTGATGATGATGATGCTGGCATGAAAAGAGCAGTTAGAAGACAAATCTTCAGATTTCTTGAGCAAGGACATATAGTTTCTCATTAAACAATGTGTAAAGGATATCGATGTTGGAAACTAAACTACACTCACTTCCAAATGTTAAGCACGGAGAGGAAAATCCTAATTTCTGGAAGTCATTCAGAATTGAAAAGGATGCAATTCACTGCAGAGGTAGATGGAAGTATGCAAATATGTTAGGTAACAACCAATCTTGCTTTCATGTCAAGAAATATGCAAAAAAGGCAGTCTTATAAGAAGCCAGCTTTATGAAGGGTTACAGAAGTTGATTGTAAGTGCTGATAGAAAATGTTTAAAACTTTCGTACAATTTGTCTTCAAGACATACGCGTTTCTATGACTTCTAGAAGACGAATGGAAGATTCTGAGCGCTGGCATGCTGTGGGGCGCATTGAAGGAGGATCACAGATGTTGCTCTTTTCTTCGGCATTCATCATTCTGTAATTTCACGGTTATGGAAACAATTCCAAACCACACAGACAGTTGTTCGAAGGCTCGTAGCCGGTCGCCCATGGGTTACAATCCCCATGGAAGATCGATGTATTCCTATTGTAGCCAAGTGGAATCGCAGAGCGACTTCTACACATGTGACATCTATGGTTACAGCGTCCATTGATAATGCGATAGCTGTAGCTATTGTACGCCAAAGATTACATATGAGTGGACTGTACGCCCAAGGGTACCTTGAGTTTGTGTTCCTCTATCCGTCCAATCAAGAGGGGCACAATTACAGTGGTGCCGGGAACATGTCAATTGGAATGTGTCTGACTGGGGCAATGTCATGTTTACTGGTGAGTCAAGATTTGCCCTGGAGCCAGATGACAAGCGTATAAGGATATGGCGTGAAAAACAAACACGCAATCAGTCCCAAAACATCACGCATTCCGAGGCGAAAGCATTATAGTGTGGGCAGGGATTTCATTACGTTACCGCACCGACCCCCACATCTTTAAAAGGGGTTCTTTGACGGCTGTCCGGTATCGAGATGAAATCCTAGAACCCACTGCAGCAGTTGGCCCTACTTTTGTTTTAATGGACGATAATGCACGACCCCATAGAGCTGACATTGTCAATGACTGACTGGAGAGTGAAGGGATTGCGCATATGGCGTGGCCAGCATATTCGCCTGACCTTAATCCCATTGAAAATCTTTGAGATGCTCTCGGCCGTGCTGTATCTTCACGTTTCCCACCTCCAGCCACTTTTATTGAGCTGGAAACTACTCTATAAGAAGAATGGCGAGTGCTTAATTCTGCATTGGTTGAAACCTAATTGAAATCATGGTCACAAGGTGTAAAATTTGTATACAGATGAGGGGGGTATCACATACCCTATTAAGGTCCTTTTTTTTTTTTCATTTTATGCTGTTTATTTTCACTTTATACATAATTCTGTTTAAGTCTCCAGTATGTCATTATCTGATAACTTGAAAAAATTTAATATTGTTTTCATTTTTGTGTATAATTATTGATTTTGTTTTATGCATAAATATATGTGCTACTTTCCTGCCGAATTTTGTGTCAATCAAAGCAGTATTTGTTGATTTTTTTACATTTTACATCTTCATGCTTAACTTTTGGAAGTGAGCATATTAAAATTTTCTTCCTTTCTTTTCGAAGTATATGAGGCCAGAAAATTTTGGATCTATCTACATAACTACATTTCATACTATAACATGCTACTACTATTCTATATTTAATGGAAAGTATTCTAAAAAGATGAATACAGACTTCATTATCATAAATATTAATTTCAAAACATATACTTCCAATTGCAAAATAAGGTAAAGAATTTTATAAAAATGATTTCAACACTGGAAGTGGAAGGGCTTTATAAATATAAAATCTTTATATACTTAAATGTAGTTCTAGAGGAACAATTGATGAAATGTTCGTTATGTTTTTCTATATGAAATGAATTAAAAATTGTGCAAACTTCACAGAGACATTTGATTGGTTTGGTTTATTTAATTATGGCAAAGCACACTATGGCTATATGCCTAAGGGGAGGGATGCCTTCGTGGAGGACTTTCCAAGGGGAACTGGCTCGTATACACGTTGCACATGGGGAAAACGCCCATGCAGCAAGCCTGTTCGCGGCATTCGAACCTCGGACCGAACTGCCAGTGTTCAGCGATTTTATCGCTCTGCCGCTGGTGGGCCAGAGACATTTGAAAAAGAGTTTACTAATTTAGATCACATTTAACAGGGAGAAATTTAAACAGCTTATTTGGTGTTTAATGGATTTGTATTGAATAAAAGTATCACTGTCTCTTTGAAATTATTAACCTTTTGATAATCATCCAGGAGCCCAGCTCGCATTCCAGTTACATGTCACAGTGGGCACAAATGAACATAGCTCACATTGCAACAGGCGTATTTGGAAAGAAAGAATTGCTTAATCTTGCAACTGCTGGAGGTTTAATTACTATTATATCTGCAAAGTTTGAATATATATGTATTGAACGTTACATTTATTAAAGAATGATGTACATTTTACTAGTTGTACTTTATTTCCTGTGTATATAAGAAAATAATTTCATTGCTGAAAAAATTATACTTTAGTTGAAATTAGGATATTACCAATACATTAGCAAAAATGTTTACCAAACATATAAAAGTGAGTTAGTAAAAACTATATAACAGAAGAATAATTTCAAGAATCTGTAAAAAGTCACATTTTTTAAGGCTATGTAAAAATTATTCCAAAAGAGTTGAATAAATGTTCTATATTCAGTAATTAAATCTAATTGTTTTTATTATTATGTTTACACTACATACCAAAATATAAGAGATTTTTTCATGTGTTTCTTATCACACTGAATGACAAACATTAGATTTCACTCATTTCTTAATTACACTTTTCTGTTATGAAGATTTTTGAGTGAGATAAGACAGTTATATATCTCCCGTTTTACTGGGCCGATTGATAAAATTCAAAGTGCGTTTTTCATGTCTCGAAAGCGTGACTTAAAAAATATATTATTAGATTTATATATAGCATTGTTCTAACATAGGTATTTTGACACAAAATCGGACTTTTTCTGAAATAACATACCAATTTTTTTCCATATTTCGATTCTATGACTCAAATTATGCCTAGATATTTAATTTTGAAAAATTTAGCGCTAAGTTTACGGAAAAATTCAAAAATTTATATTGGCGAAATTTTTTCAGTTTGGCGAAGAATAATTCACTTGGCGAACTTCTTAATATATGGCAACCAATTTTCCTTTCCCTTCCTATGTTGAACCGGAAAACAAGGTACCTCTTTGCTACCTTTTTACATTGTGTATGAGCGGGAAAAAAAATAATTTTAGCAAAGTGTTTAAACCACATCTGATGTTTTATCGCTTTCAACAAATATGTCAAATTTCAAAACGCGCCAATATATAAATTCACGTATATCTTCGAAAATTTTGAATAAAAAATTGTAATTTTTTGCAGGTATTCTTAAAAATACGCCTTCTTTAAGATGATGATAAAAATTTTATAAGTTCAAATTTTTTTGAAAAATTTATAAAAATTATTTAAAAATACAAATTTAAAAAATAAATCATAAAAAATGGGTAAATTTTATTTGGAAAGAACCTGAATTTCGAAATGTGAAAGGAAGAATCAAGCTTAATTAAAAAAGAGAGATTAAATAATATATACCAAACTCAAAATTAACATTGAGGAGCTAAAATTTTGAGAGCTATTTTTTTTTTAAAAAAAAACTACTCGTGCGATTTTTGGTAGTTTAGAGTAATTTAAGTGGCAGAATCGAAATACACACACACACACACACACACAAAAAAAAAAAAAAAAAAAAAAAAATTGGTATGTTATTTCAGAAAAATCCGATTTCGTGTCAAAATACCTATATTAGAATAATGTTATATATAAATCTAATACATATCCTAAGTCGGGGGCCCACCAGCAGCCGAGCGGTAAAGTCGCTGAACACCGGTAGTTCGGTCCGAGGTTCGAATCCCGCGAACGGGCTGGCTGCGTCGGTGTTTTCGTGGTTTAGCCATATGTAACGTGTATACGAGCCAGTTTCCCTTAGAAAGTCCTCCACGAAGGCATCCCTCCCTTTAGGCAGATAGCCCTTGTGTGCTTTGCCATAACTAAATACACCAACACCATATCCTAAGTCGCGCTTTCGAGACATGAAAAATGCAAGTTGAATTTCGTGAATTGGCACAGTAGAACGGGAGATACAG